CGTCGGCGTTAGCGTCGGCGTTAGCGTCGGCGTTGGCGTCACACCTTGGTTAAGTTTTTCGTACCACCCCACTTTATTTCAGAAGTATTACAAGTATGGCTTTGAAACTTACCATACTTGTTCACCATCATAACCTCCATCTACAGACAGGAGTACATAACTCTGTCAAGGTTTTTGACAGAATTATGGCCCTTTTTTGACTTAGAAAGTGTATTGAGCTTGGTTAAGTTTTTTGTACCACCTCACTTTATTTCAAAACCATTGGAGGTATTGCTTTGAAACTGACCATACTTGTTTACCATCACGACCTTCATCAACAGACAAGAGGACATAACTCTGTCAAGGTTTTTGACAGAATTATGCCCCTTTTTGACTTAGAAAATACATTGAATATGGGTAAAATCCACTTATTGCCTTAACCCTTTGAGATATTGCTTTGAAACTTTTAATGCTATTTCACATCATTACCCCCATCTGTACGCAAGAGAAGGTAACTCTGTCAGGGATTTGTTTTAAAAATTAAGGCCTTTTATCGACTTAGAATCTTGGTTAACTTTTTGTACCAGTCAACTTTTTGACTGAACTGGTTGAGATATTAAATTGAAAGTTGGAATACTTGTTTACCATCATGGTCCCAAAACATGGGCAGGAGAAGGTAATTCTGTTAAGGATTTTATTTGAATTATGGCCCTTTTTGACTTAGAAACTCAGTTAAAATTTTCATTCTTGTCCACTTGTTGACTTAACCATTTGAGATATTACTTTGGAAGTTGGAGTTCTTATGTGCCATCATGAGACCTATCTGTAAGCAAGAGAAGATAACTCTGTGAAAATGTTTCTTGATTTGTACTTAGAAATTCCTAGTTAAAGTCTTGTGTGCCCTTAACTGTCAAAGTTTTGTTTTATAGGCAAGCACTAAAAAAGTCGAGCGCGCTGTCCTTCTGACAGCTCTTGTTAAGAAATGTTTCCAGCGTGAGACTGAAATCTGATACCTTTGATAGAAATGTAGACATTGGCAACATGGTGAAAATATTCAAAGTAGTCCAACATCTTAGCACTATCATGTACATACAATAGAAGATGAAAAAGTAAAAATTCTGTTTGAAATTTATAATTTTCTTCTCAAACTTGTTAAAAATCATAAAACATTCATGAAGTTACCTATTAGCAACAAAGGAAAGAAGTAAAAGTAAGCTTTACATGATTGTATTGATAAGTTTTATAAGTTGGTTTTCTGAGTTTTATGATTTTAGAAAATACCAAGTTATGAATTTATTGCCGTTTATATTTTTCACGGAGACATCCACCACATTTGGTTTTCAATTCAATGTAAAAAAAATGCATGTTTGAAATGATATAACAAGTATGTAAATTAAAGTTTAGGTAATTGTGGTTAAGTTTGAGGAACAGTTAGTAGCAATAATTTAATGATCATGTAAAAACATCATTAACAAATTAAACAATATTATCAGAGATGATCTGTTGGCAGCAATGTTGGGTTATATATCAAAAATAAGTTATCACATTTTTTTAAATTAATCATTAACTGTAAAAGGACTATATAAATTATAAGTTTGGTAAACAGCCTTAATTTTGTTGAACCATGAAATTACACTGAAAAACATAACCAGTATCTGAAAAATATGATTTTTAACAAAGAAAAGAACAGAGCAGAAAAAACAAAATAATAACTAACACACAAGCAAGTAGAATATTTAAGATTCTAAATGAGTGATAATATGAGACTCTAACTCATAAGGGTGACAGCTAAATCTACCCCAAATAAGGGTGACAGCTAAATCTACCCCAAATTAGGATGACAGCTAAATCTACCCCAAATTAGGGTGACTGAGCTAAATCTACCCCAAATTAGGGTGACTGAGCTAAATCTACCCCAAATTAGGGTGACAGCTAAATCTACCCCAAATTAGGATGACAGCTAAATCTACCCCAAATTAGGGTGACTGAGCTAAATCTACCCCAAATTAGGGTGACTGAGCTAAATCTACCCCAAATTAGGGTGACAGCTAAATCTACCCCAAATTAGGGTGACAGCTAAATCTACCCCAAATTAGGGTGATAGCTAAATCTACCCCAAATAAGGGTGACAGCTATATCTACCTCAAATTAGGGTGATAGCTAAATCTACCCCAAATAAGGGTGACAGCTAAATGTACCCCAAATTAGGGTGACAGCTAAATCTACCCCAAATTAGGGTGACAGCTAAATCTACCCCAAATTAGGGTGACACCTAAATCTACCCCAAATTAGGGTGACAGCTAAATCTACCCCAAATTAGGGTGACAGCTAAATCTACCCTAATATGATATTAGTGCTAAATCTACCCACTTCGAAAACAGCTAAATCTTCCCAACTATAGGGTGACAGCAAAAATTTATTACCCCTCACTTTTTGTTAATTTCCCATATGCCACTGGGAGTTATTTATACTGTTAATGCAAGTGTACCATGTGACTTAAGAAATTTGTACTGTTACAGGGTAACGGTATTTTTAACATTATAAAATCTGGTCATATGGTCTTTTTTCTAAAGCAAATAAAGTACAATCGTCATAAAAATCATAACAATTATTGTTCAGGGTAATTAAATAAATAACACATATGTTTGTGAGTAACAGTAAAAATATCACCCCTCGTAAAAATACTGTAACCCTTGGCAAACGCCTCGGGTAACAGTATTTTCCGGAACAACAGTATTTTTCTTGGGATGATATTTTTACATAAGGTACATCCATCAAGAGCAAGATAACAATTAAAAAAAAAATTGATAAAGAAAAACGAAAAAATGTAACTTGGTTTTACTGAGTCTGTGTAATAATTATAAATCAACACTAAACAAGTCAGATGAGTTGATCCAATAAAAGATTACAATTCTAAAAACTTAAGCAGTTTTATTGTGTGTATTATATATAAATGTATAAGGTCAGTGTTTAATTTATATCAACCTAGATCAATAAAGAATTTAAAAGGCATTTTGATGATTTAAGGAAGGACAATTTCAGGAATAATAAAATGTATGGACCCTTTCTTCATAAAGAATTAAAAACTGTATATTTATATGACTGCAAGGTTATCTAGCATTTATGAATTATGTTGTTACTTTAATGTATTTTAAAATTAAATCTTGTAATTACGGCACAAATTATTCTGCAAAAGAGTGGTATGATCATGGCTTGCAAAATTTTCCCTAAAATGATGAATGGTTTGGTCCGGATTGAAAGATGGACAAGTCCATTTAAGATATTTAGTGTAGTAACGGTCAAATGATTATACAGTATTTCAAACTTTTTGAAGTGATTGTGCACCAGGGGAAAAAAAACAGAATTTTTGTTCCACTTATCTCTGTTACATAAATGTTAATACCGTTGAAATTTATTTGGTCAATTTCAAGTGAAGATCAAATTAAAAAACTCCCAACTTGTGAAAACAATTTTATACATAAAGTAAACTATTCATACCATTTTGGCCATAAATTTTGGATGAGACACAAGTTTATAATAGCTGTTGTTTAAATTAGATAAGAGCAGGATTTATCTTGTTGTTTTAGCATACCTTTATGTCATTACACTAACCTGTTCCGTTGTTAAACAGGAAAATAAACATTGAAGTTCTGCCAACAGGAGCTTACAAGAAAAATTCAATATTTTATTTTCTATTCACTATTGTCCCTTATCTATGTATTTTTTTAAAAGTTGTGAGGTTGAATTTGATGCATTGCAAATTAAAGTGTTTTTTTTTTTTTTTTTTATATATATATATATATATATATATATATATATATATATATATATATATATATATATATATTCATTTTAAGAAGCTTTCCAGGTAGCTTTTTATTTTACTCAATCATGTCTGAAATAATGGATAGAGTGGCACCTGATGTCATTATTTTATGACCATTACAGTGAGGGTGTTGTATAAAAAACTGGGCAACTAAATAAATATGTACAATGTAAATAAATAAACATGTACATAAATTCCAAAGCAGATATAAGTACATGAAATTTTTTATCTTATTTTTTTTTTTAATCATCAGTGATTTATAGCATGATTAAATACGATATAATTCTGTTGATTGTGCTATATTGATTTCAGTCTCATTGTTCATTGGTAAATTTACACCATCTTACAGGAAATATTTAACAAGTACATGCAGTTGTTTTCTGAAATATGATTCTCTATTGATCAAGGTAGCCTATTATTACAACTGTAAATACAATAAAATACCAAGTGTGTTTTGTTTAAATCTTGTTTATTGGAAAGTAAACTTTTTTTTTTACAAACTATTTGTGTATAAAATGAAATGTATTTAAGTAATGTTTTTAGATCAATATGATAAAAGGGAGACAACTTTATTTTTATGTTACAAGGAACAAGAGTTCAGCACCATTTAAAAAAATTAAATTAACATTATCATGGTACTAGATATGGACAGATCTTGAAACTATTCCAAACAGTTTCAGGAAGTTCAGATGTATATATGATATTTGATTAACTTATGGTTTTCACTGGTTATTTTAGATATTTGCTCTTTATCTACACTTTAGAATAAAAGTTACCATGCTGTGTTATGTAAGCAACACAACAATTTTTTTTGGTAGTTCAATAGTTAATTTCTGTTCTTGAGGAGATTTAATGCACTTGATGTGTCTCGATCTCCTTGATAATCATTAGAGTTGTTCAAAATGATAAACATCATGTTGTTAGGTCATAAGTCAGTTGTTTTGGATAGAACAGTTTGATATTCTTTAAGTTCTTAGAGTTTATCATAGGCAGTTGAAATAATTATATGCTTTTTTTATGCTTACATGTAATAAAATGTTATTTCATTATGCAGGATATGGCATTGACAGGGCACGGTTATACCTTTAATATCCTCTGTTTCAGGGTGTTATTTTGAAAAACATGTATGTATGATAAATATATACAAACATTTTTGATGTAGAATGTTTATTCACATGTTTACATTTTGATACAGGATTTTATAGTGAATCAGGGGCAGAAAGTTGTACAGAATGTCCAGGAGGAAAAGACTGTTCTAATTCTTCAGCACTCATTAATTGTGCAGCAGGAACATACAGCCCAGCAGGAACTCTAACCTGCCTGTCTTGTGCTGCTGGTGAATATAGTGGAGAGATGGCATCTGCTTGTACACAATGTGAAGCTGGTAAGAATTGCTCAGATCCTGCTACAACACCAACCGATTGTGCAGCTGGGACAGAAAGTGCTTTGGGTGTGGCTTCCTGTACAGCTTGTCAGAGTGGTTTCTACAGCATAGCTGGGTCAGGCTCATGTACTCAATGTCCTGCTGGTAAGAATTGTGCATCGTCTGCTGTGACAAGTGGAACTTTACCACCTGACTGTCCCGCTAACACATACAGTCTTGCTGGAAATGCTGGGTGTACAAGTTGTAATGTTGGTGATTATAGTTCTATTGGGCAGTCCTCTTGTTCAACATGTGCTGGTGGTTCTGATTGTTCTGATACATCAAATATAACACCATGTGCAGCTGGAACATTCAGTCCTGCAGGAGAAGTTAACTGCTCTACATGTTCCCAAGGTCATTACAGTAAATCTGGTGCTGAAACCTGTACAATATGTCCAGCAGGAAGTGACTGCTCTAATCCAGCTGTTACAGGGGCCAATCCACCAGAGTGTATTGCTGGCACATACAGTGAAGAGGGATGGGCAGAATGTGTCACATGTCCATCTGGTTACTATGCATCTTCTCAAGGTGCAACTGCCTGCTTGAAATGTTCTGGTGGGTTTAATTGTTCAGATCCAGCAGCAACACCAACATCTTGTCCTGAAGGTACTTTTAGTGCTGAGGGTGATAGTGAATGCACAAATTGTCAACAAGGTTTCTACACTACATCTGGCTCATCAATTTGCATAATTTGTCCAGGAGGGAAAGATTGTTCTAATTCTTCAGCACTCATTAATTGTGCAGCAGGAACATACAGCCCAGCAGGAACTCTAACCTGCCTGTCTTGTGCTGCTGGTGAATATAGTGGAGAGATGGCATCTGCTTGTACACAATGTGAAGCTGGTAAGAATTGCTCGGATCCTGCTACAACACCAACCTATTGTGCAGCTGGGACAGAAAGTGCTTTAGGTGTGGCTTCCTGTACAGCTTGTCAGAGTGGTTTCTACAGCACAGCTGGGTCTGTTTCATGTACTCAATGTCCTGCTGGTAAGAATTGTGCATCGTCTGCTGTGACAAGTGGAACTTTACCACCAGACTGTCCAGCTAACACATACAGTCTTGCTGGAAATGCTGGCTGTACAAGTTGTAATGTTGGTGATTATAGTTCTATTGGGCAGTCCTCTTGTACCACATGTGCTGGAGGTTCTGATTGTTCTGATACATCAAATATAACACCTTGTGCAGCTGGAACATTCAGTCCTGCAGGAGAAGTTAACTGCTCTACATGTTCCCAAGGTCATTACAGTAAATCTGGTGCTGAAACCTGTACAATATGTCCAGCAGGAAGTGACTGCTCTAATCCAGCCGTTACAGGGGCCAATCCACCAGAGTGTATAGCTGGTACATACAGTGAAGAGGGATGGGCAGGATGTGTCACATGTCCGTCTGGTTACTATGCATCTTCTCAAGGTGCAACTGCCTGCTTGAAATGTTCTGGTGGGTTTAATTGTTCAGATCCAGCAGCAACACCAACATCTTGTCCTGAAGGAACTTTTAGTGCTGAGGGTGATAGTGAGTGTACAAATTGTTTACAAGGTTTCTACACTAATACAGCTGGCTCATCAATTTGCACAATTTGTCCAGCAGGAAAGGACTGTTCTAATCAGGCTGTTATTCCAACCAATTGTTCAGCTGGATCATACAGCTTACAAGGCTGGTTTGGTTGTGTAATTTGTTCTGATGGAACATTTAGTAATACAGAAGGGTCAGATAGTTGTTCTGAATGCCCAGGAGGAAAAGATTGTTCAGATCCTGCAATAGAACCAACAGATTGTAATGCAGGAACATTCAGTGCACCTGGTGTTAGAACTTGCAGTAATTGTGCAGATGGTTACTATAGTGATTCAGCAGGGTCATCAAACTGCACAATTTGCCCTGGAGGTAAGGATTGTACCAATAAAGCTGTAACACCAACAAACTGTCCTGAAGGAACTTTTAGTGCTGAGGGTGACAGTGAATGCACAAATTGTCAACAAGGTTTCTACACTACATCTGGCTCATCAATTTGCACAATTTGTCCCGCAGGAAAAGACTGTTCTAATTCTTCAGCACTCATTAATTGTGCAGCAGGAACATACAGCCCAGCAGGAACTCTAACCTGCCTGTCTTGTGCTGCTGGTGAATATAGTGGAGAGATGGCATCTGCTTGTACACAATGTGAAGCTGGTAAGAATTGCTCAGACCCTTCTACAACACCAACTGATTGTGCAGCTGGGACAGAAAGTGCTTTAGGTGTGGCTTCCTGTACAGCTTGTCAGAGTGGTTTCTACAGCATAGCTGGGTCTGCTTCATGTACTCAATGTCCTGCTGGTAAGAATTGTGCATTGTCTGCTGTGACAAGTGGAACTTTACCACCAGACTGTCCAGCTAACACATACAGTCTTGCTGGAAATGCTGGCTGTACAAGTTGTAATGTTGGTGACTATAGTTCTATTGGGCAGTCCTCTTGTACCACATGTGCTGGTGGTTCTGATTGTTCTGATACATCAAATATAACACCATGTGCAGCTGGAACATTCAGTCCTGCAGGTGAAGTTAACTGCTCTACATGTTCCCAAGGTCATTACAGTAAATCTGGTGCTGAAACCTGTACAATATGTCCAGCAGGAAGTGACTGCTCTAATCCAGCTGTTACAGGGGCCAATCCACCAGAGTGTATAGCTGGTACATACAGTGAAGAGGGATGGGCAGGATGTGTCACATGTCCATCTGGTTACTATGCATCTTCTCAAGGTGCAACTGCCTGCTTGAAATGTTCTGGTGGGTTTAATTGTTCAGATCCAGCAGCAACACCAACATCTTGTCCTGAAGGAACTTTTAGTGCTGAGGGTGATAGTGAGTGTACAAATTGTCTACAAGGTTTCTACACTAATACAGCTGGCTCATCAATTTGCACAATTTGTCCAGCAGGAAAGGACTGTTCTAATCAGGCTGTTATTCCAACCAATTGTTCAGCTGGATCATACAGCTTACAAGGCTGGTTTGGTTGTGTAATTTGTTCAGATGGAACATTTAGTAATACAGAAGGGTCAGAGAGTTGTTCTGAATGCCCAGGAGGAAAAGATTGTTCAGATCCTGCAATAGAACCAACAGATTGTAATGCAGGAACATTCAGTGCACCTGGTGTAAGTGCTTGCAGTAATTGTGCAGATGGTTACTATAGTGATTCAGCAGGGTCATCAAACTGCACAATTTGCCCAGGAGGTAAGGATTGTACCAATAAAGCTGTAACACCAACAAACTGTCCTGAAGGAACTTTTAGTGCTGAAGGTGTAAGTGAGTGCACAAATTGTCAACAAGGTTTCTACACTGATACAACTGGCTCATCAATTTGCACAATTTGTCCAGCAGGAAAGGACTGTTCTAATCAGGCTGTTACTCCAACCAATTGTTCAGCTGGATCATACAGCTTACAAGGCTGGTTTGGTTGTGTAATTTGTTCAGATGGAACATATAGTAATACAGAAGGGTCAGAGAGTTGTTCTGAATGCCCAGGAGGAAAAGATTGTTCAGATCCTGCAATAGAACCAACAGATTGTAATGCAGGAACATTCAGTGCACCTGGTGTAAGTGCTTGCAGTAATTGTGCAGATGGTTACTATAGTGATTCAGCAGGGTCATCAAACTGTACAATTTGCCCAGGAGGTAAGGATTGTACCAATAAAGCAATAACACCAACAAACTGTCCAGGGGGAACATTCAGTGCTGAGGGCAGCTCTAGCTGTGCCTTTTGTGCTCAAGGGTATTATAGTCTTGAAGCAGCATCAACCTGTATAATATGTCCAAGAGGGAGTGACTGTTCTGACAATTCTGTGACACCAACCAATTGTTCAGCAGGAACATTCAGTACAGAAGGGTCATACAATTGTTCAGCATGCCCCACAGGATGGTATAGTGTTGAAGGCTCTGATAGTTGTACCCCGTGTGAAGCAGGTAAGGAATGTTCCGATCCTGCTGCTCCAACATTATGTAATGCTGGTTACTATAGTGAACTTTACTCAATCACCTGTGACCCATGTCCAGCAGGACACTACAGCACATCAGGACAAGGATCATGTACTATTTGCTCTGCAGGTAAAGATTGCACCAGTGCTGCTGGAACTCCACCAGATTGTTCTGCAGGCATGTATAGTGAGGAGGGTGATAATGGATGCACTAACTGTTTATCAGGTTATTATAGCACTGCTGGAAGTGCAAACTGTATTATATGTCCAGCTGGCAAAGATTGTACTCTTTCAAATATAATACCAACTGACTGTGCTGCAGGCAAATATAGTAATGAAGGTGATGCAGGTTGTACAAATTGTCCATCAGGAAAGTACAGTATTGGAGGAAACTCAAGCTGTAGCTTATGTCCAGCAGGTTATGATTGTACAAATCCAGCTTCTATTCTAGAATGTGATGCAGGAAAATTTAGTGCTGAAGGCTCAGCTGACTGTAGTATTTGCGCACAAGGGACTTTCAGTGCTCAAGGTTCAGGTAGCTGTAGTGCATGTCCTGCAGGTAAAAATTGCTCTAATTCTGCTGTTGCAACAGATCCTAATGATTGTGATGTAGGTACATATAGTGAGGAGGGTTGGTATGAATGCAGGACATGTCCAGATGGCACATACAGCGATACAACAGGATCATCTAGTTGCACATCATGTGAGTCAGGGAAAAATTGCTCTGACAAGGCAAGTACACCAACTGACTGTCCAGCTGGCACTTACAGTGCACTAGGATATTCAGAGTGTACATCATGTTTAAATGGATATTACAGTGCTGCTGCTGCAGGAAGTTGCACAGCTTGTGAAGCAGGCAAGAATTGCACAGATAAAATTACTCCTGTAAATTGTCCAGTGAATACATACAGTGAGGAAGGCTGGACAGGATGTACTTATTGTTTACCAGGAAGCTATAGTAATGAAGGATCTGGAAGTTGTACAAAATGTCCAGCTGGTAAAGACTGTTCAGATTTGGTACTTGGAATTACTGATTGTGCTGGAGGAACATATAGTTTAGAGGGACAGTTTGGATGTACTGTTTGTCCAGAAGGACAATATAGCCCGGCTGGGGCAGAAACTTGTTCTGATTGCCCTGGAGGAAAAGATTGTACAGACCCAAGTGTCCAAACTGACTGCCCTGCTGGAACATTTGGTCCGTCGGGTGTTTCTAACTGCTCTACTTGTGGTCTTGGTTATTACAGTACTGCAGGGTCAGATATTTGTACTATATGTCCGGCTGGCAAGAATTGTGCTGATCCAGCTGCAACCACAGTTCCTGATGACTGTCCAATCGGTACCTACAGTAATACCGGAGACCATACCTGTATAAACTGCCCATCTGGTTCTACAAGTGCGGCCGGCTCAACATCTTGCACCACATGCGGTGCTGGTTTAGATTGTAGCACAGCTACCAATCCTGTTAACTGTTCAGCCGGAACATTTAGTCCAGAAAATAATGTTGGTTGCTCAATCTGTCCAGTTGGTCACTATAGTGAGGAAGGTGCTTCGTCATGTAAACTTTGCCTACCGGGAAAGAACTGTTCAGATCCAACAGCTGTGACTGATTGTCCAAGTGGGTTTTACAGTGTCCTCGGTCAAGCAGACTGCACAAGTTGCAGTCCAGGTACTAATTGGGAAATTCATATATCTCACATTATATCAATCATAAATCACAAATATATCATAACATGTATAGTAACCAGATTTATATTGTACTAAGTTGCTGAAGTATTTTAGATACAGAATTACAAGTCTGATTTCTTGGTAAAACTCTGAGAAAAAATTAAGGTATTTTTTTTTGCTAATGACTATACATAAATGAATAAACTTTGGCATGATGTATGAAACATCTTTTTTGAAACATAACACAATAAATGATATCTAATATTTGTTGAAAGTTTAATTTGTTTTTCAAAATGTTTAACTTAACTGCAAAGTTATGTTCAAATTACTTTATTATACTTCTACAGAACCTGAAAAAATTAAATATTTTTACAATTCCATTATAGCCTTTATAAGCATACATCTAAATTTGGTTATTGTACACTTTTAACTGCATGAACATGCTATTTCTTACCATCTTTTAACTGTTTTGTCAAGATTTGAACAGTTACAGTGATGGTTATTGTGACAAATTCTTGGATAAATTTTGATTAATTCTTCTCTATTTATTTAATTTTTGAAAAAGATCTACGTCATTCTCATAGACCATCTAGATTTTGCCCATTATTTGTATTTAAATTTTATGTTTTTGATAAAATTCCATTCAATTATTGTTGTACTTTGGACCATAGCAAAGTTGATTGTATATTAAAGTACATAAGGTCATATTTTACTGTCCACTGCCAAAAGCATTATTGGATATGTTCAATATTTTGACAAAACATTGTGCGTGTTTGAAGCTCAAAAATTCTCACAAAACTTTTGTTTGCATGTGCTGTATAAAAAACATTGTGATAACTGAAAACAGTTTGCATAATGATATTAATTATTTATGTCACTTGTATAAAAGTTGTTCATGTACATATTTGTTTTATGTTCTGTTTAAGAAATTGTATTGATTAACCCAAACAGAGAGTGACTTATCTTTGTCACCTGCATACAGTCAGGCCGGCCTGAATATCCACGTGATCAGACCAGGCTGTTGTCTGAGTTACTTCAAATTTTCATCTTAAGATCTCGATAATTCATGATGACTGACAGCTCCAAAAATGGAAACAAAACATGTGCATTTATAGAAAATTCAGCAGATTAAATATAAGGGTTAGAAGTACAATTTCTTCTTTTGAACTGATTTATTTCAATGTGCATCTACATAGTAAAATATAGAGTGTAGTTGATTATACTGAGAACTTATTTCTATTTTATGGTCAACAATATATTTTCAGTTAATGGTAAAATACCACAGACTGTATGATAATTAGTGTAGTTATTTTTAAAGCTTTGATAATTTATGATATTATCATTTATCTCCTGTTTCAACATGAAGTGGTTACTTATGAATTATTATACTGTAGATATAAACATGGAACAAGTTAAGCTGAGTAACAAGAAATTTAATATCCGAGTGTATAATGCTACTATTTGAAACAATTTATATAACTATAAGGACAACATAATTATGCCACCTAGAAACTGATACAAATTGCTTAAAATCTTGAACAAATTTGTAATCCCTGTAAAATGGAGTCATAAATGCAAATAATTTCTCATTATATTGACTGATTGGTTAATTGATAGACAGATTGATTGATTAATTGATCAATTATTGATTGTTTGATCAATGATTAATTGATTGATTGATTGATCAATGATTAATTGCTTGATTGATTGATTGATTGACTAATTGATAAACCTACACTTATTAATTTTATGAGGTTTGTTTTGAATAAATGTTCGTTCTGTAGACCTGTGGAATTTGTTTTAAGTTATTTTAACATTTATATTACCAATAAGTTTATGAAGAAAAGGTTTTTTCCCTAGAATTGATATATAAATTCTATGACCTACTAAGTTAAAGTAAAACTTCTAACCATATAAGTGATATTTTTAGGCCCTCTATATTTTACTGGATGGCTAAACAGAGAAATGTCCCTTCGAGAAATATACTTCTTTGTTTCTTTGTTATGAAAGATTGTGTAATGTTCTGTAAATAATAAATTTTGTTTGTAGTATTTATTTACTGTTTGCAATTTTAAAACAAATACCTTTATTCTCAATTTATATTCTGATCTATTGTCAGTTAAATGCGTATGTTAAATGGACTTGAAATTGCCTTGCACGACAATCATTGAATAAATGTGCAAGGCATGTTTACAGATAACAGTGTAATTTGATTGCACTAAGTCTAGTTCTTTACATTTAGACATTTTAGTTTAAAATAGAAGTTAAAGTTTAATGATTAATGCACTGTTAAAATTTCTGAAAATTAATGAAATAAAATCGATCCAGTTAATTTGACATATTTTGATCATATTGTCACCTTAGTGCAGTAATGGCGTAACTTCTGTTAAATCGGAGTAGGAGTTGTACTAAGATGACGATATGTGCTCTTTCCTTTCACATAACTGCATTATCATTGTAAAAAAATGATTTTATGTTTTAGAAAAAAGATGGAATGATTTCTATGCCTTAGGTCTGATGTTTGGCTTTGACATTTTGTAACATAATTATCTTGGGTTATCCATCTACCGTACAAATACTGTTCCTTTAACTGTTCCACTGTGCTGCTGGCCACTGGATCTACCAGTAACCATGCCACAAGTGCAGACTATGCCACCAGTGCAGACCCAGATCAATGCTGTCTAATAATGGCCTGCACTGTTTGCTTTTCTCTCAGTGCATACTTTAAAATTTTATGTATGATTATGATTGTACAAATTTAAAAATTGACAAGTCCATTTAAGATATTTAGCATTGTAAAATTGATAATATTGAAGAGCGTTATAATTTACGAGTAAAGCTGTAAAGGTGATTTAAGTTTGAATGTCATATAATTATTTTCCTAAAGGGATAGTCTCTTAACAATGGCCATATAGAAACTTGTTAATGTGCTCAGTTCATAACTTTACAGTATATGTTTTAGTTGATTGCATGTTCTCTTAATTATATGTGCTAATTATGCTCTTAATTATAACAGGAATGTTTATATAATGGTGTTTTTGATCTTTACTGTTTTTATTTCTTGACACATGTATAAACATGTATGTACAAATAATAAAAGCATATCAATATGTGAACATGGTGTGTTTTTATAATATTTATATGCATTCTATGGTGGTTTTATTTCTAATTTGCAGTTTCATGCATGCATATATAATTGTATATAATATACATGTTTCTGTATCTAATCATGTGACTTTTTACTCACATTCTTTGGTTTGTTCTGTTGTTGAGATTTTATAATAAATATATTTATAAACAAAACAGTTATTGTAATTCTGTTTATATATGCTTTTGTAGTGAAATAAAACATGTTTTGAAATAGTCAGTTGAATCTAATGTTTAGGATTGTTGCTTTATTAATTTGTTTTGAATTTGTATACTGATCATCATTACCAAATTTCTTAAATTTTACATATGTTACATAAATTTCAAAGAAATTTCAGTTTCAAATTGGTTTAGAATATATTTGAAAGAAAAGTAAATTGATGTAAATTACCTTTATAATGAAAAAGTATTGATTTGTTAGGTTAGTTTTAATTTTTTGAAAGAAAAACAATTAATACAGTTCAGGTTTCTATTTTTTTATTTCAGTTATTTTTTTTTCCACTACCAATTGTATATTATTATAATAAATAGAGATGCTAGAAAAGTTTTATTTTAATTTCTGAATATTTTCTGTATTTCTATATAGATAAGAATGTATTTGCAAGTTTTGCCGGATACCATATCCATTATTATATATCTTTAAAGCATGAACATTTTGTATTCTAATTTAGAAGATTAGTATTTTAATATAACAATTTGACTATTTCAGGACATTACTCAACGGCTGGTCAGACGAGTTGTACACAGTGTACAGCAGGTTATTCTTGCACAACAACGACTCAGTCACAGTGTGGAACAGGTTCATACAGCAGTGCGGGTTCAACTTCCTGTACAACATGCCCAGCAGGTCATGAATGTTCCTCTGTAACAACCGGAACCCCGACAGAATGTACCGCCGGAACTTACGCAGCTGCTGGAGCCGCATCTTGCTCCCCTTGTGGTAAAGGTTTCAAGTGTCCAAATAACGGCATGGATTCACAAATTGCATGTACAACAGGGCAGTACCAGCCATCTACTGGTCAAACAACATGTATTGACTGTCCAGCAGGTAAACTCTTTCATTATCTTGATGCATATCTATTTTTAGCTAGATTATGAAATAATGTCTTTCAATTTAATAGTAGAAATCAGATTCAAGTCCCTTTCCTTGAATTAATCATTTCTGGTGTCATGTGAGGAAACTTTATTGTTGCTTGAGTAGGCCTCAAACCACATTCCCTGGGTAGTGAGGCAGGTACTTTAGCCCAAGGCCATAGCTCATTGAAGAGGATGAATAAATTTTCAAAGTGACTTATCGATATAAGAAATCACTTAATTTTAGGAATATTTAAGTAATTTAATACAAACTTACAAAATATGAGATAATGTTATTGAACTTTTGACAAGAATTTAATAAGACATTTAAGGCATTTATTGTAAACTTGGATATTGACTGTAACTATTGCCAAAGTACAGATCAATTGACTGCTGTGCCTCATGTAATAATTTATAAGGCTGCTTCTTTTTTATTTGTTTAATACATTAGAAACCCACATGCACATCTGTTAAAAAGAATTTCTGTATTTTATTATCAATATTCTTTTTGGGGGAATTCAGTGAATCATCAAAATGATTTTTCTTGAAATTTCTAAACATTGATTATGATATTTATTATTTGTTTTAGGTCAAGAATGTACAAGCGTAAGTGCTGCAGCCGCGGACTGTCCGGCAGGTAAGTACAGTCCTGCAGGTGTTGACACATGTATCACATGTCCAGCAGGGGAGTATACATCATCTGCTCAACAAGCCAGCTGTACACAATGTCCTGCCGGATCAGAATGTACAACAACTGCTGCATCCCTTTGTCCTGCTGGAGAATACAGGTAAATATCTTCAACATTGTTCTGTATCATTATCTTTCATAATGATTTGGTTGAAAACATCACTATATATAAATAGCATTTATTCCCAGTCACTGACTCAAGTTAAATTGGCACTTGTTTAACAATAGAATTATTCATTTACAGTCTATACTGCCTGAGTGACCCCTTAAAATCAACAACTTATGAATCCTAGTTGTGTAGCTATATATGATAGAATACTTCTACAAACTGGAGAAACAAAAAATAAAATCCACCACAGTTGTTTACTGATGACCAACTTGTCAAGTACATTGTGTAGAATTTTAAATGTTCAGAAAGATAAAATTGTTGAATAATTTTTGTTTCAAAGTAGTTTAAGAAAAATTAATCATTCCAAGATTGTGTGCCTAGATTGAGAAAATACATGTAGGCCAACATATCTACATCCTTTACCATCTATTAGTCTTGACTCTAAAATTATTTTTTATGTTTATCAGTTCTGCTGGACAGACACAGTGTACCCAATGTGGTCCGGGGACATACAAGGCTAACACAGGCACCGGCACATGTTCACCATGTGACGCAGGTTTTGAATGCCCAACAACAGCAGCAAGTAAGTTAAAATCCCATCTTAAACTTTAATGTTGAACTATTTACTGTATTGATCATGTATTATTATTTCTTGGCGTCATATGGTTCACTACTCCTTATTTAACTCCTTATCATTAAAATAAATTTTTTTTATTAGATATCGATGTCATAGTATAAAGTAGGGATGGCAACGAATACCAAAATCTATACTCGAGTACTCGGTCATTTTTCCGATCGAGTACTCGGTTACTCGGATGATTTTTAATGATCTTTAAAGTTTTATCACACAATCAATATCAACACCGTCTGTATGCTACTTTCGTTTTCTATTTTAATTCATAGAATTCGTAACTATAAATAGGACTGCAAGAAATATAAAAATATAAACATAAGAAATGTCAATGACAGCATTTCTTATATACCTATAAATTTTCTCCCTAAATTACAGGATGAACTTGAAGCGCAAATGCAAATACGCTTCAATTAACGGATAGAAATTGACAAATATGGTACCATATATGGAAGTGCCGGACTTTTTTTGACATTGGTTCCGATCTTAGCTTTGTATAAACGTAGCATTTAAAACCGAAACCAAAATTATAAAAGGCGTGGCCGGTTTTGCAAAAATTACGTATTCATCCGTCAGTCATAAATTTACTTCCTGACAGCTACATTTCATTTTATTGAAATTTCTTATAGTGTAGTATAATGAAAATCATTTATAATTCAAACAAAAAGGTATATAATAAAAAGAAATTTATGTTGTAGAAGCTTTCTGAGCCCACAGACACTTGGGGTTTGGAGCTCAAAATGCCTTTAAAATCCAAATAAATGCATATTTGTCAATCTCAGCACATGTACTGATCATATATATCAAAAAAACTTAATATAAGCCGTTTTGAAAAAAATTCATATTTCAACATCTATAATAATAAAAGTACATTAATTATTATAGATGTTGAAATATGAATTTTTTTCAAAAATGATCAGTACATGTGCTGGGATAGACAAATTTGCATTTCAATTATTTGGATTTTAAAGGCGTTTTGAGCTCCAAACCCCAAGTGTCTGTGTGTTGGAAAATTGTTATTTCGCCTATCTTCCATCTCGCGAGATATCAATTTTTCCACCGCTGCTCGTAGCACAACATAATATTCCGTATATATTTACGTTTTTATAATAAACAAGTTTCGGCTTGTCTAATATTTAAAGGTGATTAAATATCATAAGAGGCCGAATGACATAAACGACACAAGACTGTGTTCAATCAAATACGCGTGTCAAACTGCTGATCGTCTCGTTAAATTTACGATATCATTTTCACACCTCTGCAAGGATATTTTGATTGCATTTAATAAGTATTTATATAGATACGTGTACATTTCCGAATTTCTGAACTAATCTTTCTTAATCGCAAAAACGTAGAAATTAAATATTTTTTTCTGAGTAATCGATTATCAATTTTGTTAACCGATATTCGGACGTTCGATCGAGTACTCGGTTAACCGGTTACTCGTTGCCATCCCTAGTATAAAGTCATTGATACTTTGTACATTATTTTCTTTTCTTTTCTTCTTTTACTAAATCTTGAAGATTTGATTAATTTTTCTCCTGCTTAAAAGTTTCGTATCTTATGTCAGTATGATTTTGTGCTCATGGGACCAGGGCAATACTACTATTATGAGAAATATTTTAGATTAGTAAAAAGGTTAATAAAATTGGTGTAAATATAATATTTTGTTACATTTTTTCAGAGAGTGCATGTTCAAGTGGTTACTATTCACTGGGGGGTCTTGAGAGCTGCCTACCGTGTCCGGCTGGTCATGAATGTTCAGACTCTGCAGTGGCTCCTGTAGAATGTAGTGCTGGTACCTATGCTACTAATACAAGTACAGTGTGTAGTGATTGTGATGCAGGGTACAAATGTCCGTCTGCTGGTCTAGGTGAACAGATACCATGTCCAACTGGGTATTATCAGACGTCAACAGGCCAATCGACATGTACACAGTGTGGTCAAGGTATGTATATATATTGTTTATTTGAGTCTCATCCATACATAACAACATAAAAACAATTCTGTTGCATAATTTTACAAAATAAAAAATGTTTGTGTACAGCCATGCTAATCAGAAATACAAGAGACTTAAAGTAACCTAATGGAAGGGAGGCAAATCTGCAAGAATTTACAGAGTTACCTCTCTTCTCATTCCATATTCATAAGCGTATTACAACTAAAATAAGAAATTGTTGCTATTCTTGTTCTAAAAGACTCAAAGAATTTCTGGTACAATTGCTTTATAGTGAATACCCTAGTAATGTTCTCTAGAAATCATTACATTATATTGATTACATTATATCCTATTAGTGTTCTACTGATCTTGTTTAAAAAACATTATAAAAAAAAATATTTACAGTGATTAAAATATATAATAAGAATCTCTGGCACTTTACAATGTTTTATTCTGAAACTCTACAATATGTGACTCTGAAACTATCTGTCTGTTTGTTGTAAAGTTCATTTTGATTACGAGAACATGTTTTACAACTGTAAATGATGATATAAATTGAGATATTGTTGTTTATTAAAGGTGAAAAGTGTACAGACAGTACAGCATCTCCCACCCAATGTGCTGAAGGAACATATCAAGATGATTATGGACAAGACTCATGTATTGATGTAAGTCCATTCTAATGATAAATCTATTTCCCTATTTCCCCACATTGTATCAGCATAATCTCTATTTTTTGCCATTTCCCAACATTGTATTTCAACACTGTGCATTTCCTATTTCCCTTCATTATATCATAGTTATCTTTTTTCCATAATTTCCAACATTTTACTGGTACAATCTATTTTTCCATTGTGTATCAATAATTATATAATCTTTTTTCACCATATTCATAATTATACCCCTGCACAACAAAGTTGTAAGGGGGTTATACTGGAAACAGCTTGTCCTTCCAGCCATCCGGCTGTCCGGCCGTCTGGCGTCCGGCGGTTTTTTCTTGTCCGCCCAATAACTTAAGATTCCTTTGACCCCCAGTCATAATATTTGGCATGGAGGTTAGTCATGACGAGTAGATGACCCCTTTTGATTTTGAGGTCACCAGGTCAAAGGTCAAGGTCACAGGGGCATTGACTTCAAAAAGGTTTTCCGCCCAATAACTTAAGATTCCTTTGACCCATAGTCTTCATATTTGGCATGGAGGTTAGTCATGACAAGTAGATGACCCCTTTTGATTTTTAGGTCACCAGGTCAAAGGTCAAGGTCACAGGGGCCTTGACTTCAAAAAGCTTGTCCACCCAATAACTTAGGATTCCTTTGACCAACAGTCTTCATATTTGGCATGGAGGTTAGTCATGACAAGTAGATGACACCTATTAATTTTGAGGTCACCGGGGCAAAAGTCAAGGTCACAGGGGCCTTGACTTCAAAAAGCTTGTCCGCCCAATAACTTAAGATTCCTTGGACCCACAGTCTTCATATTTGGCATAGAGGTTAGTCATGATTAGTAGATAACCCCTATTGATTCTAAGTTGACTGGGTCAAAGGTCAAGGTCACAGGGGCCTTGATAAGTAGATGACCCCTTGTGATTTTGAGGTCACTGTGTCAAAGGTCCCCTAAAAAAAGCTTTTCCCCTCAATTGCTTTAGAATGCCTGTCCGCAGTTTATTGATTTTGACATTTTCACATTTGAAGCATGTAGAATACATAGCACTGGCTTAGTAACCTCAGATTTGGCAGGGACATTGTCCTTGAGCTCTAAATGGCCACTGTTGATTCTGACAAAGTGGTATGCGGGTGTATTCACGCCATGACAGTGGCAGTTCTAGTTGTTCTAGTGTTCGAAGTATAATCTTTATTTTTCTGTTTTGTTTAAGTATACTTCATTTAACCAATTTGGTGTGTTTGATTCTTCTTTTTTGAACTTTACCACAATGCTTTTTAAACGTTACCATAATAAAATGATGCTTTTTAAACCTTGTATATTTCAGTGTCCATCTGGTTATTATGCAGATTCAACCGGGTCAGTCACATGTACTATATGTCCAGCCGGTTCACAGTGCTCGGACCCAACAGTCGCTCCCGTAGCTTGTCCAACTGGAGATGTAAGTATTATTCTATATCTTTTTTATTTTTTATATGCCCGAAAGGGCATATTATGTTATACTCCCTGGCGTCCGTCTGTCTGTCCGAGCAAACATTTGATATTTATGAGCTTCATTCCGTAGTTAAATAAAGAACAAAAGCTCATAAAATTCAAATTAAGAGCTATTTTTTTGATTTTATGAGCTGATTTTGCTTATGGACTTTGGTCCAGGTGTAGTTTATGAGCTGACTTACCTCTTAAATATCAAAAGTTGGTACGTCCGTCCATCCGTCCACACTGCCGAATAAGGATAGGGGGCCATCTAACTGTAAACAGAACAAAAGAGAACAATAGAGTTCATTCCGTAACAATAGAGTAAGGGGCCATTGGCCCTCTATTAAACAATAGAAAATAACAAAAGAAATGGCCCCTTATTCCGTTTCGGCCGGACATTCGTCCGTCCGTTAGCAATTTGGTTTCCGGAGCATTACTTAAGTTCCATTTAGCCCACAATGTTCAAACTTCATAGGATGATTGTCCATATTGGGTAGAAGACCCCTATTGGTTTTGGGGTCAAAAGGTCAAAGGTCAAGGTCACTATGACCTTAAAACTGAAAACAGTTTCCGGAGCATAACTTAAGTTCCATTCAACCCACAATGTTCAAACTTCATAGGATGATTGTCAATATTGGGTTGAAGACCCCTATTGATTTTGGGGTCAAAAGGTCAAAGGTCAAGGTCACTATTACCTTTATACTGAAAACAGTTTCCGGAGCATAACTTAAGTTCCATTCGACCCACAATGTTCAAACTTCATAGGATGATTGTCCATAGTGGGTAGAAGACCCCTATTGATTTTGGGGTCACAAGGTCAAAGGTCAAGGTCACTATTACCTTGATACTGAAAACAGTTTCCGGAGCATAACTTAAGTTCCAATTGACCCACAATATTCAAACTTCATAGGATGATTGGCCATATTTGGTAGAAGACCCCTATTGATTTTGGGGTCACAAGGTCAAAGGTCAAGGTCACTATTACCTTGATACTGAATACAGTTTCCGGAGCATAACTTAAGTTCCATTTGGCCCACAGTGTTCAAACTTCATAGGATGATTGTCCATATTGGGTAGAAGACCCCTATTGATTTTTGTGTCAAAATGTCAAGGGTCAAGGTCACTATATCCTTAAAACTGAAAACAGTTTCCGGAGCATAACTTAAGTTCCATTTGGCCCACAATATTCAAACTTCATAGAATGATTGTCTATATTGGGCAAAAGACCCCTATTGATTTTGGGGTCACAAGGTCAAAGGTCAATGTCACAATTACCTTAAAACCAAAAACAATTTCCGGAGCATAACGTAGGTTCCATTTGGCCCACAATATTCAAACTTCATAGGATGATTGGCCATATTGGGTAGAAGACCCCTATTGATTTTGGGGTCACAAGGTCAAAGTCACTTTTACCTTTATACTGAAAACAGTTTCTAGAGCATAATCAAAGTTCCAATTGGCCCACAATATTCAAACTTCTTAGGATGATTGTCCATATAAGGTTGAAGACCCCTATTGATTTTGGGGTCACAAGGTCAAAGGTTAAGGTCATTATAAATAACTTAAGTATTAATCTACCTACAGCTGTAAAATTTTATAGGATGAACAGCGAATTCCCATGTCTTACAAATGCTTCATCCTTACTTTCGGGCATATAATGCTCTGCCTAGCGGTGCTCTTGTTTTGTATCTTTATGATGAAAAGATGCCTTAAATAATGCACGGAAGGGCACCTGAGGTCTTTCTCCAGGAGTAAAGCTGAAAGTCGCCATATGACCTATAGTGTGTTGGTGTGAGGTAAAAACAAATGTTGAAGTAAGCAAACATTTTGATAAATGTCGCTCTGGTTTGTGTTAGAATATGTTTATGATTGATATACTTTGAAACTTTATTGGATTAAAGTGTTATTGACAATTTTATAGTACATAATTATTACAATAACTATCAGTAGATGTTTAAAATAACCATGCTAAATACATGTAAGGTACCTGTCTTTGAATTGGGAATTGTCCACTGTTTCTTGGAGGAGAAATGTATCTGTTTATTAAGGAAGATATGTTCTGTTTTTATTGTTTTGTTTTCTTTTAGTGTTTCGGGAATGTAAAGTTGTTTTTATTTATGAGAAATATCAGACAACTGTATATAAAATTACACACTTTTTATTTTGAAATGTGTAGTCACACCACTTATCATATAGAATGTGTTCAAAATGAATGTGCAAATACTGTGTAGAAAAAAATCAAGAGTTGGTAGGAAATCATCTTGATTTTGAGTGAACACAAATTGCTGAATTCATGTAACTTGTGCATGCATATTTTATTTTCATTGCAAATATGGAAGTACATGTTTCATTTTATAATTTATGTAATCAGTATATCCGTGAAAGTGCATTACATGTTATAAAGTATATTGCTGAGTTTATATGCTTGTTAAAACCTCAAATGGTTTTTTAATAGACAACCATAATATACATTACCATATGGCTGATCAAAAATTCTTGTAGCAAATTTATATTGCTGCACAAACACTTTCTTCGATTTAAATAAAAGTCAATTAAGGTATTTGCAGAAATTGTTAATTAATGTAATCTAGAAATTATAACGATCCAATGAAAACGGATATGTTTCAAATATGCAGTGTTAAAAACTGTTAGTATATTCAAACCTTATATATTTCTGCACAATGCACTCCACTCCAGGGGACCTTCTTTGAAGTGTTGAGATAAGAAATTATTACAAAAGATATTTAAATTTTCATGTTGCTCTTTTGCATTTAAAGTGTTTTTTTGCATATAAAGTTGATTTATATTGACCTGCAAAACTTTTTGACAGACAATTTATCCTTATTTCTATGGCAGAGTTTTCTTTTTGTAAGATAATAGATGTTGAATCACGATGTTGTATATAGAGGATATTGAATGAGTGTAGTTTAATACTAAATTTATTGAACAAGTTTAATAAAATCATATTATGTGAGCCTCTGGCGAGCATAATATGGTTTTATTCAACGAGTTCAATAAATTTAGTATTGAATCTACACGAATATAATATTCTATTTATCACATATGTAAAATAAGAGTAGTAAACTGTTAAAATGATTATTTTTACAATGACACGGCTATAGTGTAACTCTAACATTAGCGCGCTTTAATGCTATGTTTTTATTTAGCGCAAATGACGTCACGTCAAAGTGTTATTTCACTCGTGTAATATCGTTTTTATTAGATGGCTTTATTACACTCCTGCGCCGCGGTTTATGTGATAAAATGTTTTAAATATTTATTGATATATTTCAGTTCTCTGCCCAAGGGAGCACAGCGTGTACGTCATGTCCCGCAGGTCACACTTGTAGTGGAAGTACTGCCACCCCATGTGCTGTAAGTTACTTTGATCATCTTGAAGTGGCATAATGATTATTTCTAGCTGGACTTTCTGAAAAATTGGGAGAACTAATAATTGTCCTTATTCAGGCATCAGCATCACACTTTGGTTAAGTTTTTGTGAGTAAGTTGGTAATTCCTAAAACTACTGAAGAGAATAGGTGAATATATTCATACACTTATTCAAGAGCAAGAAAGGAAGCCACTTTCCAAAGTGCATAATCTAACTTGAAATTTGACATAATTATGGCCATTTTGGAACTAACAAAATTCTACAGTTTTATTATCAAGCACTGGGAATAGTCAAGCACTCTGTCTTTTTTCCTGAGTCAGGCTGCAGGAGCACTGAATTTTCATGATATTTGATTTTAAGAAATTTACTAGGTTTTACTTGATTGTGTTTATATAAAGGGAATTTAATTTTGTTTTAATTTTTTCACATTGCAGAGTTTAATTTGTTTAAATCTACATTTTTGTTATATAATAGGCTGGTACATATGTAGACAACAATGTTTGTGTAGCTTGTCAAGCAGGGAACGAGTGCTCAGATCCGACCATTGGCATGGTAGTATGTGCAGACGGGAAATACCAGACAGCCACTGGTCAGTCATCTTGTGATGATTGTCCAGCTGGTCAGAAATGTACGAGTAAAAGTGGAGCAGCAGTTGACTGTGATGCTGGTTATTTCAGTCCACTAGGTGTCAGCACTTGCACGGTATGTATATAGGTTTTGTTAAAATATATAAAGCTATATATTTGCAGTCTATGGATTGTTAAATTATTGTTTATATTGTGATTAAAGTGATTTCAGAAAACTTAAAATAAAAGAATTTTGTCAGTATATTTTATTGAAAGCAATTTAAGTTTGCATGAAAATGATACCAAAGCTTACTATAAAAAGTAGGAGAATATTTGTTCCAAAGCATTCTATTCTGTTTACATACAATATTCATATATACTTACTAACATACATTTTCTATGTTGCAAATCTTTCAAGAAACTAATATAAGGTTATAAAAACAACATCATTATGCTGTTGAAATACTGTCAATTAAGGTAATATCAACATTACTTATAATTGTTGAGGGAATGTTACATTATAGTAATTGATACTCTCAATGAACTGTCACAGGAATGATACACTTACATATTGTTGTTGTTATTTAAGCTGGAGATCTTCTACAGTTCTAAAATTGTAAATACATATATATATTTAATCATTATTTCTATTATTGGCTAATACATGTAGGTCATACTGTTTAATGTGTATGTATGTTTGTTTATACATTTATTTTACTTAACAGATTAATGATATTAGGATTTCATGCTATTATGTGAATATTGCAGCAATGCCCTGATGGTTACTATAGTGCAGCCAAAGCTTCTACATGTTCACAATGTCCAGCTGGTCAGAAATGTTTTGATGGGTCCAACTATATAAATCCTACAAATTGTGACGCTGGCTATTACAGTTTACTGGGTGATTCATCGTGCACAGCTTGTGCTGCAGGTAACTTAATTGTCTTAACTTTTTACTTTGTATTTTTGTACAAACCTTTTAAACATTCAAACACTGAGCATGTATCTTCATGCTAATAAATTTATGATTACATGGCAAAATTTGATTGCATATTAAAGGAAATGATATTGTCTTCAAGAACAATCTTTAGCAAATGAATAAATTAATTAAATTTTGATTAATTAATTAATTTATTAAAACTAAACTGTTAGTTTTTATACGCAAAATTAATTTTTTTTTTCATAAAGTTATTATTATCAATTTAGTTCAATTTCAACACTTGAATGTTTAGATACTAGATAATTATAGAAGAACATGAGAAAGTTACTCTGTCTTAGCCTCTAAGGGAAGATATTTTTTCACATGATAGTCTTTGTATATATTCTTGTGTTGGAGCTATAAGCTTGTTAAGAAATTGTCATATTTTTTATCATTTGTCCATTGCCCCTCACCAACACCCTGACCCAAAAAGAGGCTGTGAAATAAGGTGACAGTTTGTAATTTATTTTAGGTACAACAAGTACTTCAGGTTCCAGTTCTTGTACACTATGTCCAGCAGGATTCCAGTGTAATGACCCTACATCTGCTGTTGCTTGTTCTAATGGATTCTACAGTCTAGAAGGAAATGTGAGTGAATAAGTGTTTTAGAAAATTTAGAAGTATTGTTGAATGAAACAATTCATATATAACCTTGACCTCTACAAAATCTTGACCTTGAAAGTCAAATTATTGTATTTTCATGAAATCAGTCAGAATTGTGTTACTTATGAATGGATATGATTTATACTTTGACAAAATAAAATGTTACAAGTGTCACAAGACTGATTGCTGTCAATGTAATGTAAAATTACCCATTACTGACAGTGACATGTTACATTACTTATTACTTTACGATATGAACTATCACAAGATTTATTACTGTCAAGGAAATATTACTTACATTATTGATTACTTTCTAAGAAATTTCACATGACTGATCATTGTCAAGGAAATGTTTCATTACTTATCACTGTCAGTCATGTCTAATATGACTTAAAATTGTGAAGGAATGTCACATGCCTGATTACTTTCAAGGAAATGTAACATAACTGATTACTGTGATTGAAACATCGCATATTTACTACTGTTGAGGAATTGTCACATGACTTATTCCTGTCAATCAAATGTCACATGACTGATTACTGTCAAGGAAATGTACATGATTGATAACTGTGTTTGAAACATCACATGATTTACTTCTGTTGAGGAAAAGTCACACAACTTATTCCTGGCAATCAAATGTCACATGACTGATTACTGTCCAGGAAATATGACAGAATTAATTACAGTCAGTAAAATGTCACATGGCATGTCAAATGTCTGATTAATGTCAGGAAATGATGCATGACTGATTGCTGTCAATAAAATATGATATGAACGATTAATGTCAAGTAAATGTCACATTATTATGTTCTTTGAATGTCACATTACTAATACCAGTCATTGAAATGTCACATGTTTGATTACTGTCAATGAAAAAGTACTGATAACTGTCAATTAAATGTCACAATACTGAAGTCATTGCAATATCACATTACTCATAACTGTCAAGCAAATGGCTTATATCTGATAAATATTCTATGTAACTCATGATCTGATAAACAAGATAATAATATATTTTAGACTTTAATGTGTAGAGTTTATAATTGGTTTTTACTGAAGTCTGTAATATAGTAGTGTTGTATTAGTGATATATATATATATCTATTACATTGATGTATATATAGTGATATATTTATTTCAGACAATTGCATGTACAGAATGCCCTGCTGGTTATTCATGTGCCACGACGTCTGCTGCACCAGCAATATGTGCTTCAGGAACATATTCTACGGTCCAGTCACAATCATGTACTGCCTGTCCTACTGGACAGTCATGTATTGACCCTTCAGAAGCACCTGTCAACTGTGACACTGGCTACTACAGCCCATCTGTAAGTTTATTACTTCATATAAACTTGATTAATATCTAAATTTTATTCTAAATATTGAAGATGTTACAATACTTGTATATTAGTTCATTAAGAATCAGTATTGACTATGTATAAATACCCTTTCATTGTACAGGGAACAGCAACTTGTTCAGCATGTCCAGCAGGGAAAGAGTGCACTTCAGATCCAGATAGTCCAACAGCATGCAGCAGTGGAGAGTACAGTCTTTCAGGAGTGAGTGATTGTACTGTATGTCCAGCAGGTAGCATGTGTCCGTACACTACATCCAGTCCTATAGCTTGCTCCTCTGGTCAGACAACAGGTGGAAATACTGGACAGACATCATGTACCGATTGTACAGCTGGTAATGCATGTCCTGATCCAAGGTATGTCACTGTTTCTGCCTTACATTGTTAACATTATTTTAGCCGCGTCATGACAAAACCAACATAGTGCGTTTGCGACCAGCATGGATCCAGACCAGCCTGCGCATCCGCGCAGTCTGATCAGGATCCATGCTGTTCGCTATCAGTTACTCTACTTGCTAAAGGGTTTGTAAGCAAACAGCATGGATCCTGATCAGACTGCGCGGATGAGCAGGCTGGTCTGGATCCATGCTGATCGCAAACCCATTATGTTGGTTTTGTCGTGACGCGTCTCATATTTTTATAAGGGTGTGACTCCTTATCTTGCCTCAAAAGAATAAGAATCTTTCGTAAAAAATATTGCATGAATGTTTTTTTCTCGTGCAGCTGCTTAACACTAGATAGATGGCAGACACTACATTTCATATCTTATTCTTTCAATAAGTCAAACATCTGTAAATGCATTATTTTCAATTTTATTATAGTTTTGTAGAATGAATTTAAAGTATTTTGAGCATGTACGGATAAATGTAAAATTGCTTTTTTTTTCTCCTACAACATGTAAACAGTGAGCACTTACAGTTATGGTTTTAATCACCAACAAAATTGGTGCACTTTCCTGTTGAGAATGATATTCTACTGATAATAACTTTAACATTTATGACTCAAATCTGATGTGTTGTGATTATTATAATTGACTGTATTTCTATTTATAGTCTTGCTGAGCAAGCTTGTACACCAGGCCAGTATGCACTTGCGAAGGCAACAACTTGTACAACATGTCCATCAGGGTATAAATGTGTAACAACTAGTGCAGCACCTGTTCTTTGTGGTGCAGGAGAGTATTCTACAAGCGGTCAGACCACATGTCAAACATGTGCTGCAGGGGCCTCATGTACTATCACAGGGACTGTCAGAACTTGTAGCTTAGGTAATTCAACATTTCTTTTGTAATATATATTATTGCATTTTATAAAAGAATGTCTCATGATAAGTTGCTATCTTTTACATTTTTAGCTCACCTGTCACAAAGTGACAGGGTGAGCTTTTGTGATCGCTTTTCATCCGGCGTCCGTCCGTCGTCCGTCCGTCCGTCGTCCGTCCGTAAACTTTTACTTTAAATGATATCTCCTCATAAACCACTAGGCCAATTTCATCCAAACTTCACAGGAATGTTCCTTTGGTGGTCACCTTTAAAAATTGTTCAAAGAATTTAATTCCATGCAGAACTCTGGATGCCATGGCAACCGAAAGAAAAAACTTTAAATATCTTCTTTTAAAAAACCATAAGAGCTAGAGCTTAGATATTTGGCATGAAACATCTTCTAGTGAGTGTCTACCAAGTTTGTTCAAATAAAAGCCCTGGGGTTCAAATTGGCCCCGCCCCGGGGGGTCATTGATTTTCCCTATATGCATATAGTAAAAACTTAAAAATCTTCTTTTAAAGAACTCAAAGAGCTATGGCTAAGATATTGAGCATCAAACATGTTCTAATAGGTGTCTACCAAGTTTGTTCAAATAAAAGCCCTGGGGTCAAAATTGGCCCGCCCCAGGGGGTCATTGATTTTCCCTATATGCATATAGTAAAAACTTAAAAACTCTTCTTTTAAAGAACCAAAAGACTTAGAGCTAAGATATTTAGCATGAAACATGTTCTAATAGGTGTCTACCAAGTTTGTTCAAATAAAAGCCCTGGGGTCAAAATTGGCCCGCCCCGGGGGGTCATTGATTTTCCCTATAAGCATATAGTAAAAACTTAAAAAATCTTCTTTTAAATAACTCAAAGAGCTATGGCTAAGATATTTAGCATCAAACATGTTCTAATAGGTGTCTACCAAGTTTGTTCAAATAAAAGCCCTGGGGTCAAAATTGGCCCCGCCCCGGGGGGTCATTGATTTTCCCTATATGCATATAGTAAAAACTTAAAAACTCTTCTTTTAAAGAACCAAAAGAGTTAGAGCTATGATATTTAGCATGAAACATGTTCTAATAAGTGTCTACCAAGTTTGTTCAAATAAAAGCCCTGGGATCAAAATTGGCCCTCCCCGGGGGGTCATTGATTTTCCCTATAAGCATTTAGTAAAAACTTAAAAAATCTTTTTTTAAAGAACTCAAAGAGCTATGGCTAAGATATTTAGCATCAAACATGTTCTAATAGGTGTCTACCAAGTTTGTTCAAATAAAAGCCCTGGGGTCAAAATTGGCACCGCCCCGAGGGTCATTGATTTTCCTTATATGTGTATAGCAAAAACTTAAAAAATCTTCTTTGAAAAAACCCAAATAGCTAGAGTTAAGATATTAAGCATGAAACATCTTTTAGTGAGTGTCTACAAAGTTTGTTCAAATAAAAGACCTGGGGTCAAAATTGGCCCCGCCCTGGTGGTCATTGATTTTCTTTATATGTGTATACATAGCAAAAACTTAAAATCTTCTTTGAAAAAACCCAAATAGCTAGAGTTAAGATATTAAGCATGAAACATCTACTAGTAAGTGTCTGCAAAGTTTGTGCAAATAAAAGCCCTGGGGTCAAAACTGGCCCGGCCCCAGGGGTGTCATTGTTTTTAACTATATGTGTAAAAAAAAAAATCTTCTTTTAAAAAGCCCAATGAGCTAGAGCTTAGATGTTTAGCATGAAACATCTTCTTATGAGTGTCTACCAAGTTTGTGCAAATAAAAGCCCTTGGGTTAAATTGGTCCTGCAAGGTTGGGGGGGGGGGGGCTATATACAGGTGAGCGACCTCAGGGCCATCATGGCCCTCTTGTATACTTGATAGACTTACAGTTTAACTCCATATTTTCATACGAGATTTAAAGGCACATTATGCCCTAGAAATCCTCATTTTTTAGTTCATTGGAAATGTCAAAGTTCAACAATCTTTAATAATGTTTTAATGATGAATTTCGAGCATGTTAGATGTTAAACAACTAAATGTGCAGTTATATGTGGTAAAGGTAGCAAAATGTTAACAAAGAAGTATTCATACCAAAAACTAATTCACTATAATTACTGGTATACCTATTTTGCCAACAGAGTAGCAAAAGGTAGTTCATGTATATGGCTTGTGAGATATTATTTGAAAACTGTAACAATATATCAAAAAATAATTATTCAAATAATCAGAGATGGGTAATCAGTTACAGTAATTGTAATCAATTAAGTAATTAATTACTCAAACACAAGTAATCAGATGTATTCAATTACTGATCTGAATTTGATTACATTAAGTAAAGGTGTTGCCTGGTCAATTTACAGGTAATTCAGCACGTGTGAAGATGGAGTTATTAAGTTATAGAATGATAAGAAATGTTCAAGGGCATTGCGTAAATTAAGTTTTATTAGTCCCCTACCGGTTTACCGGAGGGGACTTTAGGTTTACCCTCCGTCCGTCTGTCCGTCCGTCCGTCCGTCAGTCCGTCCGTCCACAAAACTGGATCCCGCGATAACGCAAAAGTACTGAAAATATTTTAATGAAACTTGATATATGGATAGATGGCAGTATGGAGATTATGCACGTCTTTTTCTTTTCTTCCTATGTTGAAAATTCTGGTTGCTATGGCAACAAATAGACTGAAAATATGGCAAATTTTACACATAACCTGGATCCCGCGATAACGCAAAAAGTACTGAAAATATTTTTAATGAAACTTGATATATGGATAGATGGCAGTATGGAGATTATGCACGTCTTTTTCTTTTCTTCCTATGTTGAAAATTCTGGTTGCTATGGCAACAAATAGATTGAAAATATGGCAAATTTTACACATAACCTGGATCCAGTGATAACACAAATAAGTACTGAAAATATGTTTATGAAACTCGACATATGGGTAGATGGCAGTATGGAAATTATGCACATCCTTTTCTTATCTTCCTATGTTGCAAATTCTGGTTGCTATGGCAACAAATAGACTGAATTTCAAGATTTCTGATTCTAGTTTTTAAGTTTTTTCACTATAATTTCTTTATTTCTTAAAGGTATTTTCTTCAAACTTTAAATATAAGTTGCTTGTCATCAACCACATCATATGTGACAAGGTTCACAACTCTAGCACAAAATTTATCAGAATTACCTCCCTTGAACTTAAAATTTTCATGAAAAAAACATTGTTTTTTTTTAATAACTTCTTTTTCTGAATGTATCTACTTCAAACTTCATATAAATGTTTCTTATTATCACTCAACATTTGTGAGTGTTCAATACTCTAGCAAGACTATTTCCAGAATTATGCCCCTTTTGAACTTAGACTTTTTTTTGAGAAATTGGTAATTTTTACTCCAACTTCTTCAATCATGATAGGATTTTAAAAATGTTATATTTTGATAACAGGGATGTTTAAAAAATAACTTTAGAGTGTCCTTCAGTCCGTCTGTCTGTACATAAAAACTTTTTTATTGTGATCACTTTTAAAGAACTTTTTCAACAAATTTACTTAAAATAGGAACCTAAGTGAATGGCCAATGGCCCTTCAGAATGTTGCTTGGGCTCTTACCGGTAGGGGACTTATGGATTGCTTGCAATACTATGATAATTGCTTGTTTTTTTTAAATTTTGAATATGTATGAAATTCATACTGTAACAATGTAAAAAAAGTGCTCATTCTGTGAGTTATAGATAGTACTTATTCTGTTTTTAAGCACTTATTTTGAAATGTATTGAATGCATTTTTTAAAAATAATTTCAGGTTATTATGCAGCTTCCGGAACTGGTAAATGTACACGATGTCCTGCAGGACAGTATTGTCCTAATCCTGCAAATGCTCCAATAGACTGTGATCCAGGACAATATTCTTACATGGGCTCAACTTCATGTACAGATTGTGAACCAGGCTGGGAATGTCCAAATCTGGATGGTACAGGCAGAACTCCATGTCTTGCTGGCTTTTATGCAGTTGGTAAGGCAGATGATTGTACTCAATGTCCAGCAGGTAGTGCATGCCCAGATGTAAACCATGCTACAGTAATAACATGTCTTGCTGGATCATACGCTGTGGCAGGCAGTACTCAGTGTACAGAATGTCCACCTGGTTATGAGTGCCCATCAACAACAGCAGCAACACAAACAGAATGTGCCGAAGGTTTCTACAGCCCGGGAGGGCTTGATGCATGTGTTGAATGTCCAGCAGGTTATGAATGTCCTACAATTTATGATGACACAGTCATACAGTGCGAGCGTGGCTTTTATTCCGAGGCAGGTGCCAAATATTGTACCGAGTGTGAAGCTGGAAAAGAATGTCCTAATAATAATGCTCAAGGTACTAACTGTAACACTGGCTACTACAGCTTGGGTGGCCTTATTGCTTGTAGACAATGCCCTGCAGGTTACTCATGTGCTGATTCCTCAATTGACCCTGTCATATGCCCTGAAGGTCAGTTTAGTGCCGCAGGTGCAACAGCATGCTCAAATTGTATAGCTGGGTATGCATGTCCAGAGGGAAGTACACAAAATAATCCACCCAGTGCAAAGTGTTCAATGGGATACTATTGCACTGATGGCAAGACTGAAACACCTTGCCCTGCTGGTAAATATGGTGATGCTTTGGGTTATTCAGCTGACACTGAATGTAAGGATTGCATACAAGGATTTTATTGTCCTGAAGGAACTGCAGGCCAACCAACAAATGAGCTGCTATGTCATAAAGGTTATTACTGCCCAACCGGCACGGATACATACAAGTCAAATCCCTGCTTAGCTGGAACATACAACAACATGCTTGGAGCAACAAGTAGTACAGCTTGTCTAAACTGTCCTGCCGGTAGACATTGTCCTTCAGGAACAGACAATCCTGATTTTGATGCTTATAAATGTCCAAAGGGCTCCTACTGTCCGGCACAATCTGGTGCACCAACTCCCTGCCCAACTGGAAAATACACTGAAGCTGAAAATAGTGTAGCAGAAAGTAACTGCAAGAGTTGTCCAACAGGATACTATTGCCCATCCGGGACAGCTTCACCACTTGCTTGCCCTGCCGGAACCTATAACCCAGACATTGAGAAAGGAAATATCACAGACTGTCAGGATTGTTTGGCAGGATTTGCTTGCACTAAAACCGGACTGGCTGAGGCTGATTCACCATGTTCACCAGGCTACTACTGTCCAGGTGCAAATCATGCCTATAATCAAGCAGAATATGCCTGTCCTGCTGGCAAGTTTACAGATTTCACAAATCTGACTCATGTTGAGCAATGTCAAGATTGTCCCCAGAAATTTGCTTGTACTGGAGGAACAGGAGGTCAACAGAAAGCTCCAGAAGCTTGTGGTCAAGGATACTACTGTCCAACTGGGACTGGGTCACCAACACAATTCCCATGTCCTGCTGGAACATATGCCAACTTGACAAACCTGTACAAAGTGGAACAGTGTACAGAATGTCCACGAGGTTACTACTGTTTAGAAGGGTCATCTTCCCCATCAGGGATATGTGCTGCTGGTCATTATTGTCCAGATGGTTAGTATATAATTAAAAATAAAACAGTAATTTGATAAATTCTGTATTATAATTATGATTAATTTATCTCAATTATACTTGTCATCTAAAAACATTGCATTATTTTGATACACTGACACCCTGCTATAATGCATAATAAGTTGGGGTTCAAGGTAAAAATTAAATGTTTCACCCTACCCACATACATACCTGTACATACAATGGTAATGTTTTGTTATATTTCAGTCAATGAAAATCATTTACAATAACAAAATTCCTAAATCATGAACATGTCAATAATAAATGTTTTTATTGTAAAACAGTTTAAGGTTACATATGAAATTTTAAAAAATAATTGCAAAAGTAAAAGATAAGTGTTCTCTACTGTCACCCAATGTTTAAGGTGTTGCCATGAAAATGTTCAGATATTATGCATTAATTGGCATTCCTTGTGTATTGACCAGATAGGTCTGTCATCTTTTCCTTATTTTCTTTTCCTTGCGACATGATTTTTTAAAATGATTTTGGGATTTTTTTACTCAATTCGTCAAATGTTTGCGCATCATGTGCAACTAAGCATTATAAAGAATACTTCATTAATATATATTTAATTTTTTATGATCAGCAGAAAACACAATGATTAGGGAGAGAGCCAAAGCCTATGAGTATTATAATGAGGTTAACATCATATCAGGGTGGACTATAACATTTAAGATAGCTCTTGTTTTGTATTGCTTTTTAAAGAACTTGTAGTTTTAATCATTTGACTTCTAATAATTATATGCTATCTAATAATTTTGTTACATGTATTATAAAGGATATGACATTACATAATATATATTTCAGGTACAAGATATGATACTGAGTTCCCGTGTCATGCTGGATCATATAGTCAGTTCACTGGAAACACCGGTTGGGAAGATTGTAGTGATTGTACCACAGGGCACTACTGCCCTCAGGGATCTGTAAACCCAACAGATTGTCCAGCGTTAGTTCTATATTACATAATTTAGAAATTCTTATTTGTCTCCAGTTTATAGCAGAATTTATTGAATTAGAAATAACAGCGAACAGTCTTTATTAAGAGGAGCCTGCAACATTTTTTCATCTTCAAAGTACATTGTATCCATTTCAATTAATGTAATTAATAGACCTTTTCAGTTCTTGTTTTATTACCAGTATTTGACTTATAGTTATAAGTATATCTCAGTTTAATTACATTCACACAGATTGTTTAAATAAAATTGGTAAATGTATAACCAGTCATGTATATAAGTGATGCACATATAAAGTTTAAGTAGATATATAAACACGATGTAAATGTTGTTTGTTTTTACTTTATATATACAGTGGAACTTTTCGTGCATCAACCAAGGGAGAGAATCTGACAAGTTGTGATTTCTGTACAGCGGGTTATCACTGTCCTACGGCAGCAATGACCACTCCTTTAGTGTGTGAAAAAGGAAACTTTTCAGATACAGGGGCCACAGAATGTACAACATGTGACCCAGGTAGATACTGTAACTCTAATGCCACGTCTGAAACATTTATGAACTCAGATCTCATCTGTCCAGCAGGAACAGAATGTCCAGGTGGAATGTCCTATCAGCCAGATTTAGTCAGTGATCCCTGTCGCCAAGGTTACTATTGTCCAAAAGGTGACGTGAACCCGTTTCCAGTGCCTTGCCCAATTGGAACATTCAACAGCAAGTATGGTTTACAACAGGTATCAGAATGTGAATCATGTACAGCAGGATATTACTGTGATGTTGAAGGTTTGACATCTGTTGCCGGGGAATGTCCGGGAGGTTACTATTGCCCTAGAGGTACTGGAGACAGATATTCCTTCCCTTGCTCTATAGGATTTTATCGTAACGGGTCAGCTAAAGAATCTTTCTCAGATTGTGCTGAATGTACTGCCGGATTTTACTGTGATGTTGAAGGTCTCGCTACTCCTAAAGATTGCCCCAGAGGTAATATCATTTATTGTCATATTATACATGTACAATAAGTTTGAGGCATTTTATACCAAAATTAAGTGACAATTGATTATTATGTTGCAGAATTGTATTAGTCACATTGACTTATGTTCCATTTCATAAGATTCTATAAAAAATGTAATGTTAATGTCAAAGGGTATTAATATTTTCAAAGCCAGTATTTTTCATTTAAAATCAATTTTAGATGCAGAAAGATCAGTGAAGTAAATTTGTAAACATTAGACATAGATTATATATTTTGAATCTATTAAATAATTATGTGTTCTTGTACTTTTTAAGGATTTTTCTGTGTAACTGGAAGTACATCTTACGTACCCTGCCCACTTGGTCACTATGGTAACACAACAAATCTCCGACGTGACACAGATTGCACACCATGTCCTGGAGGATACTATTGTGATGGAATAGGATTGACAACACCTACAGATGTTTGTGATGCTGGTATGTAATTCTGAATTTTTACCTGACTATGTGAAGAATAGTGCAGGTATACTACTCACATAGGTGGCAGTGATGGTATCACCATAACAATTTAGTTAACTCAACTGCCTATAAACATAAAAAATTTAAATTTCTTACAAAGATCATTTGGGGATCTTAATAACTTATGTGTGAAAAAATTCAGATCATTCTCTCACTTTGTTTTTCCATAATAATTATTCTAATTGAGAAAAATAACCAAAAATGGAACAGAGCTGCCACGCTATTCATTAAAATTGACATTCGAATAGTGCAAAAATATGCTTTTCAATTATTCTTGAGCAAATTTCCTAATTATCTTTTGCATATATTACTGTTTTAATCTAGACCTACATAAAATGGAACTTAAATCTGCAAAATAGATTTCCAGTCATATCATGTCAAAAAAACCTCAGTGGAATTTAAGTTTAGATGCACTTTGTACAACTTTTTATCTTGTCAACATCTGAAGATACATTGTATTTGCTTGTAACTGCACAGGAGGTGTCTTTGAAATTATGACTGGAGATCAATCTTTAAAGCCCATAACTGTAGCTTTGTGTTCGACTAGGTTATGCTAACTAAGATAATCTAGTGATAGAATTTAGCTGAAATATAGACCTAATACATTTACAAATGTTCTTCAGGATCATTATCAAAGGTTACTATCCCAGGCCCTAAGATGGATTTTGACTGAATTATAGGTCTTCTTAAACTTAAAAAATGAAGTGTTTGTTAATTCTTACATTATGTAGACACTTGTATAGCTGTTATCAAGCACTGAGAATAGATAAGTGTTCTGTCCTACTGAAATCTCTTTTTATAATTTAAGTGCAAACATTTCAACATTCTTTGATTTAAAACATTTTTCTTTGATATTTTGAAGTCCTCACTAACTTATGTTTATTTCATTGCAGGGTTTTATTGTATTGAGAAGGCTTATACATCTGCCCCACCAGATGGTTTGACTGGAGGTCTGTGTCCAGCTGGTGGTTACTGTCCTGCAGGTTCGGCTACACCATCACCATGTGATGTTGGTTACTATAGCAACTATGCTGGTGCCAAGACCAAGTACGACTGTATACCATGTGATCCTGGCTATTTCTGTGCTGGTTCCAGTAGTGTGAATGCAACACAAGAATGTTCTCCCGGCTACTACTGTACAGGAGGAGCTGGTGTCCCAACTCAGCATGAGACAGAGTCTGGTTATTATACAGCATCTGGAGCATTTAAACAAGAACCGTGTCCACCCGGAACATACCAACCAGCCAGATTATCAGAATCTTGTCTTGACTGCCCGCAAGGTTATTACTGTAGTGGAATAGCAAACAGTAATAGAACTATCTGTCCTCAAGGCTCTTACTGCCCACTAAGGAGTGAGGAACCTACACCATGCCCTCCAGGAACATACCAAGTTGATGAAGGTGAATATGACGAAGCTTTACATTGCGACGATTGTACGGTTGGCTGGGCTTGTGAAACAGACGGCTTGATTGCACCTAATGTACTGTGTGACCCAGGACATTATTGTTCTAATGGTTCAAGTACTAGAACACCAATAGGACAAACATTTGGAGACTTGTGTCCTCCCGGCTTCTACTGTCCAGAAGGGACATCTGTGTATCAACATTTCCCATGTCCGAATGGTACTTACTCTAATTACTCTGGAAACAGTCATGAAGATAACTGTACATTATGTGATGGTGGTCTAGTCTGCAGTGGTGGAGGACTGACAGAACCTAACGGTGTATGTGCGGCAGGCTGGTATTGTACTCTGGGAGCATACACAGACAAACCTGCTGATGGTGGCGCTACTGGTGAAGTTTGCACAGTCGGACACTACTGCCCAGAAGGAACAGGTAGATATCTCATTTATATTACTATATATCAGGAAAATTTTATTTCTATAGAATGTGCATGACTTATTAATTTGTGATAATTTTAGGTTTCAATCTGAATTCAGACTTCCTCTGTACTTGGTCTAAGTGAAGTAAATGTATAAATTTCATTAATCTGATGTACATGTATAGGACACTGATGTATTTCATTTACTTCATTTTGTATCATTGCATCAGCTCAACAAAACAGCAATTTGCTACGTTTATATTCAGCTCACATTATGTACATGTATCTATTTTAGATTTCCCCTAATCAAAAGTTTACAGGAAATATCAATTTTAAAGCCTGGTCTGTTTTGAATGCTGTTCTAATCATTTTACATAGTTTTGCTTTACGATTTCTTTTATGCTCTTAATGGACATTATCCAATTTCTATTTCATCTGAAGAAATATGTGTTGATAACATGTTCATATCTTATATTTCAGCTGCACCAATAGCATGTGCTGCAGGCTCATATATGAATGTTACAAATTCGGATGCCTGTTTTGATTGTCCGCCAGGATTCTTCTGCTATGGTGATGCCAATGTTCACAAATGTGATCGTGGACATTATTGCCCCGGTAATACATCATGGGCCGGTCAAGTGAAATGTCCAGTAGGAACTTATAACCCAGATAAAGGTCAGTTTTGCTATGTTATGGAAAAACCACTTCTTCTTGTGACTTCATACATTTGAATTTGCTACATGATAAAGTTGTGTAGTTTAAGTCAATTATAATTCTTTGCTATCTGTGAAATGTGATAATGTAAAAGGCAATTAGCACCAAATCTTTCATTTTTTTCTTTAAATGGACTAAGTAAATTAAATATATATTTTCAGGAATGGATGATGTGAGTGACTGTCGACAGTGTTTGGGTGGATATTATTGTGACACACTTGGTGCCATTAATTTTGACTTTACAAAGAATGACACAGGAACTGGAATATGTGACGCCGGCTATTATTGTAAATCAGGTAAGATAACTCCGGGAAAAAAAGTTCTTGAATCATGACTGATACCACTTGTTTTATCAATGATTTTATCTCTGAAAGATAAACTTAGCAAAGTCAGGGGTGATAACTCTATAAAAAAATGTAAAGTCTTAGAACATCATGTTTGTAAACTTTGTAAAAACATATTCCATGAATTATTGTAACTCTTTGAAGACTTGTTTAAACATATATATTATTTAATTTCCTTGAATACTCACGCTAAATCGAAACACTATTCATCAACTGATAAAGTGTTACTGGAAGTTTGGGTACCATATTGTATCTGAATATAGAATATTCCCATGCTGTATGTACATCGAAAGAAAATAAAGAGATCTATTCTGTTCTGTTAATAAATCACTGATATATCTAATGATTGTTCTATTAGGTGTAAGCATTGCCACTCCTACCCCAGCGACATCAACGGGTGATGGCGGACCGTGTCCAGCAGGTTTTTACTGTGAAGCACAGACAGAAGATCCGACACCTTGTCCCACATCAACGTATCGTGACATCACTGGAGGAGTTGATGTATCTTCCTGTTACACATGCACATTGGGCAATTACTGCGGCTCAGAAAATCTCACCAATCCTTCTGGACCATGTGACCCAGGATTCTTTTGTTTACTGGGTAGTGACACTCCTACTCCAACAGGTAAAAATGTTCACCAGTTGTAGCACACTACACTTTTGAAAAGATATTACACATGATAGCACAGGTTGTATGAAGGGTTAGACAGATTATCAAATTTATGGTCTGAAATTGTCTTTTATCTATCACTAGATTAGAAAGCAGGTTTTCATATTCCCTAGGTTTAATACCACAGCATCCTGAAAAAGATAAACTTATACAACTTAATACAATATTATAATTATGAATAACATACAAAGTTGCAATTTCCTAAATTTCAGAATTTCGAATTGGTTTAGTAGAGTGTAATGGAATACAATATCTAGAATTAAGACATTAAATAAAGATATACTTACATTACATCTTTGCAGACTTTTGTCAGTTTGTCCTACACAAGGTATGGAGTTCTACAAATTGGTCAAATTATTTATTGAACTTCTTGATATAGTCAACTTATGATAAAAAGGCATGATAAATAGTGATCATTTCATAATTGTTTAATTAATTATTGAAATATATAAAAATGTTTATTTTTTGGTGTCTTTTTAAAACTTTCCAAACAATTACTTCTTAGCCAATTAATAAAACAATTTTTGAAAAAAAAAAAATATTAAAACATTTCTCGGGCATAATGGGCCTTTAAGGTGTTAACTTAAGATATGGCTGAAGTGTGATCATTTTTGCTTTGTTAATCCATAACCTATACAGCAGTGCTGGTGACTACAGAATCTACCCATGTAAATAGTGCAGACTAGGATCTGTGCCATCTGGTCATGGTCTGCACTGTTTGCTATTCAGTCTGTTCATAATTTCCACAAGAAATGATGTATGGTCTTGTTCATATTGAAAGGTGGACATGTCCATTTAATATATTAAACATTGAAAAAATTTGTTTTAAATTGTCACTCATTTTTTCATTGTTTCCAAAAAGAAACACCAAGATGTTGGACAGTTTCAACTTTTGAGAAAATTTAAAAGTTTAATACATAAGCTATAATTTTACAAATCATTTATTATGAGGTAGTTTCACAATATTTAAACTGATTTTCCTATTTTAAGCCATTGACCTTTTCCTAAACAGCCTGAAAAGGCCCTGATTTTGATTGTCATCTCACATTTGTTTCATAAGAGTAGTGCCAAAGTTTATAAAATTTACTTTAAAATGATTTGATGTAGTTATACAGGTTCTGAAGTTGATTATATAAACATTTAAAGATTTGAAATTGCCAAACCTTTTTATTTTCAGTGCAGATTATATACAGTTATATACATTGTAAACATAAGAGTTTAAATTTGACTTGGAGGTACTTTAATCTGCAGTGGCTAGCTAATGTACCGGCTAGTTATCCTTTTATCAATAGTGTTTTTAGCTCGACTATTCAAATAGAGAGAGCTATAGTTCTCACCCTAGGGTGTTTGAGTTTTTATGTGCAAATTGATATTTCATAACTACTGAAGGGAATAGGTTGAAGCTTCACACACTTTATTGAGAGCATTAAAGGGGTCACTATCTAAGGCCTATAACTTTCACATGGAGTTTTTACAGATTTAAGACCCTTTTTTGAACTTAAAAAATTCTATATTACATAGACTCTTGTTTAACTATCAAGCACTGAGAATAGTTGAGCACCCTGCTCTACTGAGAGCCCTTGTTTTTTTTCTAAAATGTGTAATTTTCATTGGAAAGGAATGAAAAATATGGGGCTAGAATACATAATATAATATCTAAATGTGGCATCAAAGCAGATTTTCCTTATCTTAATCAAATTTATTTTGGTTTAAACATATTTATTTAAGCTGGATTGCAAAACAAGTTCTTGCAACTTATATTAATCACTTTCGAGTCCGCTTCCTGGAACCAACCAGTACTGGTGTCATATAAAGAAACATGGTCATGACCCAAGTAGGGTACGAACGTATGATCTCAGGGTTGAGAGGCAGACACCTTAACCACTAGGCCACCCGTCCCTTAAAGATTGATTAACAGGGTTCCCACGGTCAGGGAAAAGTCAGGGAAAAATGATTTTTTTTCAAGGTCAGGGAAAAGTCAGGGAATTTTGGAATTGTTCAGGGAAATTTGAAAAATAAGCAAAAGTCAGGGAAAAGTCAGGGAATTTTGTAAGAAAATAATGTTTGTCATAAAGCAAAGAAGTAAAATCAGTAAAAGCTAAGGAAGTTTCTTTCATTATTTTGGGTATCTTTGTTATGAGGGTCTTTTTATTTTTATATTATTTTACTTTTAAAATGATTATGATTATGTCTACAGATTTTGGATATTTTTGTCATTAACAGTAACTAACTTATTAAGAAAGAAGCTTAAAGGGGTTTAAGCGTCCCTTGCTTCCTGGGCTGTTTATGGTTTGTTTGTGTGAAAGAAGCTGATAATCTGGCACAGGAGGCTGAAAATGATGAAAATAGACTTGGTTGTGCAGTCCAATGCCAAGTGGAATGCCTTCAGGGGCAAGGTTAAAGTAGTCTAAGAATCCAGTTAAGATATTGAGAAACTTGAGAAAACACTTAGTGGACTTTGATTGGTACCAATCATATTTTGTGCCATGCTGTGCTTTTGTACACATGACAAACCATAACTTTAGGTTCAAGCAACATTTTCAATTTTGCCTGTTGGGTTTTCTATAGGGATTCCATTTTTCTCTATTTTAAGATACTAACTGCCATAGCTAGTTTCATTATTAGTATTATTAGCTTTTACTGAATTTTGCTTTTTATGTGGCTTCTTCATTTCCTGTCTTATTGTTTCTTGTTCAACACCAGTTTTCCATTGATTACTATCATATATTTAAGTAAAATGCAAACTTGTTTTAGTCAATCTTCCATTGATAACACTGCTTTGTATTTTTAAGAGAATAAAACATCTTTTAGTATGTCATGTATTATCAAATGCTTTGCATGTATTATCAAATACTTTACATTTTGGATAAATGTACTCATACTTGTTGAAAGCAAACAAAACAAGTAACTTATGACAATTGCTCGCTCATATTCATGTATTTTTTATCTTAAAATAAAGAATTGGAGAAAAAAGGTTGGCTGATTTGGGGAGGAGGAGTTCAAAATACATGTATAAAAATACTTTTAATGCTCTAAGATTGTGCAAACTTGACGCTGTTATTGGTCAGGGAAAAATGGTTTTGGTCAGGGAAAAGTCATGGAAAAGTCAGGGAATTTTGATTTCTCTTCTTTGTGGGAACCCTGATTAAGCATTCGGATCATATATAATTTCATTTTAGAACTGGTAAGGTTTATTTTGCAGGACTTGTTTCATCCAATAGCTCTGGTACAGGTTTGAATAATAGATATTGTTAGAACAAAAGCTTTACTTTTATTTATAGTTATTGTAATCGTTTGAAATGTGTAGACATATTTGCTTTATTTATATTCTTCTGATAATATATAAGGCAACATAATTGACAATACATCTCAGAAAAGGGGAAAAATATTAAATCATTTTATGGTCAGTCAACCTTGGAAAAGTAATCTTACAATATATATTGCTTTCAATATTAAAAATAGGCAAGGAATATGTTGAAAACAGATGTTGATATGGTCATATTTTAAAAATGGGCAGGGAATGTGTTACATTGGGCATGAAAAAACAGATGTGGGTGTGGTCAGATTTCAGAATGGTAAGGGTATGTGTTACATTGGGCATGAAAAAACAGATATTGGTGTGGTCAGATTTTAGAATGGGCTGGGAATATTTTGAAAGACCTGATACATTTGGCATGACAAAACTGATGTGGGTGTGGTCAGATTTCAAAATAGGTAGGGAATATGTTGAAAGACCTGATACATTTGGCATGACAAAACTGATGTGGGTGTGGTCAGATTTCAAAATAGGTAGGGAATATGTTGAAAGACCTGATACATTTGGCATGAGAAAACAGATATGGGTGTGGTCAGATTTCAAAATAGGTGGGGAATATGTTACATTGACCTGATACATTTGGCATAAGAAAACAGATATGGGTGTGGTCAGAGTTCAAAATAGGTGGGGAATATGTTACATTGACCTGATACATTTGGCATAAGAAAACAGATATGGGTGTGGTCAGAGTTCAAAATAGGTGGGGAATATGTTACATTGACCTGATACATTGGCATGAGAAAACAGATGTTGGTGTGGTCAGATTTCTAAATGGGTAGGGAATATGTTACATTGACCTGATACATTTGGTATAAGAAAACAGATATTGGTGTGATTGTGGAATAATGTTGATGAACTAAATTTATATTGAATTATTATAATTTTATTGTCAAGGGAGCAATATGTCAATGATAATTGTTTAGTGTTGTATGATAAAAAAGGCAATAAAACTAATGATTTATAAAGGAGTGAGAGGTTAGTAATGTTCATAAACACACATATTCTTCTTGTCATTTCTGTGTACAGTTTAAAATATTTAGTTCTATGAGTGTGATTCTAGTACTTGTATATACTTTCCCCAAATCTAAGTTAATGTTCCTGTGTTTTTATATTGTAAATAGTGTTTAAACCTTGTAGAGAGTAGATAAAGCTATCAATGAAACATTATTAGTGAATTGCAAATATGGAAGCATTTTTAAAAATCAAAGTTAACGGGATTGGAAATCAGTTATTCTCTTTAAAGTTTGTTGTTAGCATGTTCCTATATCATCTTTAAGTCTGAATTAAAGTTTTAAGGAATAATTAAATTTAAAAGTTAATAAGAAATGTGAAAAGGTTAATTAATAGGGGGAAACAAATGAAATTTACCATGAAATGACATGTGATATCTGAAAAATACAGAACATTTGTAAATTTTATGTTTTAGGGTCAGATACATCTATTGGAGGTCCTTGTCCTATCAGCCACTACTGTCCGACCGGAACATCTTCCCCCTACGCTTGTGAGGCTGGAACTTACAACAACATAACCCAGCAAGAGACGTGCTTCACATGCCATGCCGGATATTACTGCCCGGACAATACAACATTTTACCAAGATTACCCATGCCCTACTGGCCATTACTGTCCTAGTGGTACAAATAGCAGCACCCAATACCCATGTCCATTAGGTACATATAGACCAGATGAAATGGGAACTCAAGTGTCAGACTGTCTTCCATGTCCATGTGGGAAATATTGCGGTAATATTGGCCTCAGTGCACCTACAGGCGACTGTGACGCAGGTAACACTAACATATATATGATACAACTGTATATATTTACACAATTGGTAAACATTTAATCTAGATGTTATACTGCAATCTATATTTAATGTTTGGGTTAATGTTCACTTACCTTTATAATTACTACTAAGCTAGTATTGTTATTCACTTAGAGGAAACATTTCACCTTAGGTGTGGAAAGATGAAATATTGGAGAATGAAATTTGTCATTGTGTCATATACATACTAGTTCTCAAAGAAAACATTTTTAATAGTGAAGAAAACCTTTGAAGAACATACGTAGTGAAATGTCTTGTAGTTATTTTATTTTCTAAAAATTTCTTAAAATATATTTTTGTTTTCTTCATATAACTGGATGGCTACAGTGACTGTTTATGCAATACAATTGATGTGTAACACTTTTTAGCTCACCTGTCACAAAGTGACAGGGTGAGCTTTTGTGATCGCTTTTCGTCCGGCGGCCGTCCGTCCGTCGTCCGTCCGTCGTCCGTCCGTCCGTCGTCCGTCCGTCGTCCGTCCGTCCGTAAACTTTTACTTTAAATGACATCTCCTCATAAACCACTAAGCCAATTTCATCCAAACTTCACAGGAATGTTCCTTTGGTGGTCACCTTTAAAAATTGTTCAAAGAATTTAATTCCATGCAAAACTCTGGTTGCCATGGCAACCGAAAGAAAAAACTTTAAATATCTTCTTTTAAAAAACCATAAGAGCTAGAGCTTAGATATTTGGCATGAAACATCTTCTAGTGAGTGTCTACCAAGTTTGTTCAAATAAAAGCCCTGGGGTCAAAATTGGCCCCGCCACGGGGGGTCATTGATTTTCCCTATATGCATATAGTAAAAACTTAAAAAATCTTCTTTTAAAGAACCCAAAGAGCTAGAGCTAAGATATTTAGCATGAAACATGTTCTAATGGGTGTCTACCAAGTTTGTTCAAATAAAAGCCCTGGGGTGAAAATTGGCCCCGCCCCGGGGGTCATTGATTTTCCCTATATGCATATAGTAAAAACTTAAAAAATCTTCTTTTAAAGAACTCAAAGAGCTAGAGCTTAGATATTTGGCATGAAACATCTTCTAGTGAGTGTCTACCAAGTTTGTTCAAATAAAAGCCCTGGGGTCAAAATTGGCCCCGCCCCGGGGGGTCATTGATTTTCCCTATATGCATATAGTAAAAACTTAAAAATCTTCTTTTAAAGAACCCAAAAAGCTAGAGCTAAGATATTTAGCATGAAACATGTTCAAATGGGTGTCTACCAAGTTGTTCAAATTAAAGCCCTGGGGTGAAAATTGGCCCCGCCTCGGGGGTCATTGATTTTCCCTATATGCATATAGTAAAAACTTAAAAATCTTCTTTTAAAGAACTCAAAGAGCTAGAGCTTAGATATTTGGCATGAAACATCTTCTAGTGTGTGTCTACCAAGTTTGTTCAAATAAAAGCCCTAGGGTCAAAATTGGCCCCGCCCCGGGGGTCATTGATTTTCCCTATATGCATATAGTAAAAACTTAAAAAATCTTCTTTTAAAGAACCCAAAGAGCTAGAGCTAAGATATTTAGCATGAAACATGTTCTATTGGGTGTCTACCAAGTTTGTTCAAATAAAAGCCCTTGGGTGAAAATTGGCCCCGCCCAGGGGGGGTCATTGATTTTCCCTATATGCATATAGTAAAAACTTTAAAAATCTTCTTTTAAAGAACTCAAAGAGCTATGGCTAAGATATTGAGCATCAAACATGTTCTAATAGGTGTCTACCAAGTTTGTTCAAATACAAGCCCAGGGGTCAAAATTGGCCCCGCCCCGGGGGTCATTGATTTTCTTTATATGTGTTTAGCAAAAACTTTAAATATCTTCTTTTAAAAAACCATAAGAGCTAGAGCTTAGATATTTGGCATGAAACATCTTCTAGTGAGTGTCTACCAAGTTTGTTCAAATAAAAGCCCTGGGGTCAAAATTGGCCCCGCCCCGGGGGTCATTGATTTTCTTTATATGTGTTTAGCAAAAACTTTAAATCTTCTTTGAAAAAACCCAAATAGCTAGAGTTTAGATATTAAGCATGAAACATCTTCTAGTAAGTGTCTACAAAGTTTGTTCAAATAAAAGCCCTGGGGTCAAAACTGGCCCGGCCCCAGGGGTGTCATTGTTTTTAACTATATGTGTATAGTAAAAACTTTAAAAAAATCTTCTTTTAAAAAAGCCCAATGAGCTAGAGCTTAAATGTTTAGCATGAAAACATCTTCTTATGGGTGTCTACCAAGTTTGTGCAAATATAAGCCCTTGGGTTAAATTGGCTCTGCAACTTTGGGGGGGGGGGTGGGGGTTGGGGGGGCCTATATACAGGTGAGCGACCTCAGGGCCATCATGGCCCTCTTGTTTTATTTTGAACTTGCATTGTTTGATCAATACAATTAGAGTTATATTATCAATACTGCATCTCAACTGTTTACAAAAGCTAATAATGGTAGAAAATATGTCTTTTTGTTTCTTTGCAGGTTATTTCTGTCTGCAGTCAGCGGAGAGTGCCACACCTACTGATGGTGTCACAGGGGACACATGCTCGGCGGGAAATCTATGTGCCATAGGATCATGTAATGAAACAGCTTGTACCGAGGGATTCTATTGTGCTTCAACAGGTAACTATGTGTGCCGTGATATAACCTTTTAGCGTGCTGGTGACAACTAAATCTACCAATGTGACCACTGCAGACCAAGATAACCCAGCACATCTATGCCGTCTGATCATGGTCAGCATTGGTCACTATTCAGTCACAACATATCATGAAAAATTTTCCTATAAATAATGAATGGTTTTGTCTAGATTGAAACATGAAAAAGTTTATTATGATATGTAGCATGGTATGGATTTAAAGATATTTATTTGTTAAATCAAATACATTCATAATTTTACATATTTGATCATGACTTCAGTACACTTCTAGTGTTGATGAGTTTAGTACACTGTCTTGTTTTTCGCAATTTATTAATTAATTAGTTGATTTGAATTGAGTCTGCAAGAACTGTTTTTGGCCATAAATACTTACAAATATTGTTTTCTTAACATTTGTATGTAAGCGTACTGTATCAGTGTTGTTGTTGTTGTTGTTGTTTTAACTCATCATATTTTAAGATAACTTAGTCACATGATCAAGCATGATATAAATTTATAGGTGATCAGTAACATATTTGTTATTGTGATATTTTACAGGACTATCTGTAGTAACTGGGCCATGTGATGCAGGGTATTATTGTAATGCTGGGTCAAATCGTGCTGATCCAACAGATGGCATTATGGGTGATCGCTGCCCTGAAGGAAGATACTGCAGTAAGTTCTATCATTGGTCATATGGTGATTATGTATACTTATACTAATATTGACAGCAAAAAGAATACAAATGACAAATCTTGGAAATATAACATAGCTTTAATACACTTGTTACTATATATAAATGTTGTAACAAAATTGCTTATGATTTCAACCGATTATGAGTATCAATTTGACTGATTATAAGTTTATGGCCCATGGCCAAAAACTTATAATTGGCCTACTGAATAGGAGTACATGCACAAACTTAAACAATGACATCTCATATTACGTTATCTAAACAGCTAGCTGTAAAAGTGAAAGTAGACTTTTCAGCACGAATTGCTTGATTTTATGATGAGGACTTGAACATATTTTGTGCAAACACAGTTTTGTTGAAATTTAGGGGTGTGGATCGTCGGATAAGTGACGATCCAATCCAAACCCAATTCAGCACTTACGATTCACAATCGAACCACAAATCTTTCGTTATCAAGACACCCATAAAAGCATGTACATTGGTTATAAAAACATGTTTATTCAAAAAAAAAGAAAAGACAATACTAAACATTAAATATATAAATTAATAAACTATATAAGTTTATGTTTTTATTCTTTGGGTGAGTATTTTTGTTTTGTTTTTTGAAACCAATTACTTCCTAGCTCAGCATCATAGTACATGTACATGGTCTTTAACCGGCAAATTGTATCTAGGTAAACTTCAAATAATTTATACTCCAATCGTATTTTTCTTGATTTTAAGAGTGTAAGAAACAGTAAATGTATATAAAAAAATAGAATCGCGATCCACAATCTCTTGGATTACGAATATTCAAACTCGATTTTTCACTTTGATTCGTGATTATCCGAGTACTCGGATACTCGCCCCAGCCCTATTGAAATTTAATAAAAAAAAACAAACCGCAAATTCATTTTGAGGAAATGAAAAAAAAAACCTACACTCTAGTATTTGTGGTATACACATAAGGGAAGGAACTCTGTAGAAGTTACTATACAGTAAAAGTCTACAGTGATAGGAATTTCAACAAAAGAATCAAATTAATTTTAAAAATTGTGACTGCTATATATATCAAGTGTATTTAAGACTGGCCAGAAAGAGATAATTGGCCCTGACATGAATAATGCCCACAGGTTGCAGGCCTTGTGGCCATTATTCATTTTACAGGCCGATTATCATCTTCCATCCCTACTCTGCCATGTATTAATTTCTTATTATCTTCATTACTACAGGTTCTGGTTCTACTAGTAATCAAGCAAGATGTCCTGCTGGAACATTCTCTAACAAGACAGGAAACAGTCTGTCCAGTGATTGTGATGCCTGTACACAGGGATTCTACTGCCAGGACTTAGGCCTTACAGAACCAAATGGTCCATGCGATCCAGGTACATAATAACTAAATTCTTAATTATAACTTGTTGAACTTATAAGAAGCAAAGTGTGTGTTGCAATTGAATTTTAACATTAATTTATAATTAATATAAATATAATTTTCTTTAATCTTTTATATGTCAGTAATGTGATATCATTGTCAACACAAATTAATGATGTGGGTACATATCCTTGAAAGTATGAGGCACAATCATTCCATTAAAAAATGTATATTCTTTATACAATTTATAATTATGTTGATAAGAAATATATAACATCATTAGTACAATAACAGGAAATATTGTATTGAGATTAAAGTGAATTGGTCTCCAATGGCAGGTTTGTGATAAAATAAAATTACTTCGATAATATTTAGTATAACATACATTGTATAACAAAAAACCTCGAAAAATTTATATATGGTTATGTGAGATTCACGATCCAATGTTATATACATTTGTAAAGCAGATAAAAAATTTGTCCTAGGACAAAATATTATTTGTCATATTTGTTGTTTTTTTTACACAAAGTTTTATAAAAAATATTCAAATGATACATATACATATATTGTTTTTATCAATACTTGAAATACTTTAGGAAAATATACCCATTGTAGACCAATCCACTTTAGGTGTACACAATTATGAAATAAACCAGATATATGACATAAGATTCCATTTACAAATAATATTGTTCTTTATTCTAGGATATTATTGTCCAACTGGATCAAGTTCAAGCACGGAACAACTATGTCCCGCAGGTCATTATTGTGATGGTGGTAATCATGTGGGTGTTTATTGTGAATCTGGAACATACCAGGACGAGACAGGACAATCCTCATGTAAAATATGCCCATCTGGTATGCATTTCAAAATATTTGTAGCCAATAGGAAAAATGTTATTGCAGTGTTTTTATAAGGCACATAAAGTTATTGCCATCTGTTGGGTGTTTTATTTTCACTCAATACTATAATGAATTATTTTACATGTTGCCTGTGTCTTGCTTTTATTACAATGCTTATATACTTACTAAAATTTCAGATCATGAAATAGTATCTCTAACTTTAAATGTTTTTGAAACATGGGCAACTTTGTTCTTACCAGAGATTAATAAGTTTACGTCTTATACAGTGTAAAGTTTGTTCTTTGTTAAGGTGTGATAAATCTAATTAGTCTTTTATTCCTTACTGACATTTAACTAAATAAAATTAGAGATAAATGTTTAATCTTAATAGGTTACTATTGTGATGTGGCAAATGCACCTATAACTGACTATACAACGTATGTTTGTCCGCTTGGTTACTACTGTCCCAATGGCACAGAGTTCTCAACACAACATGGATGTCCTAAAGGAACATATGGTACAAGCACACAACTAGAGTCATCAAGTCAATGTACAGATTGTGATCCTGGAAAATACTGTGGTAGTGTGGGAATGACAGTAATTACAGGTAATTTATCTGTGTAGAATAATATACCTTTAAATAAGATATTAAAAGTGAAAAGCCTGTATGGTTAAGAAATTATTATTACATAAATTCACAATTTTGTTTTTAATGGTTTTTAAATGAAAGGAGTTCTTGTCTAGTTAATAAGTTAGTAAACGCCGCTTGTCATGGAATGGCACGGAAGTGTCACATTGAAGGTTCTATGATAACCGCCGTATGAACACATCTGCGGATGTTTCTAAATTCAAAATTTTACCATTTCATGTTTAAATGTTGAATTCTGCTTAAGCCGGTGCTAGGGGGTGTGGACGGTAACTTGCACTTTCCAGTACCGTCCATGAACAGGCTCAATCAAACCGAGCCCGCAACATTTTCTGTTTTGCAGTGTTGGGCTTTCTTTAGGGATTCTGTTTTTATCTATTTTAGTACTTGCATTTAAAATACTTTCTTCTATAAAAATTAAGAATCTTTTCTTGAGGAGAATAGCAAACTAGGAAGACGATGCTATTAAATTTATCTGTACATTAGTTGTAACTAAAGAAGATATCTTATTATTTGTTTACAGATGACTGTACAGCTGGGTATTGGTGTATAAGTGGATCATCATTACCGGAACCTTTTGATGGTGTTACTGGAAAAGCTTGTCCCGAAGGTCATTATTGTGACACTGGAACAACTACACCATCACAATGTCCAGTTGGAACAATGTCAAACAGCACTGGACTATCTAGTTCTGGTCATTGTTCTCCTTGCAAAGGTGGATATTATTGTGCAACCACTGGGCTTTCTGAACCAACGGGACCATGTAATGCAGGCTACTACTGCGACTCTGGTGCTACAACAGCAACACCAAATGATAATGGAGTCACTGGTGATGAGTGCACAATAGGCCATTACTGTCCACAAGGCACAGATGTTCCAATCCAGTGTCCTGTAGGCAAATTCATGCAAACAACCCAGGCATCTGTATGCATAGATTGTACAGCAGGTTATTATTGTGTTGATGGTCTAAATCTGATTGACTGTCCACAAGGATATTATTGTCCAACCGGTACTGGAAATGTAACCAACATGTGCCCGGCTGGAACATATGGTGCAAGCACAAACCTTGCAGCAGTAGGGGACTGCACACAATGCCCCGGAGGATCATATTGCGACATACCAGGTCTAACCACACATGCTGGTAACTGTAGTGCTGGATATTTTTGCACATCTGGTTCAGATTCCCAGACTCCAACCGGAGCAGTTGGCACAGCAGGAGAATGCCCTGCAGGTCACTATTGTGGCGTTGGAACTGTTAACGCTGTGCCATGTTCAGCTGGAACATACAGTAATACAACCGGACTTACCAGTCAGGCAGATTGTACACAATGTGATGTGGGTAAATATTGTGGAACATCCGGTTTAGAGGCTCCAACAGGTGATTGTGATCCCGGTTTCTATTGTCTAGATGGTGCCAGTGTTCCAAACAATCCAACAGCAGGTTCAACTGGAGGTCCTTGTCCAATTGGTCACTACTGTCCATCAGGAACAAGCTTTCCACTTGGATGTGAACCAGGCACTTACAGGTTTGTGTACATTGCATGTTTGTCTTTCAAGTGCGTAAAAAGGTAAATCGAATAAAGAAGGGCATATTTTCAAAGTTGGGCCAAAAGATTAATGTTTATCTTACTTTTCATTGTCAACATTTACTATTGTTCAATGTGCATTGCCATAGGTTCATTATTATAACTGTTGAAATTATCCACTTTCAGTTCAAGTGAAGGAGCAGCAGTGTGTACAGAATGCCCAGAAGGATATTTCTGTATGGTTAATGCCACTGATTTTACCAGTAACCCATGTCCAGCTGGATATTATTGTCCAAATGGTACATTATACAGCACTCAGTACCCATGTGACATAGGCTATTACAACCCTGACACTGGTAAAAAGAGCATTGATGATTGTCTCCCTTGCCCACCAGGAAAGTATTGTGGATCTTCCGGGCTTAATGCTGTATCTGGAGATTGTGACCCAGGGTATTATTGCATTCTGGGAGCTTGGTTAAGTCAACCAACAGAAATTGGTAATTATTCGGCACCGGACTGCTTCTGTCCAAATAACCAAACTGGTGGCCAATGTACGGCTGGAAACTTTTGTCCTGCTGGGTCCAATGAGCCAACACCTTGTACGGGAGGTAAGTCTTCTTGAGGATTTTTTCATTTTTGATTATATTTGTTAATGATTGTCAAGTAAAAAGGTGCTTTGCATAATTATATTAAACAAGCCTAGCCTTGTTTTAACATGTTTTACAAGATGGCTCTTGAAACAATTATGTGCACATGTATGGTATTCATCTAGGGTGTTTATTGTATAGATTTCTTATTATTTCATTGCAATAATTAAAGTGATACATATTTGAATAAAATAAAATGTTTCAGGTCATTACTGTGACAGTAATGGACTTGGTGTAGAATCAGGAGAATGTTATGCTGGCTACTTTTGTACATCTGGTGCCTCAGTTCCAAATCCTACAGATGGCGTAACAGGAGACATTTGTCCTATGGGACATTACTGTCCTAATGGAACAACCACAGCCCAACAATGCTCCACTGGTTACTATAGCAACGTTACTGGAAATACAGATGTTACTGACTGTGAACAGTGTACACCAGGTAAATTATATCTCTGGTAGTGTTTCTAAAGTAAATGCAGTGTTTTCCAAAAATTGTTACATTTGCTATGTAATAATCTTTATACCAATTATTTTTTTATGCCCCCACAAAGTGGGGAGCATATAGCGTTCCACTTGTCCGTCCGTACGCACATCCCAAAATCTTGTGAACGCAAATCCTCTTAAATCAGATGGAAGATTTTGCTTAAACTTCCAGGAATGAACAACCTAAATGTGTAGATGGTAGTTAAGGACGGAATTTTTGCTGCGACCAAAGAGCTAGGTTCACTAACCATGGATTTTTGCCCAAGATTTTGGCAAAAAATAATTTTATGCAAAGTTCTTGTTTTTAGGTTTTATTTAAAAGTTCAATCCTTAAACTGTTAAAAACATATGAATTTATAGACATATGTTTACATTTAGTATGATTTATGTTCTATGGAAATACCCCTATTTCCAGAAAAATTAGGAAAATTCACTTATTTTTGCTGTTTTAAACGAAAATTAAAGTATCAGCACAGTCCAGCCCCATCAAAATCATTTCACCATTGTGTTGTCATGTATCAAAGGCTTCAACTTAATGGCCCTTTGTTGATTATTTTACTATATACCATATAGAAATTTTGTGAAAGCAACTCCTCTTAAACCGGATGGCAGATTTAGCTTAAACTTCCAGGGATCAATAACCTTAATGTGTAGATGGAAGTAATGGAAGGAATTTTTGCTGCAACCAAATTTAACAGAATTATGGCCCTTTGTTGATTTTTTCACTATATACTATGTAGAAATTTTGTAACGCAACTCCTCTTAAACCGGATGGCAGATTTTAAAAAAAAGTTCCACATAAAAAACTTATGTACAGATATGCATGCTCTTGTTTACGAGCACATCTGCACAGTATGGGCATCTGTGTCCTTTGTAAGGTTTGTTCCTTGTGACTTGCAGAGATATAGGTTACAACTGATAAGTAATCTAGTAAAGCTTGTTAGGTGGATTGCCGACCATGATAAGACCAAAAATGTGTTAAAATTGGTCTAAGAACCAAATAAGCTTTCAAAACTTTTATGCATTTAATTTATTTTTCTGTTGAATATTGATTATATAGATGTATAAATCTGTTACCTTTAACCTCCAATTTCAACTTCAAGTGTCATCATCATTTTCTTCTCCAACTTAATATATTATTTGTATGAAAAAGAAGTGATCATAGAAACATTCAGTATTGTTTGCTTTATGTAAAATTGATTGTACAATTTTATCATTGTAGGATATTACTGCAGTTCCCCCGGTCTAGCTGAACCAACCGGAACTTGTGGGTCTGGATATTATTGTCCAGCTGGTCAGACTGCAAGACGACCATCAGCCTATCAGTGTACACCTGGACATTTCTGTGTAGCTGGAAGCTCAGAAGAAGTTGCCTGCCCATCTGGAGAATACCAAGATCTGTTTGGACAGGTAAACTTTTCAATTACATGTATATACATGTATCATTTTATAATCTGCTTGACTCATAATTTTATGAAAGGACTATTTTCACTACATTAAATCAGATTTGATCTATTTAAAGTTTTTTTGTTGTTTTTTTTTCTAAAAAAGATACCATACCTTAAAAAAACTTATAGAAATATTTGCACTTCAACTTTCTCTATAACTTTTGTAGATAATGTTTTCATGTACACATTTTGTGGTATAATCCAGAAATTACCATCGCCACATATGCTACCACTATTTTTCATATGAATGATTATAAAAAAAGTACACTTATTGTTATACATAACTAAAATAAGTGTAATATTAACTCCCTAATGTGTTTTTAGTCCCCTACCGGTTTACCGGAGGGGACTTTAGGTTTACCCTCCGTCCGTCTGTCTGCACTCACAGGACAGTAATTATGTGGCTAAAGGGACAATAGGTAACTTTCTTTCTCTTTGATGTCATTCATTCCGTAATGCTTTTATGTGGCTATTTTCTTTTGTGTGGCTAAAAAGAACAAAAGAGAGAACAATGGAGTAGCCACATTATTACTCTCCTGTTAGAACGTCCGTCCGTCCGTCCGTCTGTGTCTGTCAGTCCGTCTGTCCACAAAACTGGATCCAGCGATAACTTGAAAAGTATTGAAAATATTTTTATGAAACTTGGTATATGGATAGATGGCAGTATGGAGATTATGCACGTCTTTTTCTTTTCTTCCTATGTTGAAAATTCTGGTTGCTATGGCAACAAATAGGCTGAAAATATGGCAAATTTTACACATAAACTGGATCCAGTTATAAAGCAAAAAGTACTGAGAATATTTTTATGAAACTTGACATATGGGTAGATGGCAGTCTTGGAATTATGCACGTCTTTATCTTTTCTTCCTATGTTGAAAATTCTGGTTGCTATGACAACAAATAGGCTGAAAATATGGCAAAATTTACACATAAACTGGATCCAGTGATAACTCAAAAAGTACTGGAAATATTTTTATGAAACTTGACATATGGGTAGATAGCAGTGTTGAGATTATGCATGTCTTATCTGTTCTTCCTATTTTGAAAAAATATCAGTTGCCTTGGCAACAAATAGGCTTAAAACGTGGCAAATATAACAATATTTGTGATTAGTCAAAAAGAGCTGAAAATTTTTATGAAATTGCATCTTTAATTCAAGAGTTATCTCCTCTTTAAGAATTCTGCTTTTAAATTTGTTATTTTTTGGTAACAGGGATGTTTCAAATATTAACTTTAGAGTGTCCTTCAGTCCGTCTGTCTGTCTGTTCATAAAAATTGTTTCCTGTGTTTACTTTTAAAGAACGTTTCCAATAAGTTTACTTAAAATAGTGAAAAATTGAAACATTAGTGAATGGCCAATGGCCCTTCAGAATGTTGATGGGGTTCTAACCGGTAGGGGACTTATGGATTGCTTGCAATACTATGATAATTGCTTGTTAAAGAATGATAATTACACATATAAGTTTTGATAGAGATACACTTTTGTTTCATTTGTAGACATCATGCAAAACTTGCCCTGTTGGTTATTATTGTGATGGCACAGTACAGAACTCGAGTGTGTGCTCACATGGTGTACAGAATCCCGAATCTTGTCCTAGTGGCCACTACTGTCCTACAGGTACCAAGTTTGCCACAGAATATCCTTGTCCTAATGGAACATACAACCCAGATACAAACAAAGAGCAGTTATCAGACTGTATACAATGTACAGCAGGCTCATACTGTGGCACTGAAGGATTATCAGCTCCTACAGGACTTTGTGCAGCAGGGTATTATTGTATAGGTAGCGCTGTCATTGAAAACCCAACAGACGGAACAACTGGTGATATTTGCCCTGCTGGATCCTACTGTGTCTCTGGTTCAAGTTACTTTACAGAATGTCCAAAGGGAACATACAACCCATCAACGGCTGTCGGATCAGAAGCTAACTGTACTGATTGTGATCCAGGAACCTATTGTTCTAGCACTGGACTAACTGCACCTACAGCAAATTGTAGTGGTGGTTATTATTGTATAAGTAGAGCGGAGAAAAGTCGCCCCGAGGATGGTGTAACAGGAAATGTCTGTCCAATAGGTCATTATTGTCCAGTTGGTACTGGTCCTAATGCTTTACAATGCCCACCTGGAGAATTTAACAGTATTGCCAGTCAAACTTCATGTTTTATATGCACAGCTGGTAAATATTGTTTAGATGGCATAAATCAATTAGATTGTCCACAAGGTTTCTACTGTCCATCAGGAACAGGCACAGTCTGGCAGGTGTGTCCACAAGGTACATATGGTAACAATGTAGGGTTTTCTCTAGAATCTCAGTGTACACAATGTGATGGTGGCCAGTATTGCAGTTTTACCAACTTGACAGCACCAGTTGGCCCTTGTGATGCAGGATACTTTTGTAGATCTGGATCTGATACAAATCAACCAACAAACTCATCTGTGGGCGATGCTGGTCCATGTCCAGAAGGTCACTATTGTGAAAGTGGTACACAAGAACCAACGCCTTGTCCCCTTGGTACTTTCAGCAACCAGACAATGTTAAAGGCAGCCTCAGAATGCTATGACTGTACCCCTGGTTACTACTGTGATACCACAGGTCTGACAGAACCGGTTGGACTGTGTACAGAAGGATTTTACTGCAGTGGTGGTTCAAACTCTTCTAGCCCTCCAGTAACGTCATCAACAGGGGGTCCGTGCCCGATTGGTAAATATTGTCTCAATGGAACAAGTACACCTAAAGACTGTCCTGCTGGTACCTTCAATGATGTAGATCAGCAGTCCTCATGTAAAGATTGTCCTGCAGGATATTACTGTGAAGCAGGAGCCACAACTAATTCAGAATGCCCCAGAGGTATCTTATCTTGTTTGTGTATCCTTATTTCAATGTAATTTCTATATTGAAAATTGTCAAGAAAAGCTCAAACTTATTTGCTGCTTCCATTAAATTCTCATGTATGATGCAACTAAACTTTAAGCAAATATAACATAGTGAAAATACTTTCTCGTAGTTAAAACATTGACTGTGTAAGTACTAGTATAATTATGGCATAACTAGTGTAAGAATGAGAGGAAATTCTATGTTGTATTGTTTTATCTATACTCTCATATTTTTTGCACTTTTTTATTCAATTTGTTATTAATGCCAAGTCAGAAAAAAAAGATTGATTAACAGTATGATTTGACACCTTTTTTTATCTATTTGTAGGATATTATTGTCCCGCAAACACTGAGTTTGCCCACCAGTATGCCTGTAATAATGGTACATACAATGGAAATACAAGAGCTACCAGTGATGCTGGCTGTACTATATGTCCAGCTGGCCAATATTGTCCTTCACATGGGTTATCTGCCCCTGCTGGGGATTGTGCTGGTGGGTGGTACTGTTATGCAGGCTCCTGGACAGATAAACCAAGTATTCTTGGTAATGATACCGGATCTGACTGCTACTGTCCCGCTCAAACTATTGGCGGGAAATGTTTAGCGGGAAATTTCTGCCCTAATGGATCCTCCAGTCAATCTCCTTGTACTGGAGGTTATTATTGTGAAACAGATGAATTGATAGCTGTAACCGGACCATGCATGGCGGGATACTTCTGCAGTGGAAGTTCTACAATGCTAAACCCAGTAAATGAAACATTTGGAGACATTTGTCCAAAAGGTCACTACTGTACGGAGGCCAGTCCGGCAGCAACACCTTGTCCTGAGGGAACATTTAGTGATGCTTTTGGTAATGAAAATTTAACCAACTGTTTACCATGTACAGCAGGTCAATATTGCTCTGGAACTGGACGAGATTTACCCAATGGTAACTGTAGTGTTGGTTGGTTCTGTCCAGCTGGAAGCACTCAGCCACAACCAACTGGTAATGAATGTTTGGCAGGACATGAATGTCCTGAGGGAAGTGGAGATGAAACACCATGTGCATCAGGATATTATCAACCTAATGTAGGGGAGGGGGTTTGCTTGATATGTCCAGATGGTAAATATTGTGACCAAAATGAAGCAATATCTGAGCAACAAAGTGGAGTTGGGGAGGCATCACATGGTGTTGTAACACCAAAAGATTGCCCAGCCGGATATTACTGTCCTGAAGGAACGCAAACAGCTGTAGAAAACCCATGTCCTATCGGAACATACAGTAACAGTACTGGACTCAAAAACTCTTCACAATGTACACAGTGTGACCCAGGATATTATTGTGAAACAGCAAATATTAATGAACCAACTGGTCAGTGTTTCGCTGGCTTTTACTGCCCAATTGGATCAAGTTCACCTAATGCAAGTGAATGTGTTCAAGGTACATATTGTGAAGTTGGATCACCTATACCAGTAAATTGTCCTAAAGGAATGTATGGGTCATCATCACAACTTACAGCTCTATCAGATTGTACATTCTGCCCACCTGGTGAATACTGTGACTCACCTGGATTAATGGCTCCGTCAGGTAACTGTCTACCTGGATTCTACTGCAGCAATGCTTCAGAAGAAGCAAGTCCTGTTGGAAGTGCCTATGGTGATGAATGCCCAGTTGGTTCTTACTGTGAGGAAGCAAGTCACGAACCAAGAGCATGTCCAGCTGGTACATATCAACCATTTACAAGGAGGACCAATGCTACTGCATGTTTAGACTGTGATCCAGGCTCATATTGTAATGCTACTGGTCAATCAGCTGTCACAGGAGATTGTCTTGAAGGTATGTTCATAAAAATATTTTATAGTTTTACTGATGAATTTGGTCAAATGAGGTATATTTCAAAGAGGTGATTTAAGAAGCTATTAAATAAGTGATAATTGCCATCTGGGTCTGTTTAAGAATTTCTAGATAAAAGTCATTTACTAAAAAACATTTATGTTAATGTAAATAAATGGTCTTTGTTGCATATTATATAATTCTTATATCTATCTGTGATAATGAATATAAGACAGAAATTAAGTAAAATATTTATGGAAGTTTACATTTTATTTTACTGTTACAGGTTATTACTGTATTTTGTCATCTACAAACAATGCCCCTACTGATGGTATAATGGGAGACATTTGTCCTATCGGCTCATATTGTCCTACTGGCTCAACAACACACATTTTCTGTCCTAATGGAACATACAGCAATCATACTGGAGCAGCCGTGTGCTATGTCTGTCCGGAAGGTTTCTATTGCACAAATCGTGACAATGCGGAACAATGTCCAGCAGGATATTTCTGTCCAGAAGGTACTGGTGCGGACATTCAGCCATGCCCCGCAGGAACTTACAGTCCAGTGCTCGGGCTGATCAGACAGTCTCAATGTACACAATGTGATGGTGGGAAATATTGTCAGATACCTGGACTGTCTGAAGTATCTGGAAATTGTAGTGCAGGATATTATTGTGAATCAGGTTAGATTTTGATTATTAAATTCTTGTGATTTTCAGAGCAGCATTTGCTGTTAGAAGTAAGCATATTTAAAAACTATTTTTTACCTGTTTTTTTGGTCTTAATTTTCTGTATATTTGCATTTTTTATTAGACTTTTTTTTTAAAAGTTTATCAATAATACTTATTTTTTAATATTTATTGACATGCTTTGTTCTTCATTTTTTAAAGAGATGAAAAGTTTGTACAAATGTTATTTAAATTTATTTAGGAGTTGACACAGCCACACCATCAAGTGCTGTCAACAACACGGGTATAGGAGATGAATGTCCTATGGGATTCTATTGTCCGGAGGGTACAACTACACCATTATCTTGTGTTGCAGGAACATACAGGTAAATTATTCCAAAATTTACCAATTTAAACATTTATAAATTATAAATAGGATTTAGTTAATGTAAAAAAAATACATTCATTATAAAAACTATACATTCATTGTAGACAAGAATTCCTTTTTAGCTCGACTATTCGATAAGAATAAGTAGAGCTATTGCAGTCACCCGAGCGTCGGCGTCAGTGTCGGCGTCTGCGTCGGCGTAACCACTTATGTTAAAGTTTTTGTAATAGTTCAAATATTTCCAAAGTCCATTGACATATGACTTTAAAACTTTGCAGACTTGTTCACCATCATGGCCTCAACGTTTACACAGAATGAGGTAACTCTATCATGTTTTGACAATTTTGTCCCTTTTTCGACTTAGAAGTTACGTTTAGGTTTTTGTAACACCTCAGATATTTCGAAATCCATTGACATATGGCTTTGAAACTTTGCACAAACTTTGCTTACTTGTTAACCATCATGCCCCCAATCTTTAGACAAGAGGAGGTAACTCTATCAAGCATTTTGACAGAATAATGTCCCTTTTTCGACTTAGAATTTATGTTAAAGTTTTTGTAATACCTTAAATATTTTCCAAGTCCATTGACATATGGCTTTAAAACTTTGCACACTTGTTCACCATCATGACCCCAACTTGTAGACAGGAGGAGGTAACTCTATCAAGCATTTTGACAGAATTATGCCCCTTTTTCGACTTAGAATTTATGTTAAAGTTTTTGTAATACCTCAAATATTTTCAAAGTTCATTGACATATGGCTTTGAAACATTGCACACTTGTTCACCATCATTACCCCAACCTGTAAACAGGAGGAGGTAACTGTATCAAGCATTTTTTTTTACTATCAAGCACTAAGAATAGTCGAGCGTTGCTGTCCTACCGACAGCTCTTGTTTCCAGTTCATGTCAGAAGATTTTTATTTCTGGGTAATCTAATAAATATTAGTACTGCATGCAGTATTCATTACACTCCTTACTCATTTATCAAATTAGAGGTCTCCATAATCTTGGATAAACACTTGCATTTATTTTTGTATCAAATATTGACATAAAGAATTTTTTTTTTTTAATAAGAACATTTTTCATTGCTTTATTACAGTGACTCATTAGGTCAAGCGTCATGTTTGACTTGTCCAGCCGGCTATTACTGTGCTGAGAACACAACATCATACCTGCTATATCCATGCCCTGCAGGCTTCTATTGCCCCAGTGGTACCACACACTCCACACAGTTCCCATGTTCCAAGGGCTACTACAATCCCACCACAGGAATGGATGATATCACAGATTGTCTGGACTGTCCCCCGGGTTATTACTGTGAATGTAAGTATTGTAGTCAAGCTTTCAAGAACAGTGAGTAAACAGATAAATAAAATAGAATTACACTTGGAATAACAAGTCTGTAAACATAGAAGAGTCATTATATCATAAGTTATGACTTGAATATCCAATCTGTAATAAGAAATATAGACCATAGACCCTAATTGTTAATTTTTTTTCACATCAAAATGATCCTTTCTTCAAAGTCAAATTAATGATTGCTTTATTCTTGGAGTTAAAAAATATTAGGCACCCCGATTGCCTTTTTCTCCAAAGTTTTAACAAATTTTATGTAAAGATCAAATTGAAAATGAAACAAGAATCTTCTGTAGTATATTTTGATACATTTGATATTACATAATTATGATATTAAACATTTTGTTTTTACCTTTGTTCTAAATTGTGAATCCTTTTCATTCAGATGATGGTTTGTCAACACCAAGTGGTAATTGTACCGGAGGTTGGTACTGTACCGGAACTTCATACCAGTCTATGCCCGTTGACCCATCAAATTCAACTGACCCATCAATGTGCTCATGTCCAGCTGGTAACTACACCGGTGGTAATTGTTGGCCGGGAACATATTGTCCACCTGGTACCAACTACCCAGTACAGTGTGATGGAGGATATTACTGTAGTCAATATGGATTAACTTCCCCTGAAGGACTTTGTGATCCTGGTATATACATTAACATAATAAATCTACCTTACTTGTTGTGAATGTTATAATACATGTACTTATGTGTAACAATATTCACAGTTTCGCTATTATAACAAATGGCTAATGACAGTATAAGGGACGTAACTCATCCTTCTGTTTTTATTGATTTTGCTTAAAATGCATGATGGGTTATTATTAGAAAATAAAATTGGCTGAACATTTGTGCTGTTTTGACCAATTTAATTTTGTAAATGCTAACTGAGGAGCACTTGCCAATACTGATTTATAGTTAAAGGCTTCTAATTTATGCTGCAGTCCTATTAGACAAAAATAATGTTAAACACTTATTCATTCAAGAATCAGCTATCATGATAGTTTTTGTTTATCTGAATGGAAGGTGTTTATTATAAACTAAGTGTTTGAAATTATTTTTTTGTCCAATGATATTGCAGTATTTCAAATGAATCAAAATGCATGAATTTTGGTTAATAGGCTACCTATAGAACAATTGACATTTTATAACAATAATTTCCAACACTAAATTGATTAGTGTTTAATAGTAACCATTTACGGTACCAAATTAAATTGGTTGAATGACTGTACCCTTATTAATAAATTAAATTTTGTAAGATTTTGAACAGTATCATACTGTACTACGATACAATAGAAATGACACAATTTAATGACTACTGGTATATTTTTATTGTCAGGTTATTATTGCTTGAGCGGGGCAACCACTCCTAATGACACTTTGTGTACTGCCAATCATTATTGTGAACAAGGATCAACCACGCCCACACCATGTCCTCCAGGATCATTCTCATTTAGTACTGGAAATATTGATTTAGCCAATTGTGACCAGTGTACACCAGGATATTACTGCTCTAGTACCGGTATAACAGGACCATGTGATCCAGGATTTTACTGTCCAGCTGGTCAAAGTTCAGCTACACCAGCTAATCACACCTGTCCGGCAGGTCATTATTGTCCAGGTGGGGAAGGTCTACCAAGGCAGTGTGCTGATGGAAGCTACCAGGATGCAACAGGACAAACCTCATGCAAAGATTGTCCTGTTGGAACGTAAGCTATTTTGATATGATAAATTATTTTGGTAATTGAAAAGTAATGTTATTTGTTTTAAGTTCAACTTTTATTATTTGAAACACTTATTTTGTATGTAACAGTTATTAAGCACTTACCAAATAAATGTTTGAGAGTGGTTATTGGAAACACATTGTCTGGTTAGTGCGGATATCTGTTTGTCAGTCTCCACTGTGTTTATTGTTTAAATTTATAACACTTGAAGGAGTTTTCTTCAAACTTGGCTCAAATGTTTACAACAACATTTTATAGACCATGTGCAAAACCAATGTTATTATTTAATAGTGTTGTCAAATATAGACCATTACCTTTTAACATTCATAAATCTATAATGAAAGATTTAGGTAATCGCCAAACAGTTATAAAAACAAGCATCCGATTGGCTGATGAATGTTGATTTTCTAGACTGGTTTCAAAATCGGAATTACACACATTTTATACAAGATTGTCACATTCATTATAATTATATTTATACATATCTACATATGTTTATATATATTTATAATTTTCAGGTATTGTAACTCTGTAGAGGCTACAGCAGATTTTGGTTCAGCTACTGGTACCATTACACCAAAGGATTGTCCAACTGGATTTTACTGTCTTGTGAACACAAGTTCCTCTGGTGATTATCCTTGCCCGTCTGGAACTTTCAACAATCTCACGGGACTACAAACAGAGGCAGAGTGTCAGAACTGTTCCAGTGGCTCTTACTGTGGAAGCACAGGTATTTTATAGAAATTATTGCCAGAGAGCACAAAGACTATATAAAACAGGAGTTTTGACTGAAGATATCAGGATTAACATCTGTGAGATATCAGATTACATCTTATAATTTATGCTTTTGCTGTTGTTTTTATTTATTTTCTTGCATAGTCATAAAATTTCTATTGGCTGAGAAATTTTATATGTAAATTCTAACACATTTAATTTATGTAAAATTTTAATTAATTTACTCACAGGTTTATCAAACCCAACTGGTCTGTGTACAATGGGATATGTTTGTCTGGCTGGATCTGACACGGCTACACCGACCAATGGCATCAATGGATACATTTGCCCTGCTGGTTCCTACTGTCCTCAGGGCTCAACTATAGAAACATTTTGTCCAGCCGGGACTTTCTCAAATAGTACAGGACTTCAGGCAGAATCGGACTGTACACCTTGTACTGCTGGCTACTATTGTTCATCAACAGGTAACAATGTTTAGTCTGTATTCTTACTTTGTATGATATAATTATGACACCATGACATTATGAATTAGACCTTATCCAACTGGCAAGCATAACTCGACTCCTCATAAAAATATGTTATATATATATATATATATATATATATATATATATATACAAACACATTCCTCCATTTACGGGGCATCGGTCTATTTGAGACCATACTTGTGGGGTGTATATTTAATGTGGGGCATACATAAGGCCTCGCAACTCTGGCATGTTTAAAACAATGTATGGGGGCGTAGGCTACCCTTCTAACATAGTGCCCGTAGGCCGGTTTTAGTAGTAAATGATATATGTCCCACAAATGTATATATTTTTAATGGGGTTTTATGTTATTGGTCAATATGTTTTCACCTATGGTAAAATTAAATATATAGTTGATATATATAACTTAGTACCCCTTAGTTCTGTTGTTTGGAAATGTCATTATATGCCTACATAGTGGCATATATAAAAACTGACTGCATGAAATAATGCCACTCAACTCGGTCTTATAAATAGGCCCCGTAAGTGAAGATATGTGTGAATATATATATATATATATATATATATATATATATATATATATATATATATATATAATGATATTGAAACCATTTTAGTGCTGAATTTAAAACAGTATCTTCATAAAGTATCTTTATAAGCAATCTCATTGGCTACTATCATTTCATATTAAATATATCATTGAAAGTTTCAACTATACTTACTTCTTAATATGCTCTTGTTATCTGTGATATTATATATACATTACAATTATAGGACTGACTGAGCCATCAGGTCCTTGTGATGCTGGTCACTATTGCAACAGTAGCGCTATACTTCAAAACCCAACAAGTGAATTATATGGAGATATATGTCCAGATGGCCATTACTGTCCGTCGGGTACCGGAACTCCGGTGCCATGTCCAGCAGGAACCTACCTTTCAACTACAGGAGGCATGACAGCTAGTGACTGTACAAACTGTCCAGCTGGAAGGTATTGTGGATCTGCCGGTCTTAGCAATTATACAGGTAAATATTACTGCTCAAACATAAAGGTACAAACCATACTTTTCCTTAAGGTGTAAGAAATAGAATAGAAAAATTAACTATTAATACACTTTGATATGATTGAAATTAGCATTATTTCAATGTCTCTTAAAATGTAGTCAATTATAGCAAGATTTTTAAGCAATACAATTGGAGAAAATAACATGTCTGTAACCAATAGTTATTTAGAAGTGTTGTGTGTGTGTGTTCTTTTTTATAATTACTTGTTTATGTAATTGAAATCTTGTTTTTCAGCTTGTATGGAAAACTATAATTTATTGCCATTTGTATATCTACAAATGCAGGTGTAATTTTTTTCCTTTTTGACATTCTGCATTGTTCTTATCACTTCAAAATTTACTGAAAATGAAATTTGAAAACTTTCAGGACCTGGAGATGTTGGTAATTAATATTTGATACAGAATAAAACATATGATTATGAATTTATTTAATACCCCACCCACCATAATACTCGGGAAAATTAACAAAAATTGCATGGAATTCACATGTGTATTGACATCATTTTGGGAATCATTTTGTTTGCTTTTGGTTACAAAACATATTGTCTTGATGTAAACTTATTTACATGAAACCATTTCTATAAATAAAGATCTACTTGGTCATTTGATTTGTTTTCACTCATAAAAAAATGAATTAAACCAAAAGCTATCAATTTTGAGATCGCAAATGTTTGGACTTTGTTTTAAATACATGAACTTTGTTTAAAGGACTATGGAATGCATAGAATTATTCTCTCTGAATGATCACATCACAACATCTACTACATGTTCTTTGAGGAATTTTGATCACAGACTATGTTTTTTTTGTTAAAGCGTGTGATTTGAGTGACCTGCACAGTGATTGTAAGAAATGTTTGCACGAGAGCATCGTGCTCTTCCTCGTTATAAATTAATGTTGTCGCATAGAATAAATGTCTAGAGCAAAAATTGTAATTGTTCAATTTAGTCATTAGCAATGCAATGCATGAGGAGATGCTTGAATTCTTGTTTTATTTTATAGTTTATGGTTAAAAATTACTTTTTTAAAAAAATATAAAAAAAAACATGGGAAACTTTTATTGTAATATGCTGCGTAAACCAACCTTTCTTCACGTTCTTTATATGAGTATGATGCAAGTGAATTATTCATAATTTTTCAGTTAGTAGGTTTTATATACTTTTTTTGTTTCCTTCTTGCATTTTTTTGTTATTTTGCATGAACTTTTTATAATTTATATTTATTCAAACATATCTTTAAAGCATGGCTCTACTTATATTTTCCCTTTTAACAGTTAAAGCATGAATTATTTCCCTTGCATGTTGTTTATTCTTTGTTGTATATAATATTTCATATAACCAAAATTCTATCATATGCTTTTTCATATAATTTATATCTTAACAAAGATTTTTAACAGGTTATATGGCCCATGATAAATGGTTATAAGCTTATATAACCGGAGGTAATACATGTTCATAATAACCTCTCACATATCAGGAATATATGTTCTTAGCAGCTGTGTATTATGGAATATATAACATCACGATTATCCAATGAAAATTGATATTACAATTTTATATATAACATCATGATTATCCAATTACAATTTAATGTGCAGTAGGCCTATAATAAAAGGCTTCTATTAAGATAAGATTGTTGTTGTGACTGTTGAATTTATCCAGTGATAATAGAAGTGATTTCACTGTCAGAAATGATAGTAAATAAATCCCGGCCATTTAAACAGGAATGCAGGCTTGTCTGACTGTACACTTCTGGTATTGGCGAGTTGCACAATCATTCACGGTTACTTTTGTTGAAATTGATTTCAAACTTCCCATAGAATTGATATTTTTTAAATCATAATGTTGAATAATGAGCTGTTTTTGGTTTGGGGATTTTTTCTGGAAAAAAACTTCTTCCCTTTATTGCAAATAAAGCCGTTATACAGTTTTAAAACTTAAATCTGACCTTAATATTTTATTTCTTTAATATGTCAATGATTGATAGAAAAAGTATGTATGAAGGCTCTAAAAAATAACAGTCACCAGTGCTAAAATACTATCACATGATTATGTAGTGGACAATTTCATACATGTATGTTGTCAAACTATGATTGAATAAATAGTGTCAACTTTGTAGATTTCTTTAAGGCATTGATTTCTTAGCTTGTTAATTCATTTTCTATTTTTATTACCTTAAATTTATAGAAATCCTTTCTGTGCTTTTTTTTCCTGATAAGAGAGTGACATCTTGTTTGGAATATATTATGATATGATATTTGATAAAACAGGTGCATGTTCGTCTGGTTACTACTGTACGGCACAGGCTAACACAAGTACACCAACAGATGGATTAACCGGAGATATATGTCCAGCTGGCCATTATTGTCCAACCGGAAGTACCGCACCAAGACCATGTGAAGATGGTAAATATTGTTACAGTTATTTTTGTCTTATCAAATTATTAATCATATCATGACTCATGAATAAATAATTTATATCAGAAGTATATTATGAGGGCTGTCCCACAAATTCATGGGCAATCACTGTTAAACAAAAAATCAATGCTGTAGCCTTAAATAACTAATACACATACATGTGAACTTTTTTTTGATGATCAAGTGGGAGATTTTTCTTCAAAAAGAGGAAAATTTTAGAATTTGCAATAAACAAAGAAGGAAGTTCTGACATCAAAAATAGGGAGATTCTGTTAATTTGTGAAAATACCCCTTATTTTAAGAAAAATCTTTGAAAATATGGCTGCAGAAAGTGGGAGTCTCTCGCTAAAAGTGGGAGTAATCACATGTATGAATACACATTTATCTTTATCAAACTGAAGTTAATTAAGAAACATTATTTCAAGAAAATATAAATCCATAACTTATTCAGATTCATTACAATTCATTTTTTTTTAACTATTTGAAATGTGATTTAGAGGACCTCCAGTTCTGATATAATTTCATAACTTGTTAAGAAAATCCAAGTTGTAACGTTAGAATAAATTTCAAAATGTACTTGTCTACTTTTTTTATTTTACTGTCAAGTTGAACTATGACACAAGGTTGATAACTCTAATAACAGGTACGTTCATGAACGTTACTGGAGCCGACAGTTGTGACGTCTGCTTGCCGAGATATTACTGTGTTAATCAGGACCGTATGGATGAATGTCCGACTGGTGCATTCTGTCCTGGTGCGAACGGATACAACTACTCTCTTTGTCCTGCTGGAACATTCAATAATGTCACCATGTTAGAGATGGAATCCGAATGTCAGCAATGTATCGGAGGAAGTTACTGCGCTACTCCCGGTCTCCCAGCGCCAACCGGTGAATGTGCTGCAGGATACTTCTGTGAACTAGGTGTAGACACAATAGCTCCGGAAAATAACAATACTGGAACTGGAGGTATATATCAGTGTTTTATTGTCGTCCAGGTTTTTAAATGGGGGAGGGGAAGTTAATGAATGTTTTGCAATACCATAACATAATGCAATCATATTAATTGTTTCTGGTCCTTTTAATATTGCAATTCATCAGTTTTTGAAATTCTTTGTTATTTTCATAAATAGAACTAAAAAACACCTGGGTACTGGCTTCTATTGTTCTTAATTACAGGAAGTACTGGAATGAAATTGACAAAAGAAAAAAAAATCTTTTTTTTTCTTATTATGAAATTTTAATAGAAAAAAAGGATTTATTGCCAGATGTATATTATTTTCTATGATACATAATTGGTATTGTTATTACAGGGCCATGTCCTATTGGTCATTATTGTCCGATTGGTACAACAAATCCAAAACCGTGTCCTGCTGGAAGATATGGTGATGAAATGAGATTGAGCTTGTGCAAGTCATGTCCTGCGGGCTACTACTGTGTGGCAAGTTCAGATAACTACACTAGTACACCTTGTCCAAAAGGTAAAATATACATCTTACTGTATTGTCCTTACATAATTTTATTTGACATATTCTATGTAAGAAAAAATACATTCTACATCCTGACTGATGTTGATAAACTGACCTACAGGCAAAATATGCAATTTACTTTCTGTTCCATAAAAGTAAAATAAAATTTGAAAAATGAAGTATTCAAAGCTAACAATATGTCATCAGAATGATTTAATTTGTAAATTTAAAAAGTAATGACAACTTTCAATAATATCATACATAAATCTGATGATTGTATTTAAGTTCTGTGAAATAATGCAGTTTTAACTCTTAGCCTTGTGACCAGTGAAGATCATGGTCTGCACTGTTCACTATTCAGTCAGTAGTTCTTTTGATATTTTACCTAAAAATGATAAATAGTTTTGTCTAGATTGAAGAATGGACAAATCCATTTATGATATTTAGCAGGGGGTAAGTGTTTAAGATATGACATGTATAATTGTAGGATCTTACTGCCCCCTGGAGACAGAGTACAGTACCCAATACCTATGTCCTGCAGGAACCTACAACAATGTCACTGGAGCAGATGACATATTTGACTGCCGCTCATGTACAGGTATGCGTAATTCTTTCTGTATGTTGAAAATAACAATGAACCGGCAAAAATAGCTGTATTTTAGTGCATGAAGTAAGCAAATTGTCTTATTTTGTATAAGTACTTTATGCTCATGTCTGGAATTATTATTAAATTATTAGAATGTTGAAATAGGACATACATAAAGTAGTCACAAAGTTAAGCTTAACCTACTGAAGTTATTTTTGTGCCCCCACGTTAGTGGCGGGCATTTAGATTTACCCTTGTCCGTCCGTCTGTCCGAGCTCACTGAAATGACGATGTGGGGTGAATATCCATGTTCAATCCGTATAGACGGTACTTGTGAGGAAAAAGGTTGCTTATGGGGTGCAAATACGTTGCTTATGGGGTTTTAAGAGATCAAAGGAGATCAAAGAAAAAACCCCATAATGTCAACTCAGTAGGAACGTACATCCGTCCGTCCTTCCGTCCGTCCGTCCTTCCGCACTACCGAAAAGGGATAGGGGGCCATCTAACTGTAAACAGAACAAAAGAGAACAATAGAGTTCATTCCGTAACAATAGAGTAAGGGGCCATTGGCCCTCTATTAAACAATAGAAAATAACAAAAGAAATAGCCTTTATTCCATTTGGGCCGGATGGCCGTCCGTCCGTCCGTTCACTTTTGTGTCGCATGTAACTCAAAAAGTATTTGACCTAGAGTTATGAAACTTTACAGGAATGTTGATCAGCATGTGTAGTTGTGCACCTGGGTATTTTCATCTGGATATTTTTAGTATTTTCAGAGTTATTGCCCTTGACTTAGTAAAATTTTGCAATTTTCAACTTGTGTCGCATGTAACTCAAAAAATATTTGACCTAGAGTCATGAAACTTTACAGGAATGTTGATCAGCATGTGTAGTTGTGCACCTGGGTATTTTAGTCTGGATATTTTTAGTATTTTCAGAGTAATTGCCCTTGACTTAGTAAAATTTTGCAATTTTCAACTTGTGTCGCACGTAACTCGAAAAGAATTTTACCTAGAGTCATGAAACTTTACAGGAATGTTGATCAGCATATGTAGTTGTGCACCTGGGTATTTTCGTGTGGATATTTTTAGTATTTTCAGAGTTATTGCCCTTGACATAGTAAAATTTTGCAATTTTCAACATGTGTCGCACGTAACTCAAAAAGGATTTGACCTAGAGTCATGTAACTTTACAGAAATATTGATCAGCATGTGCAGTTGTGCACCAGGTATTTTCGTCTGGATTTATTTAGTATTTTTAGAGTTATTGCCTTTCACTTAGAAAATGTTTGCAATTTTCAACTTGGATTTGACATAGTCATTAAACCTTATGGGCAGGTTGCTCAGCATATTTTGGATTTGCACCTGGGGTTTCGCTTGTGGATTTATCAAATATTTGTAGAGTTATTTCCCTTGACTTAATAAAAAGATTGACAGAACAGTGGCGTGGTGGGGGCACCCGTGTCCTATGGACACATTTATAGTTTATTAAAATGTTAATGAGAAAAATTTGAGTTTGATTTTATTACTATTTGCACTTTCTAATACCATCTAAAAACAGGCTCAATCATAGAAACTCATTGTTGCCATTTTAGACCTTCTTTAGGGGATTCTTTTTTCCCTCTATTTTATTGTGCTGCTGAATTTGATGTACATGTACAAATCTGACTGAAATTATTGACAGAATTTATTTTTTTAATTGCCGCAATTTGAAACATGTTAGAGAACTAGATAAAATTTGAATATAATTCTGCTGTTTACATGATTGTGAATCTTCAGGAATAACTTTGGTTTTCTTTCAGCTGGGAAATACTGTGACCTTGATGGGTTGTCAGAGCCTGTAGATGATTGCACAGCCGGCTGGTATTGTGCTGGTGGAGCATTTAGTTCAAATCCCATTGAGTACAACTCCTCTGTTCCAAGTTTTACTGTAAACATGTCGTGTCCCACTTATCTCACTAACTTTACAGGGGGACCTTGTGTTGCTGGTAAGTAATTAAACTAGAGCATCACAGATCTTTGCCAATGCTTCCATCAAAGCTTGTATAAATAATACAAACTGTTTCCTTTTATTATTAGATAGGGAAAAGTTAGTTTACAAAGTTTTTATTTCTGCTATTACCTCGAAAATTTTGACCATGATGGTAAAAATTAATGTTAAAATTTTGTTGGAAGTTTATTATGGAAGTTAAATACGTTAGTAATTAAAGTATAATATATACTGAATATTATGTTGTAGTAGCTTTCTGAGGCTTTGTATTTTTCTATGAGCATTGGTGGAAAATTGATATCTCACGAGACCGAAGGTCGAGCGAGATATCAATTTTCCAACGTTGCGAGTAGAAAAATACATAGTCTCAGAAAGCTACTAGAACAAAATTTTCCTTTTATTATATACCTTTTCGTTTTATTCAGAAAATGAAATGTAGTTGTCAAGAAATAAATTTTTGACTGACGGATGAATACGTAATTCTTGCAAACGGCCACGCCTTTAATAATTTTGGTTTCCGTTTCCAAAAGCAACGTTATACAAAGCTAAGATCGGAACCAACGTCAAAAATAGTCTGGCACTTCCATATATGGTACCGTATTTGTCACTAACATAATACGGAAATTTCTATCCGTTGAAGTGTATTTGCGCTTCAATATTTGCGTGTATTTTAGGGAGAAAATTTATAGGTATATAATAATAACTTTTATTCATTTTTGTAGATCTTTTTAAGGACCCTTATTGTACAATACATTGTCATCTTAGAGCAATAACTGGTTAACTCCTATTAAATTCAGAAGGACTTAACCCATTACTGGACTAAACTGACAACATAAGATTGTGTTATTTCATAACCAAATACATGTAATTAAAATGATTGAATTGTTAGCAAGTTGTTCAGCTGCTTTCATACAATGTACATGTATAACATGCTTGTAACTCATGTCCTTCAGGCAACTATTGTCCCACTGGATCATCAGCTCAGATCCCATGCCCAGCAGGCCAGTATTGTGGTACAGACAATCTAGCATGGCCAACAGGAAACTGTTCAGCTGGATCTTACTGTAGTGGAGGTGACATTGTGCCAAACCCAACACCTTGCAGTGTAGGTCATTATTGCCCAGAGGGAACACCTACAGAAATACTGTGTTCACCAGGAACATTCAATAGTATGTTCCTTTTTTTAAATCTTTTAAAACTTTTATCTATTCATTTTGTAATTAATTGTATTTTATAGGAAATAGTGTTTTCCATTGATTTCTTTGTTTTTACTTACTGATAAATTTATTTCTCATTAAAACTGACTATTTTAAGATGATAAAGTGCTAAAGTTGATGTGTCAGGAGTCTTAAGTTTGAGACCTTATAACTGGAATGTATTTGGGTTTTTGTTGGTGATTTTTTTTTATAATTTGGTTTTGTCAGATAATTTGTCAGAAAATGTTGTGCTTGACTGTTGAGTTGTGTCAATTTTAGATGTAACTGGTGGTCAGAGTGTAGTTGATTGTCAGGAATGTACACCAGGATCTTATTGTCAATCTTACGGATTATCCACACCAAGTGGCCTTTGTAGCATCGGTTACTACTGCCCAGGGGGTCAAGATTCGTCCACACCTAGTTTATATGCATGTTCACCTGGACATTTCTGTTATGAAGGAAGTCACAACCAAACTGGTTGCCCATCTGGGGACTACCAGCCTCATTGGGGTCAAGGAGACTGTGATCCATGTCCTGAAGGCTCATATTGTAAAGCATTTGGTGAGTAAGATGAGAGCCAGACTGGTTCCTTACAATTTATCTATAGATTTATACCAGTCCTTTGGTTCTTTGTATTTTACTTTATTATTAATATTCTATGAATCTTTATAAAATGAGATCCTATAGCTTACTAGGGTGGGAAATTAAAAAAAATCATGATATGTTAATGATATTTATTTAGTAAGCATTAGGACAAATTTTACTTGTAACAGTACTCGTAACTCTTTCAATTCTGTGCATAATTACTAAAAAAAAACAAGTAAACATTAATTTTATTTACAATATTGTTTACAGGTGATTACATGGACTTAGATGCAGATAATATAACAACAAGTGGAAATTATTCTGGACTTTACCGAAGTTACCGAGGTGTAGATGTACCGACAATCTGTCCAGAGGGTTCATACTGTCCTCTAAACACCAAACATGGTGTAGAATATTTGTGCCCTGAAGGCACATACAGTAATGTGACAGGACTGTGGCAGTCAAGCCAGTGTGCTCCATGTGAACCAGGATCATATTGTGCTGGTGAAGGTAGGATGGTTGCTATGGCGATTTTATTTTTAACAAAGGCTATTAAATATTATATACAGTAATTTATAACATTAACTTAAATGACACACTGACTAGAAATGAGAACTTATCACAGGTCTTTAGTGCAATTGGTGGTCTCTCATTACAATTTGTTGTATATCATATATCATAAATTGTTTTTACTGGTCACTTTTGTCAACAAATTAAACCATGATGTTGTTTAAGCAGAATATTGACTTATTTTTTTATTTCATTTCAAGGAAACACACAACCATCTGGCCTATGTGAAGCTGGATATTACTGCACATTAGGAGCTTACAATGCAACACCTTCTGATGGTTCAACTGGTGATATTTGTCCAGTAGGTAAATACTGTGTTCAAGGTAGCATAACTGGAACTGGATGTCCAGTGGGAACTTTCAATAATGTGACTGGACTGAAGGCTGATACTGAATGTACTGATTGTACAGGAGGATTTTATTGTGGAAGTGTTGGACTAACTTCTGAATCTGGAACTTGCTGGGCAGGTATGTCCTTTATCTTTACGTGTTCTCAGTATTATCAAGTCTTGTTTAAGCAACTTATTTGTTATATCTGAAACAGGACTGATATATATGTTATAGTCTGAAAGAAGAGTGATATATATGTTACAGACTGAAAGAAGAGTGATATATATGTTATAGTCTGAAAGAAGAGTGATATATATGTTATAGTCTGAAAGAAGAGTGATATATATGTTATAGTCTGAAAGAAGAGTGATATATATGTTATAGTCTGAAAGAAGAGTGATATATATGTTATAGTCTGAAAGAAGAGTGATATATGTGTTATAGTCTGAAAGAGGAGTGATATATATGTGTTATAGTCTGAAAGAGGAGTGATATATATATGTTATAGTCTGAAAGAAGAGTGATATATGTGTTATAGTCTGAAAGAGGAGTGATATATGTGTTATAGTCTGAAAGAGGAGTGATATATATATATGTTATAGTCTGAAAGAGGAGTGATATATATGTGTTATAGTCTGAAAGAGGAGTGATATATATATATATGTCATAGTCTGAAAGAGGAGTGATATATGTGTTATAGTCTGAAAGAGGAGTGATATATATATATGTTATAGTCTGAAAGAAGAGTGATATATATGTTATAGTCTGAAAAAAGAAGAGTGATATATATGTAATAGTCTGAAAAAAGAAGAGTGATAAATATGTTAATAGTTTGAAAAAAGAGTGATATATATATATATATATTTGTTATAGTCTGAAAAAAAGAAGAGTGATATTTATATGTCATAGTCTGAAAAAAGAGTGATATATATGTTATAGTCTGAAAAAAGAAGAGTGATATATATGTCATAGTCTGAAAAAAGAGTGATATATGTGTTATAGTCTGAAAGAGGAGTGATATATGTGTTATAGTCTGAAAGAGGAGTGATATATATATATATATGTTATAGTCTGAAACAAGAGTGATATATATGTTATAGTCTGAAAAAAGAGTGATATATATATATTATAGTCTGAAAGAAGAGTGATATATATGTAATAGTCTGAAAAAAAAAGTGATAAATATGTTATAGTCTGAAAAAAGAAGAGTGATATATATGTTATAGTCTGAAAAAAGAGTGCTATATATATGTTATAGTCTGAAAGAAGAGTGATATATATGTTATAGTCTGAAAGAGGAGTGATATATATATGTTATAGTCTGAAACAAGAGTGGTATATATGTCATAGTCTGAAAAAAGAGTGATATATATATGTTATAGTCTGAAAAAAGAAGAGTGATATGTATGTTATAGTCTGGAAAAAAAAGAGTGATACATATCTTATAGTCTGAAGAAAGGGTGATATATATCTTATAGTCTGAAAAAAGAGTGATATATATGTTATAGTCTGAAAAAGAGTGATATATATATCTTATAGTATGGAAAAAAAAGAGTGATATATATCTTATAGTCTGGAAAAAAGAGTGATATATATCTTATAGTCTGGAAAAAAAGAGTGATACATATCTTATAATCTGAAAAAAGGGTGATATATATCTTATAGTCTGTATCTGAAAAAAAGAGTGATATATATCTTATAGTCTGAAAAAAAGAGTGATATATATGAAACTATAGTGAACAAGCAAGTTTACATTGACATAAATCACTTTATATTTCAGGTCATTACTGCTCGTTAGCTTCAATAGTACCAAACCCTGTAGCACAGTCATATGGAGATTTATGCACAGCAGGACATTACTGCCCGAATGGCACTGCCACACCATACCAATGTCCAGCTGGAACCTTCTTAAACACCACTGGTATAGGAGATATAGCAGACTGTACACCCTGCTCTCCAGGTAAAATAATGTCACTGTTTTTAAGGGACAATTTTTATATCACTATATAATTATGAAAGTTGTGTTTTACAATATGGTTTATAAGTTTAGTTGTAAAAATATTTATTTATGTTTGCTGGATCTTTATTTACTGGATATATTTCAGCTTAGGTTGTTTGATTGTACAGTACTGTCCCATGAAACTTTAGAATGTATTTTCTGTTCTCTGTCGCTTTAAGAACAAAATATGTCAAGTGAAGTCAAATGGCTCGACTGGTATTAAGAAAAAATAAGTTCAAATTAAAATGTGCAATTTATTGTATGGACACTTGACATTTTAAAATCATTTGTGAATTTTTAGCACTGATATTTGTCATTTATGTCAGCACAAGAACATGAATATTTTCTCATATTTTGTGTATATTAAAACAGGGTCATATTGTGAGACTCTAGGACTGGTTTCCCCGACTGGACAATGTAATGCAGGTTATTATTGTACCCTGAGTGCCAACAACAGCTCACCTACCGATGGTATTACTGGAGATATTTGTCCCGAGGGTCATTATTGTGAGATTGGTTCAGATGACCCGACCCCGTGCTCTAATGGAACATACATGAACACTACAGGTGCATCTGCTTGTCTGATATGCCCAGAAGGCTTTTACTGTGTTAACCGGGATAGAGCTGACATCTGTCCACAGGTAAATATGTTAATTTATTCATACAATTCAACTTGATTGGGTTTATCAAAAGTGAGGCAATCAAAATGGTCCCCAAAGAGTTATGTTTAATGGTATTTAATTGGGAACTTATTCAAAGTATTAACTATGCAAGGAAGAGTGGGGGAATGGTGGGTTGGGGTGGGGATGATAGCTTCATTTTAGACAAAACAGGCAAAGTACTTTTTTGTTTTATTGATTCTTATGTTGAAGATTAAAAGTGATTGGTTTATGAAGGTGCAGTAAGGAAATAATTTACATCTGGTGTGGTATGAAATGTAGTTATTTGAGTTATACTAGAATATTACAATTAAAATGTGATATTATTTAATTTTAGGGCAACTACTGTCCAACAGGAACTGGGGCTGATGTACAACTATGTCCAGCAGGAACATTTGGAAATGCTACAGGATTATATGAGCAATCTCAGTGCACTGACTGTACAGGTATGGTTAAATTGAATGATAAATACAACAAATTTTTACATATTTCACCTTTGTTATAAACCATTGAGCATTAAAATGATTTTGCTTTTAATCTAATCTTTTAAGTAAAAATATCTTTTTAGATCCAAGCAATTGCTAAAAAATAAACATAGTCTGGCTTGTGAAAAATCATATATATTGTTAACTGGCTGGTTATATCAAGAAATATTTTCACAGGTGGATATTTCTGTGCCACTCCCGGTAATGCTGCCCCAGATGGTGTATGCACAGCAGGTCACTACTGTACTGTAGGGGTTGACACAGCTACACCATTAACTAGTGGGTCTCACACTGGAACAGGAGGTCAATGCTCAGCTGGTAACTATTGTCCAACAAACTCAGCTACAGAAACCCCATGCCCTGCTGGAACATATGCTATTAATGCAGGTATGTACTTAATTAAAATATTTATTTTTTACTGAAATATAAATATATTAGGTTTAGAATGGCAAAGGAGTTGTTACTTACATACTTACTGATTAAATGACTGAGGGTCTGACAAATGTACACACCAACATTTAGGATTTAAGAGATTTTTTTTTTATCTATGATCCATTTGTAGCTCATTAATCAGAAAAATTACCACTTAAAACAACTTTATTATGGACAGAATGAAACCCATCGAATGTATCCCAGATGGACCAATTATTTGACAGGAAATACTTTCATACAATGCCTCTAACAATTATACATGTAGAGTAATTCTTTTGATACAATATACATGTATTTATTTTTATGACAGGTCAAGCAATGTGTGACCCATGTCCTGGTGGCTATTACTGTGAGTCCGGTACTGCAGACTACAGTCCATTTCCATGCCAGTCAGGGTACTATTGTCCTGAAGGTACTGAATACACTGACCAGTATCCATGTCCATCAGGAACTTACAACCCAGATATGAACACAAATAATGAAACTGCCTGTAAGCTGTGTGACCCAGGAAAGTATTGTAATGGAGCCGCCCTGGATTCTGTGTCAGCAGACTGTGCCCCGGGATATTACTGCACAGGAGGAGCATCTGATCCACGTCCCACAGCCAGTGGTAAACATCTATAAATACTGTTTCATTTTCCAAGTCGCTTTTGTTAGAAAATGTGTTTTTTTTAATGTTTTGCTAATTTCAAGTGCACATTTTGTCATTGCATCATCATATTCTGACTTATCATACAGTATTTGTTGAATAATCAAGTAGAGATTTTGAACATTTTAGTAAAGTTAAGAAAAGTTAATGAAGTGTATTGTTAAGATGATGACTGTGTTAACTGAAATAAAAATCCAATTGTATTTTAACTCTTTCTTGATTAGGATAGCTGACAAATATATCCCATAAAGAAATTAAATGATATGGAACAAAAGAAGTTAATGAAATTTAATATCAAGTTGGCTGTTTGCTTTATGATTGTTTGCTTTATGATTGTTTGCTTTATGATTCAGGCAATTATTCAACAGTTGATTTGTGTGAGTGCACAGACCAGAATTTCACAGGAGGAAGATGCCAGCCTGGTAGTTATTGTCCTCTTGCATCTGGAGCGCCACTAGAATGTACACCCGGTCAATACTGCGAAACATATGAACTTTCCACTCCTACAGGTTTGTAAACTATTCACTAACTCTTCTGTAACATAATTATGACCTTCCCATTTTTTCAGGAGTGTTAACTGTACCCTTACTACTTCAACTGGTCTACTTATTGATTTATAAGTCATCAGATAATGAAGGACTATGAATATCTGAAGACCAGAATGTATCTGTATTATATATATAAATAATATAAAAATATAAAAGATATAGAAAAAGGTTTCATTTTTGTTGTGTCTGTGTATTTCAGGTAACTGTGATGCCGGTTATTTCTGTCCCGGCGGAGACATACAACCTGACCCTCCAGCAACCATCTGTACTGTCGGCCATTATTGTCCTGCCGGTTCACCCTCACCAACGCCGTGCCCTGCTGGTACCTACTCCAACTCCACTCAACTTACACAGGAGTCAGACTGCCAGAACTGTACAGCAGGTAGGTCAATAATTGTAAATTATCTTATTGAATGAATTAAAATAAGATTTCAAAGTATCTTGTTGGTGATGAAACTTGAAAGGTGTTAGATTTGTTACAGAATATATATCATCTCAAATGCAGAAACAACATGTTTGGTTTAACTATTGTGAGTTTTATTGTGCTCTGTATACCAGCTTATGTGGTTTTCATTAAAACACAATACACTCACATCTGACACAGCTTTAAGTATGCTTTTATGTCAACAAAAGAACCCCTTAATTGTTCCGTATTATCACCCATAATGATATACATGTATTTGTATTATTTCTACAGGGTATTACTGTGTGTCACCAGGACTAATTGACGTTGCAGGTCCATGCCTGGCAGGTTATTATTGCCCAGGAGGCCAATCTGTGCAGGATCCAGTAGAATATCCATGTCCACTTGGAATGTACTGTCCAGAAGGTACTGCAGTACCATTCATGTGTGAAAACGGCACTTACCAAGATCAGCTTGGACAATCTTCCTGTAAAACATGTCCATCAAGAAAATACTGTGACCCATATGAACTGGGTGTAGGAAATAACGATACTGGAATTATCCTTCCATTATCATGTCCAGTTGGTCACTATTGTCCACTTGGAACTGGACCTAAAAACAGTTACCCATGCTTGCCAGGAACCTACAGTAATGATATTGAATTGGAGGCAGACAGTAAGTCAACTTCTTAACTTTACAATGTTATAAACTAATTATGTCTTATACTGAAATATAACCAGTTCAAAAATACTATATTCAAATGAATGATACCTTTACTTATCCAACTATCTGAATTAGAAAAACTAAAGGCCATTTTGTTTTTGCTTATGTTTAAAATTCATATATATAAAGTGACATGCATGAAAGTAGTTTTTGGTTGATTTCATTTATTTTTAACTTACAAAATTTGATTATAAAAGAGTGCTAAAGGAATTAGATTACTGCAAAATCATTATTATTTGTGGGGCACTAATTTTCGTGATTTTTGTGGATAGGTAAATCAACAAATTTAAGATGCAAGGAAATTTCATTTCGTCAGATGTAAGATTATTTTGCATCACATTATTTACATTTTACCTTAAGGGGAAAAAAGTTTAGCACCCACGGAAATGTTCTTCATGACAAAACCATGAAATTTCATGTCCACGAAATTAATCGAAATCACTGTATAAGTTATGATTTTTTACTTTCAGATGAATGTTTTGGCTGTACAAATCAGTATTATTGCCAGTCATATGGTCTGACAGCCCCCGAGGGTTTGTGCGCCCCGGGTTACTTCTGCAACACTGGGGCATCAACCCCAACACCCACAGATGGGGTAACAGGAGATATCTGTCCACAGGGCCAATATTGCGAGGAGGGAACATTTATACGTAAGTATAGTTATTTTATCCATCAACATGAATTTTATTCGTTATAGTAAAGTAGTTTGTTTCTATAACCATCATCATCAGCATTCCAGTTACAGCATTCCAGTTACAGCTAGTAACATTTCTAAAGATTGCATTTCAAACAGATAGTTTTACAATTGATCAAAATCTTAATAAAACTGTAATTAACTACATTATTTGATTCCTTTTAGTAAATTTATTAGAAATTCACAGAATCAGCGTACATGTATGAAGATATTGTGGACTTCACAATTGTCTAATGAATATTGACAATTCAGTAATCCAATATTATACATGTTATTAGATGTATTTTCTTAAGAATTGTCAGCTTCTGTTGGTCCACCTGATTAAGAGTAAAGTTTAAATTCTTGTAATAACTATAACTTGTCCAAATAAGAAGTTTTTTTTCAGAAGAATCTGAAATTTTAACACCTTTTTCCTGAAAAATTATACAACATTATTTATGTTTGTTTATTCTCTGTTTTTTTTTACAGCCACTGACTGCCCAATAGGAACATACAGTAACTTGACCGGACTGGCCAATGCAAGTCAGTGTATACCATGTGATCCTGGTAAATACTGCCCAACTCTTGGTTTGATTGAGCCCCATGCTGACTGTACTGCTGGACATTACTGCGAGCTCGGATCAACAGAACCCGCTCCTGTAGGACAGACATATGGATACGAATGCATCATCGGTCACTATTGTGAACAGGGTGCTAAATCTCCAACACCGTGTCCTAAAGGAACTTACAATCCTGATATAGGTATTGGTATTCATAAATTATCTGTACAACAAATAAAACAAACTTATATAACATATTTTTATGTATGCTGGTTTGTAAAAGAATAAATAAGGAAATAGAAATGATAAGGAATAATTTTCACTATGTTTTCATCACAAACATTTTTCAATGCTTATGGTTGTTCATAATTATGTGTAGTTGTCAGCATAAGGGCAAGCTTATTTTTTTTAAATGACTATTAGATCAAAATCTGTATTGTTAAAAGGTAAGATATTTTAGTGTTAGGGCAAGATCTTGAATGTTAATCTAGTGTGCGATATCCAAAAGCCTAAAACATAAAAGTTTAATTTCTAACATAAATCAGCATAATCTGAAATTTTGCACACAAGTTTTTGGTTTAGACCTATGACAAATGGAACATAAACTTCCAAAAATTGTCTCCAGTTCTGTCAAGTCAAAAACCCTTAGTGGGAGTCCCTATAGAAAATAAAACAAGGAATTATTTTATCATAGTTCCATGTATACATTGTTAAAGTGGTAAAATAAAACAAGAAATTATTTTATCATAGTTCCATGTATACATTGTTAAAGTGGTAAAATAAAACAAGAAATTATTTTATCATAGTTCCAGGTATACATTGTTAAAGTGGTAAAATAAAACAAGGAATTTTATTTTATCATAGTTCCATGTATACTTTGTTAAAGTGGTAAAATAAAACAAGGAATTATTTTATCATAGTTCCATGTATACATTGTTAAAGTGGTAAAATAAAACAAGGAATTATTTTATCATAGTTCCATGTATACATTGTTAAAGTGGTAAAATAAAACAAGAAATTATTTTATCATAGTTCCATGTATACATTGTTAAAGCGGTAAAATAAAACAAGGAATTATTTTATCATAGTTCCATGTATACATTGTTAAAGCGGTAAAATAAAACAAGAAATTATTTTATCATAGTTCCATGTATACATTGTTAAAGCGGTAAAATAAAACAAGGAATTATTTTATCATAGTTTCCATGTATACATTGTTAAAGCCGGTAAAATAAAACAAGAAATTATTTTATCATAGTTCCATGTATACATTGTTAAAGCCGGTAAAATAAAACAAAGAATTATTTTATCATAGTTCCATGTATACATTGTTAAAGCAGGTAAAATAAAACAAGGAATTATTTTATTCATAGTTCCATGTATACATTGTTAAAGCGGTAAAATAAAACAAGGAATTATTTTATCATAGTTCCATGTATACATTGTTAAAGTGATAAAATAAAACAAGGAATTATTTTATCATAGTTCCATGTATACATTGTTAAAGCGGTAAAATAAAACAAGGAATTATTTTATCATAGTTCCATGTATACATTGTTAAAGTGATAAAATAAAACAAGGAATTATTTTATCATAGTTCCATGTATACATTGTTAAAGTGGTATTTTTGTATTACAGGGAAACAAGCTGTATCAGATTGTATTGACTGTCCTGGTGGAAAGTATTGTCTCACTACAGGAAGTAGTAATATCACAAATGACTGTGATCCAGGATACTACTGTATTGGTGCAGCATTTGAAAGCAATCCTACTGGTATAGTGCATTTATGTTTCATTTTTCACTCAAAAGTTACCCTGCTTTATATTGAGTATGGACAGAACTAAGACAAAGTACAATTGATTTTAATTAATTTGAAATACTTACACTGTAATATGTTAATAGTTATTAAATACATGTTTTGTAAAATGAAGAAATTTGTCAAAACAAACTTATTAAAAAAAAAAATACCATGAAGTTGTTTAATTATTTAAGAGTTTTCTCTCTTAGTCTTAAAGTAATTTTTTTTCACTATTTGTGGAATGATATTAATATGAATGATAACAACTAATCTTCCCATTTTTTTCACAGACAATGTAACTGGAAATATTTGTCCAGTGGGCTACTATTGTCCACTTGGTTCATCCACATACACAATCTGTGACCCAGGCACATACACAAACACCACTGGTCAAGCAATATGTCATATCTGCCCGGCGGGCTTGCAGTGTACAGGAGGAGATGTTGCTGATCCATGTCCACAAGGCCAGTACTGTCCTGAAGGCACTGGACTAGCTACTCAACCTTGTCCTGTTGGTAAGATATACTGTTGTATTATGAACTTTTTTAACTTTATTTTTTATTTTGTTGCTTAAATGTTTACAGCATTGTAAATTAAGAAAGACATCACACTTTTTAATAACTGGTAAATAGTCATGTCATTATGTTATGAATAAAGATTTTGTAAGGACCTATTCTCTTTATTTTTTGATTAAAAAGCATATAATACTTTCATTTTTTTCCAAATTACATGATGTTCATCTCAGTATTGAATTAAAATGGTAAAAGAAGTTAGAGATATTGTACATTATGTTCATATGTGCTGAGTTACTGCATAGATTAATAACATTAAAATACATAAAACAAAACAAATATAAAAAATCTAAAAAATCATCATTTCAAACTATTGTACAATTTGACTATCACCCTTGATATAATATAAAGCAAGATATATCGATGATGGATGCACCTCTATTTAAAGTGTCATTTAACCTATTGAAAAGAACGTTATTTTGGAATTGTTTTCAGAAACTACTGAATATTGAATGAGAATAATATTAGATATTAACGTATATATTGTATATAAATCAGGTAGGATATTAACGTATATATTGTATATAAATCAGGTACGATATTAGCGTATATATTGTATATAAATCAGGTACAATATTAACGTATATATTGTATATAAATCAGGTACAATATTAATGTATATATGGTATATAAATCAGGGACAATATTAACGTATATATGGTATATAAATCAGGGACAATATTAACGTATATATGGTATATAAATCAGGGACAATATTAACGTATATATGGTATATAAATCAGGGACAATATTAACGTATATATGGTAAATAAATCAGGGACAATATTAACGTATATATGGTATCTAAATCAGGGACAATATTAACGTATATATGGTATATAAATCAGGGACAATATTAACGTATATATGGTATATAAATCAGGGACAATATTAACGTATATATGGTAAATAAATCAGGGACAATATTAACGTATATATGGTATCTAAATCAGGTACAATATTAATGTATATATGGTATATAAATCAGGGACAATATTAACGTATATATGGTATAATAAATCAGGGACAATATTAACGTATATATGGTAAATAAATCAGGGACAATATTAACGTATATATGGTATCTAAATCAGGGACAATATTAACGTATATATGGTATATAAATCAGGGACAATATTAACGTATATATGGTATCTAAATCAGGGACAATATTAACGTATATATGGTATATAAATCAGGGACAATATTAACGTTTATATTGTATATAAATCAGGTATGATATTAACGTATATATGGTATATAAATCAGGTACATATGGAGCAACGACTGGTCTAGCTAACTATACAGACTGTACAGAATGTACCTCTGGCTTCTACTGTGAAACAACAGGTTTACAGTCACCAACAGGTGTCTGTGATCCTGGCCATTATTGTGTACAAGGTAAATATCTACTTTCATAATTGTCATCATTGTAGATTTTAATTTTTTGCTATCATTTACATGTATTTATGACAAAGATTTTAAATTATTATTTGTTTGTAGCTTAAAATATTTTTATTTCTTTAAATTTTTGATGTTAATTATGTTATTAATTAAATTAAGTAAAAAGTTATCCCATACTGTATAATTATTGTCGTGAAATATAGAAACATCAGAACTAAGAAAAAGACAATGAAATTTTAGATAACATAAACAGATAAACTACTTGTTAATTTTGATTCTTTCATGCACAAAAACATTTTTTTGAAAACACAATGTGCTATGATGTATTGAGTTATTGACATCATGCATAAGATGACATCATTTCTGACTTCATAATAGACATTATGACCAAAATTTGTTACTGTTGTCAGATATCAGGGTAGATAAAGTTTAAATGCTGTGTTCATTAATCATTAGATTACAAAAGTAAAACATTTATGTCATATTAGAAAAGCAAATATGAGCCGTGTCATGACAAAACCAATGTAATGCGTTTGCAACCAGCATGGATCAAGACCAGTCTCTGCATCCGTGCAGTCTGATTAGGATCCATGCTGTTCGCTTAACAACCCTATTACAAGTAGAGATACTGATAGCGAACAGCATGGATCCTGATCAGACTGCGTGAATGCGCAGGATGGTCTGGATCCATGCTGGTCGCAAACCCATTATGTTGTTTTGTTGTGATGCGACTCATATATCATAACATAAGGTGCCTTGGTGATTAATTGCTTTTTATATATAATCAACAGGAGTCAATTTGAAGGTCCCGGCATCTAATATTGTTAATACTGGCACTGGGGATATTTGTCCAGCTGGATTTCAATGTCCCAGTAACTCTGCCTTCTACAGCCCTTGTGTACCAGGAAAATACTCACCTGGAGAAGGTTATGACAGTTGTTTAGACTGTCCTCAGGGATATTACTGTGTGAATGCTACGGTGACACCTGTCACATGTCCGTCTGGTCACTATTGTCCAGTTGGTACAACAGCAGATAATGAGTTCCCGTGTCCTGCTGGAACTTACAACAACGTAACAGGTATGTATGTTAAATGTCTAACACACACCCTAACTTTTTCCAATTTTAAATTGATAAGGCTATTAAACTTTACATTTTATCGACATTTATTTCACTACTCTTTTAACCATTTATTTTAAGATTTTCCAAAAATGGCTTTTACATTTAACTCCTTGAGTCATGGCAAATAATCTGAAGATAAAACTGTTTTGCAGGCTCGACCAATGATACAGATTGTATTGAATGCCCACCAGGGTATTATTGTGAAGGAACAGGAAATATTGTTCCAGATGGTCTCTGTCAGGAAGGATTCTGGTGTGCTGGTGGTGCTTCAAGTGCTCGACCCTACGACCCTGGCAATGCAGTGTCTACTGGCGGAAATGCTACGTAAGAATAATCAGAATTTCTAAGAACTAAATTAAAATTAATGATAATCAAAATAAGCATATTTGATCTTAGTTTAGCAGATGTTCAATATGAACTCTTTGTTTATATCATAGATTTAACTGCCATACACTGTAATTCACTTCTGTTCACTTAATGTCTGCTTAGTCTTTAATCATTAGTCACCCTTCTATGAAAAAAGAAACAACATTTTTTTTTTGTATATCTGAACATGTCAATTCTGTAAACGTTGATACAAAACTATTTTCTTTTGTGACTGAGTCACACTCAGTATAAAACTGTTCACTTTTTTTTTTGAAAATGTGTAAGTGGCTTGGAAGCTCATGTCAGTAGAGATGCAGAATAGCATTTTGAGTGTTTTCAGGGCTTAAGTCGTGGTGAGGATGCACATATTTTGTCACCCTGTGATATATGTTATTTCAAATCTGATATTCAAGCTGTATACTCACAAAGTCCAGAACATTGTTGTTGAATGCCCAAACATATTGTTATACTTTATTTGCATGTTTTGTTTTACAGAGCTTTGTATTCCAATGATACATGTGCACCACAGTGGGATTGTCTGTGTACAAGTTTCCTCATGACCACAGGTGGAATCTGTCCGATGGGTTACTACTGTCCCGAGGGTTCAACCAAACCGATTGATTGTGACCCCGGGAAATACTGCGAGACACCTGGTCTTGCTCTTCCCACAGGTAAAAATTAAACAGACCTTTGTTACTGCCTTATTGTTAACAACTTTCACAATGTAATTTGTACCAAATACGTATTTACCTTGAAGGCTATATTCAGAATCTACTTTTTTTAAAACTTTTCCACATGTCATGAAAACTAACTTTGTTTTTGTTGCCTGTTTATTTCCTTCCCCTATAATATTATGTTCATATTGATAAATGGGTGAGTGATTATTATTTGATTCAAAGCAAGATACATATTTTGTCCTTTTAAATATAAATTGATTAAAATATATCTTCATTTAAAAGGAATCTTTATTTAGATATAAGACAAATTATCTTTTATTTAAATGAAATTATTTTTGAATATTTATCATAATGGATATTTCAACTCTCACATTAAATTAAAGGAAACTGTACAGCCGGATTTTACTGCACCAACACAAGTACGACACCACAGCAGACGGTATGTCCGGTGGGTTATTATTGTCTGGAAGGTGAACAACCAACGGAATGTCCCGCAGGAACATTCTCTAACAATGAACAGAACCAACAAGAATCAGACTGCACTAACTGCACGGCAGGATACTATTGTAATGGTATGTAAGGGGAAGATCATACACAAATAAAATATCTCTTTTGCTTTATCTAATCTATAGCTTCTGTTATTAGACTGTTATTTAACTATGCTTGAAAATGTTTGGACCTGTTTTACATCAATAAAAATTATTTTTCATATATTTATATCATCATTTTGTATTATTTACATGTATTTATTACACTGTCTTAAATTTAAGTATGAGTTTTATTTTAAAATTATTTAAATGTATAAAAATTTTATTTAATAAACAATGTATATTTTGAATGAAAAGTAGGCTTGATGGATGTTTTTTGTTGTTTTTATATGTTTGGAAAAAGTAATTTATCATTACTAAATGTAATTTAAATTGTAGGAACCGGTTTGACAGCTCCTAATGGTGAATGCTCACAAGGATTTTACTGTCCAGGAGGTCAAAGTGCACTGACACCATCAGGTCTAGATTGTTGGGCGGGTCATTATTGTGAACAAGGATCCATCATCCCCACTTTCTGCCCTAACGGAACTTACCAGCCAAATAGCGGTCAATCAGCATGTTTAGATTGTCCACCAGGTTTCTATTGTAACCTCGCATTAGGTATGTTAACTTAACTTTCCCTAAAGATTGATTGATGTTAATGATTTTGAAGTCTAAATTTGATATTAGTACATGTAGTTAAACTAGCTGTTTAAGATGAACGTTCATTTGATTTAACTGTTACTTTTCCATAGAATACAGTATACAGGTATACAAATTATATTGTTCTAAACCCTATGAATATATACATGTACCTTCAAAATGAAGTATATAAAACAGTATTTTCGTTGCTTTTTTTTCAGGGGATGGTACTTATTGCGATGGTAAGATAGCTTTTAAGATTTTTTTAATGCAATTCAAAGAACATTTCATATATAAGGTACATTGTAACATCCTTAAAAATATGATGTTTTGTAAAGAGTCAATTAAATTACAAAAACATTTATTTTGTTGGTTTTTTTGTTTATAATGATAAACAGCGGAACTATATCGTGATGATATATTAGTAATGCTAAGACCTGGATTGTTTAACTTATAATGTTTGTTTTACAGGGCAACAAGTTACAGAACCAACCAACTGTACCATGGGATATTACTGTAGTGGAGCCACTAGCATTCCAACACCATGTCCTGTTGGTACATATGGACACGCCCTCAACTACATTACAGCTAGTGACTGTCAACCTTGTACACCGGGAATGTACTGCGAGACTGAAGGACTTATATCTCCAACCGGAAATTGTAGTGCCGGTTTCTTCTGTACCGGATCAGCTGAGGAAGCTTCTCCCTCCAATCACAATGTATGTTCTGATATATCACATGTTATTTGGGGTTTTTTAAATAAAGTTCTCAAAACTTCAGAGACATTATTAGTGTTGATGTGGATTTCTTACTCATAGAAAGTTTATCCAGTTGATGATTCTGAACTTCTGTTATTATGAACACTTGTCTGCCTTTTATAAATATATTGAAACTTTGTTAGTATGTGATTAATATTTTGTTTCGATAATATTAGTCAAATGGTAATTGATTATAAAAATGATTTACAATATAGATAATCTCAAGTTTTATGTGTTGTACTGTTTTTAACAATTTGTTGTTTTAAATATCAGGTTGATACATCTAATAATTCATCATTTACTGGGAATGACATTTGTCCGCTGGGATATTTCTGTCCGGAAGGTTCCGACTATCCACAACCTTGCCCAATCAGCACGTTCTCGCGCAGCACTGGTGTACAGGAAGTCAGCGGTTGCCTGCCATGTTTGCCCGGTCACTACTGCAACGTTCTTGCAAACATTAAAAACTCAACAATGCCAATCTGTGATCCTGGGTAAGATTTTTCTTTTTATTTTGTTACATTACAATACGTAATTGATTGTAAATAATAAGAAAGTTTTGAACAATTTAAGTTTTACAATTTCCAAGATGATGATTATAATTCCCTGTTATAAATTCCTGTTACTAGCTTGACTTAACATACCAATGTAATATTTGTAAAACCTCTTTTTTCCTTTGAAGGTATGTTTGTCTCGAGGGAAGCTCAACACCAAACCCCACAGACAATGTTACAGGATACATTTGCCCTCGAGGATTTTTCTGTGAGGCTGGTACCACACAGGAAGAGTCATGTCCAGTTGGAACATATCAATCAAGTTTAGGGCAAGATAATTGCACAACATGTCCAGCAGGATTTATGTGCCTGGAAAGTAATATGACTGCCCCTGATGTCTGCATGACAGGTAATTTCTAACAATTTGTTACAGTTATTCACAATATCTGAAAACAGCCAGTGCACTTGCTTTTAAGACCTTCATTGTGACAATAAAATAAATGTAATCCTTGTAAATAGCAAATTGAACATGCAGTCTCCACAGCCTCTTTAGGATTTTACTTTCTTTATTTTAAATATTTGCAACTCAGCTTTTCTGAAATGTTTCTAGAAATACTATATCTTATTTGTTAATTTTGTAAATTCTATGAGTTTTAACATATAAATATTATTGTTTATAACATATAAAGAGTAGAGGTACTAATGTTTTGTTTAGGGTCGGTTTTTGCACTAACATTGTTGGTCATGGTATCTAATGGTATCATTTGTTTCAGGACATTACTGTGTGTTTGGAGATCCGAACCCTGTACCATGCCCAGCAGGAACATACAATAATGCAACAGGTCAAGATGATGTAGATGATTGTATAGATTGTACAAGAGGAATGTACTGTGAGGGAACAGGAAATACCTTACCTGATGGTGAGCTACTAATGATTACATTAAATATATTATTCTTACTCTGCTGGAACCTGAAATGATTAGTTTTTGCCACCAGTATAGAGCTGACCTGCACATCTGTCTGTGCAGTCTGATCAAGCTCTATAATGTTGGCTGACTAAACTTTAAATTTTCATCTTGATTTCCTTAAAAAATTGATTGTGGAAAGTTCTAAAATGGAAGATGGACAAGTTCATTTCAGATATTCTCAGTACAGAGTAATAATTTAGTGCTTTATTATAATGTTTCGATATTTTAAAAGTCTGAAATTACAGAAAATTCAAATCTATTGATAGATTTACATGTGTGGAGAGATAAATGTTATGCTTATCCAATGAAAACCAGTGTTACAAACATGAAGTATTAAAATGCTTCAAATATGTGGTTAAATAGTTGATAGCAATGCTTCAATTTAAGTAGTTAAAAATGTTTAAAAGTCCTAAGCACTAAATAATGTGATATGATTCTTCTAGGCTCTGTCCTTAAAATGTGCATAACTAATAACAAATTAAGAATATATTACCAACACATATGACAATTTTGATGTAACCAAATTTAAAATGGAATGTTTCATTGTATCCAAGGTGATTGTGAGGCTGGGTATTATTGTGATGGTGGAGCCAACACGAGTGCACCAAGTCCATCTGCTGCATATCCTGATAATGGTGTATGCCCAACAGGACACTACTGTCCGAATGGAACCAAGATGTGGGTCCAATGTCCAATAGGAACATACAGAGCTTCCACAAGTAAGATCTTTATTACAATGTATATGTATCTATCGATGTTTTTTCCAACCAGCTTAAAATTTTGCAAGTGACTCTCCTTTAATAATTTGCAAAGAATAAAATCACTTTTCACTATATACAGTTCATAAAGACAGAAGTATGTTTTGTACTTTTTTACAATGAACACAGATAGTTATTATTTTAATAGGTCATAATTGTGATAATTTTATGACATAAAATTGTTTACAGGGTTGTATAGAATATTTAGTGTAATATATAGAATTCATATATAAGGTAATTGGAACTATTTTAACAAGTTTATACATTGTTATTTCTGTAGCTGGTCAGTCAGTGGATGATTGTCAACCATGTACGGGAGGATCGTATTGTAATAATACAGGCTTATCTGCCCCATCAGGAAACTGTAGCCGTGGTTACTATTGTCCTGACAACGAGTCTATATCAACGCCAACACCTACAGGTAATGATACAAGATAGTTGTTTGTAAAGAACATCTGGGTTTTTTTTTATGATTTTCCTGCATCTAAGATGAAATGTCTTAAACTTTTCTTTTTGATTGGTTTTAGGCAGTGTATCATTTGCAATCTTTAGATAACTAGGGTTTGTCAGAGAAAGAAAAAACATTTTTTTGTTCACCTTTAATCTGCTGGAACTGAAAATGATTACCCTTATCTGTACAGTCTGTTTGGGCCCATAACTGTTGGTAAGCTCAGTTCTTGTATTTAGATATTGAAATCTTAAATTATGGGTTTCCCTGTGTTGCAGAAGCTGTCCAGCAAACCCTTAGGGAATTTTTGGGTTGTTCAAACTTGGATCTTTCCCCAAACCAGTAAACCCGGGAAAAGGTTGCTACATGACCAATCTGTTGGTGTTTACTTAAAAAAAAACCCCCAAAGAATAGAAAAATAAATAAATTTAAAAAAGCGGGGGAAAAAAAGGGGTTTTTTAAATACAGAATGACAGACTGTTTTTTTTCTGTTGCTAAGGGAAACCCAAATAAAAATAGTGGAAATTTTAAACTTATTTTTTGTATTTGACGGGGTTTTTGTGTCCATTTGGGGTTTAATATTGCCCGGGAAGGATAGGCAGCCCCAAAGGTGCCATTTTGGGGCCCGGCTTTTTTTCAACAACTATAGGAAGATGGGGCGTGTGACCCCTTGTCACGGGCGGGGTTAGTTACTAGTACCAGTGGGGTAACAGCCAAATTTCCAGATCGACTGTCCACCAATACCACTATTTGTCCTGAAGGGTAAGTCCACCATACCATTTTACTTGTCTCAAACGGAAAAGTCTAAATAGCCAATCAAATCCTCTGTCGCACGCTTTTACTAACAACTATCTTGACAATAAGTTCTGTTTTAGCCAAATTTCAGATCAATCTGTCACCATTACCACTACTGTCTTGACGGTAAGTCTGATAGCCAATCAAATCATCTGTCCACCATACCACTACTGTCTTGACAGTAAGTCTGATAGCCAATCAGATCATCTGTCCACCATACCACTACTGTCTTGACAGTAAGTCTGATAGCCAATCAAATCATCTGTCCACCATACCACTACTGTCCTGAAGGTAAGTTCGCTAAATCTGACTGTAATGAACACATTGATTCATTAGAAAAATCATTTTCTTAACAGAAAAAAGCATTTATATATACGTATTAATGGAAAGAACATGCAGCATTTTAAGCTGTTAAGTTTATTAAATATTGTTGTATCTAGAGTCCACAATATAGCCTGAATAAAATAAAGTTTGATATGGTACGGCATGAAATAGGGATGATGCTTGCGAAGATATAATGTACAAGTTTTATACAAAATCTAGCAATGTTTTATTTTTACCTACTTAACTTTTCAGTTTAATTCATTAACAATTGATACAGATGCTTAAGATTTGTAAAGATGAACATTTTGGGTTAATTCTGATTTTATCTTCAGTGATGTAAGTTTTATACTTCTATTTGTATAGCATGAAAAGTAATGTATAAGGTTAAAAATTATGATATTTACAAATATCACTATTAGATATTAATGCGTTATATGATTTTCACAAACAGGAACACTGGTACCACCGATTTGTCCAAATGGTACATACACACATGACAATACAACAAATTTACAGGAAGCATCTGAATGTTTGCCGTGTGAGACATCATTTTACTGTCGTAGCGGACAGTTATCAGCACTGTGTGCGGCTGGATACTACTGCAAGTCCGGTGCTGAGAGCGATATTCCAGCTACAACAACAAACTTTACAGCCTGCTCAGCATACGGAGAATGTGCTGGACTTTGCCCTGCAGGTTATTATTGTGAAGAAGGAACTCTTACTCCATTCCCTTGTCCAGAAACAACTTTCCGCAATACAACAGGTGCCGAACAGGTGGGAGACTGCGATTTCTGTCCTGCAGGATACATGTGTGATAATGGTAATATTTTACTTATAAAATTAAGCATTGTTGAGTTTTGAAATTTTGTTTAATACTAAAAAAAATTCTATAAATACATTAACTTACTAAGTTTTTTCACGGAGTAATATTACAACAAGAGTTTACTTAATTACTTGTTATTAATAAAATGATATTTAGTGAATAATACAATTTAAATCTACCTAATATTTAGAGTGCAAAATCAACTTTATCCCTTACGGGAATATATTTACCATTTTTTTGCTTTCAATTTAGGAACATCGGAACCTATGCCATGTATAGCCGGTCACTACTGTCCACTTGGTACTGGACTTGAAGCTGTGCCATGCCCTATAACAACATATTTAGATACAACTGGTGCGGCAGTATCTGCAGATTGTAAACCATGTGAGAAAGGCTATATCTGTAATGAAACTGGTATGTTATATGTAATACATCATAAAGCATTTAACTTGTTAGATTTTCTTCAAATTTATAAGTCATATGTCATTAGATACTTGCCTGGATTAAATTTCTGTGGGACCCCTTTTGAATATAATTTGAGTTCTTACTCAATCTGATTAAAATCAGCTCTAAATAACACTCAACTTTTAGAATGACTGTGACCAAATACAAAATAATTTTCTGGTGAGCTTTCACAGAGTCAATCATCGGCAAGCTTTCATAATTTTGAAAGTTATGTGGTTTTTAATTTTAACCTTGGGAAAACCAATACTGAGTTGGTAATTTCAAGATTTTGCAAACAAACATGGCGTTGTCCATATAGCCGACAGGTAAACTGGCAAAACAATCTTGCCCATTAAAAATTGACTCTATTATTTCAAGTTAAATTGTTAAAAAATACTTCAAACATTTTTTTTTCTAACAAAAATCAACAATTTGTTTTACTTCCACGGATAATTGTATTTTGCTAATTCTAACGTCAATGTAAAAACTGGTCAGATTGCATGGCTGAAAATGGCTTTCTTGGCAAATACGAATAATAAAGAAGGCAAAATATGTATGGTTGTTATCAGATCTACATAAAGAAATAAGTAGATTTAAACTTTAGTGAGATTGAGTTCCTACTTGATATACTTACTTGATATAGTTGAATGAGTCATGATAAGAATGCCCATATACATATGTATATTGTTTCACATGTTTTGCTTTCTTGTTTTCATCAGAGGATGAGATGTATGAACATTGTTGTTTATATACCAGTACTCATATTTTTTTTAGTACTTATGTAGGTAAAATACATGTTATTGTAATTTTCAGGTATGACTGATTATTCATTATATCCATGTCCATCCGGATTTTACTGTATACGTGGAGAGGAACCTCATTTGTGTCCGGCAGGCCGTATGAGAAACGAAACTGGTGCTGGTGACCCTACAGACTGCCCATTATGTAGGGCAGGATATTATTGTCCAAATGATACAATAAACAAACATGGAATACCATGCCCAGAGCAGTACTATTGTGAGGAAGGGTCAGCACTGCCTGTTGATTGTGAACCAGGTTACTATTGTCCAGCTGTAACAGGGGTGGCCCCAATATGTCCACCTGGTTACTATTGTCCAGGACTCACATTAGATCCTATAGAATGTGAGAAGCCATATTACTGTCCTGAAGGAAGCAATATGACATTGATTTGTCCTCTAGGTTATCAAGCAGTTGATCATGCGGGCATCAGATATGACAGTACACTATCCTGTAGAATCTGTCCTGCAGGTTCATATGGTAATTACACAGATCGTTCACTGTGTGAAAGTTGTCCACCAGGTTACTACTGTCCAGCTGGCACAGGTCATGGAGATTCTAACCCATGTAGGGTAGGTTCGTATTGCCCTCCAGGTTCTTACCAGGAAACATCTTGTCCAAGAGGATACTATGGAACAGTTTCTCTCGCATCAAGTGTCAGTGAGTGTACAGCTTGTGTTGCAGGCACTTTCAGTAATTTGGAGTATGCAACAGAATGTCAGTCTTGTGGAGGAAGCTCAAGTAGTACAGCAGGATCAGTAGCGTGTACTTGTAACGGACGATACAGATATTTCCAGGAGACCACTGCAGCATGTATTTGTCGGTCTGGATACGTCTTCTATGACCAGACAGACACCGTACAAAGTGAACAAGACAGCAGTGAAGACTGTCAACGGATATCATTTGCACGATGCAGCAGACACCAAACTCGACTTTCTACTACAGGCCAATGTGTTGATCCAAGCAGCTATGATTGTAGTAATACAGGGGGATGCTCTGGGTCAAGCTACTTTAGTCTCGATTATGGGAGGTACAATATTGTTTTAGAAACATTTTTTCAAAACTAATAGTTTTTTCTTTAAATGTTCACATAATTGATAAGCTGATGCCTTTATTACTATATCAATATATCCAATTAGGGTTTAAATTTCACAAATGATTCTTTAACAATTTCATTGTTTCAAGAAATTTTATAGGGCTAGATGAGGGACATTCAATATGGCTTATTTGAGATTTAATTTATTCTATCTTTCATTGTGCTGAAAAATGTATTCAGTAAAATGTTTTATTTTTGTATATTTTAGATGTTTCTGTGACAGTTATGTGTCCGAGTCGGTGATTTGTGACTTAACATGCCAGGCTACAACGCAACCAACAGTAACAGCAACACTCAAAAGTGATGGGTCATTTGTTGTTGGTATTGCGGATCCACAGACAGGAAATACTTCAGAACTGGTACAATTTACTACTTCATATCCCTTCACCATGTCGAGTTTACATAATGGACTTGAACTGTTTTGAATTTGGAATGGTCCATTTTTTATTTCAGTTATAAGTAAATATAAGAAATAATATACCCCAAACAGTGATTTTATCGCTCAATAACATGACTGTTTGGAGTTGGGATGCGAGGAATTATATCACAGGGGTGTAGCCCGAGTGATATTATGATGCACATCCAAACAACAAACAGTGATGTTGTCAAGTGAAAAAATCACGGATTTGGATATATTATTTCGATTCTAACAAGACATCATCAATTAAATGCTGCCGTGCCTGATATTAAGCATAATTGCGCCTGATTTGTTTCCGTACTTCTTTTCCGCGTCACAATTTTAGTGGTTATGTCACGTGTATAATGATTACGTCACATGTCTAAATATAGAAAGTCAAACAGTGATTTTATTGCATAATAACACACACTTTCGGTTGTTCTATGTTCAATAGGGAAAAATGCGGGTTGTGTTAGATTCTAAAATAGTACACGCATTATAGAGTCTGATTAAACAGGTTATATTGTTATATTGTAGGTATTACCTAACATGTTTGGACCAGATGAAGGTTATACTGGCACTAATGCACCAATTCTTGTTGTATCATTCTACGGTGAGGCTGGTGTGGCAGGAACTATATTTGAGGATGCCTCCAGAGCTGAAGATCTTGCATGTATGTTACTTTGAATTATGTTACATTGATGTTTTAACAATGGTGGTATGGTTTGCACTGATTGCATAGTTAGACTCAGTGGCTGCCAGCCGGCGTAGGGTTTACAAGTTATCTCACATTTCCATGTCACTATTTGTTATTAAAACTGTTGATTTATTATATAGTGATTCCTATTCAAATTGTTATCCTGAATCACTGGTGGTTGGAACACTTAAGGTTATATTACACAAGTTACCAGTTTTTTTTAAGGAGGAATATTGCTTGTACCCGTCTATACAATAATGTACATGAGCTAGCAGATACTAAAATCATTGACCCTCCATAAGTTGATGGGGAAGTTGCTTAATGTCTATGTCTAAAATTGAACCTAACCTCTTATAATGAGCAAGTGATTTATGCCAGCTGTCACAGTGTCTCCAGAAGTTCCTTTGTTATCTGTGTAAAAACATTCTATGTGAATTCATATTCATTTGTTTTAATCAAGTTTTGAGAGATATTTTTGTTTTTAAAATGAAACAATGTCATTTAATATATATGCAAGAATGAATTATGATGAAAAAAACTTATTTTTCAGTAACTGTGCAAGAACTCTCTGACAAAGCTGTTGCTAATGGATTTGTCGGTCGTAGACGTCTTTTCTCGACGCTGACTATACCAGCTAATGAAGTAACAAACCCTGTGATGTGTGTGGAAGTGGGTGAAATGGTGATCTTCAAACTTCTCATCAATGATACAGATCGCACAAAGAGTCATTATCCTGTCTACAACAAGAATCACATGTTCAGCACGAATCCTACGTTTGACTTTGGACCATTTACATTACTGAAATATGAGATTGAGAACACAAATGCTAATATCACAAACTTTGCATATGTCTTTACAGAAGGCGGAAATTTTGTTTTCTATGATGCCCAGGACTCGTCTTTGTAAGAAACCATTTTTTATATATTTATTCCTCACATTCTTTTTGATACAGAATAGATGCCACAATTTTATGATTATAAAGTGTTCTTAAAATATTACACTTTTGAATATTATAGAAGTAATTATATTCCAAAACATGTATTTTATTTCTTGCTTTCCCGTAAACGGTGAAATTATATTTTGAATGTGGATAAAACAAATTTATCATGGCAAAAGAAAGAAATTTTGTCAGAAAAAGAAAATATACATGATTAATACTGGAAATAGATAAGCACACATATTAAAAATGTAACATTATTATAGAATTTTTTTTCAACCTGAACATAAATTGTGACATCTTGATTTGATGATGTTGTGCACAAGTAGAACACATGATGTTAGATGCCAAAAAATCAGTAAAAATGACTAAAACAACATCTAAATATATAAAGTAAACAGAAATTCATATGTTTTACATATAAGATCAAATTATATTTCACATGTGAACACCATTTGTTATGTCTTCATTTGTGCTTCTACCACTTGTGAATATACGATATATTGCATCTAGTGTCTGTTTAATTTATTTCAGTCTTAGATGCAAATCAAACAAATATTTGCTATATTTCTTTTCATGAGATATTATAGATTATATCAATTATCATGAAAGACATCATTCTATAAACCTATATGTATCAGTACTTTATAAAGTAATATAACCAGTTTTTACATAATGTACACTTTGCAGATGCAAATGTATTGTAGTCAAAGAGTAGTTAAAATTTAATTTCATCTAGCACTTCTGTGAAGTTTACATTTTTAATCTTTTTCTGGGCAGAAAAAAACAAACAATTAAATAATATAAAATTTTAAAACATAACCATTTATTTCTCACAAATATTTTGTATTTGATTATATAGGGAAGTATTGATACGGGTGGAACCAACTGGTGTATCATGCTCATCATCGTCCCGTATAAAACCAGCTACACCAGCCAACTTACTGGTGCTCGGCTTCTCCCCACAGTCTGTCGATAACGTAGCTCCAGATTGGAATCTTATCATAGGTAATTATATGAACAGGAATTGAAATAATTTTAGAGTATTTGTAATAAGTCAATATCTCTAAATTAGAACCGGAGAGTTTTAAACTTTGTCATTGTCACATATTCTGAGATCAAGAAAGTTTTCTATTGGATGATGGCATAATCATTTTGTGGAATTCTGAACAACAGTTCTGCTAATTTGCGCAGGAAAAAAATAATCTAATCACCAAAACATAGTTTAATGATATATATTTTTCGCTTGAATTCTTCTTGGATATGTTTAAGGTATCTTTTGTTTTATTACAAGCAATGCATATGTTATTATTATTGACAATTATTTGATTGTTAAAATTGTGTAACTTGTAGGAATGCTTGCTTTCTTTGGAATACTCATACTGCTGTTGATTGTGGCGGTCATCATCTGGCTACCAAAGAATGCCGGACTTTATCCAATGTTACACTGGGCACCAAAATACCGAAGTCTCGGTGCACCTGCACCAGTACCATACTACATGAGATACGATCCAGACCAGTGGCCACAGAAACCACTGTAAGTATAGGAAATGCAGACTTAACAAAAATGCAGCTGAACATGTTAACACAAATATGAGGAAATATTGCTATTGTGGTAGTATAACAGTTAATTTCTGTGCACTTCTAGAAATAATAACAGGTCTGTGGCACCAGCATGTAGTAGTTAAGTCTCACAAGTCACTATATTTATTGGTTGCTCAGTTTTATCATGTTTTCTTGCTATACTTATAATAAAAGACATTTCCAAATTCAAATTATCGGAAAGTTTACCTCACAAATTCTGTAAGAAGAAAATATAAACTAGCAGATTGGCTCCTGCTCTACTATTCTACAGCATTTATTCCTGCTAAAATTATCTTTAGCCATCTGATGGAAAGTGAATTTACCCATGCAGCCATTGCAGATCAGATGGCACAGATCATGGTCTGCACTGTTGGCTATTCAGTCAATTCTTATTTTGAAATTTTTCATATGAAGGATGAATGGTTTGGTCAAAACTGAAAGTCTGTTAAAAATATTTAGTGTGGTAAATGTTAATTAAATTACACAATTATATTCATATGATTTATTATAAATATTGAACATATTTTTGTATTTATTTGTATCAGGGAGTCAGATGTTCATGAATCACTTGGAGTAAGGTCAGAGGGTGACGGAGAAGGGGCGGACCTAAAATCAGCACCAGCATATGGTATGATAACAGTCTATGAAAATAATCCATGGTTTAAAATTATACAGTGCTGTTTGAACGAATACATATAATTTAATGAAAGAAATTATTTTGAATTTTTAAAACATTTAGTTTCATTTGAACAACTAACTTTAAAATATTAAATAAAGTATAATTGTTGTACAATGATTACTATAGAAACAGGTGCACTGTAGAAATATTTTTTACATTTTTAAGAAACTTTTGTTTTCAAAAAAAGTTAACAGTGACATTATGTTTGGTTTATGATTATATTTTTCTCTTTTAGAAACTGGATCTGTTAAAGCTACAGAAGGGTTGTTGGAAGACTTCAATGTGCGCGTGTTTTATGACAAGCTGGAAGATCAGAATCTACATTTGGCAGCACAATTAGCTCGACAGAAAGAGGACAACCAGGTGTTCTATAATAAGATGCTGGAGCAAGTACAAGGCCTAAGAGATCTCTTGTTGAACATGGATCCTGACAAGTTTGAGGAACTTGAAAGAAAACTAGAGGAACGTGAAGCTCGACTGAAGAGAGATGGTTTACAAGGGGCGGGAATGGGTGCAGGACCGACGATAATAAACGCAAATGTTGGCATTGGAGATATGAACAAATCAAAGTTTTCAGGTACAATTTACTGTCTTTATTAATTTTTATCTGTTTGTTTGAAAGTTAACATCTATCTGTAAAACAAAATTGTGTCCACAAATTCAAAATTGTGCTTTTCCACAAAATTACAATTGTACTTGTCCACAAAATAAAAATTGGACTCACATTTTACAGTTTCATCATTAATGAAAACTTTCTTCAAAATTGTGCCTGCTAGTAACTGTTCCTATTTATTATTCATCAATTGATGCAGTTGAAGTAATTTTAATAATTATGGCAATTTGTTTAAGGATGATATAAGTAACCTCTTTTATGCATTATTTTAGGTTTAAACAAGCATCTGTTAAAGAATCATATACATGTACATATAGCAACCTTACTATACTCTACATCTGTTATTTTATTTTTTATGTTGATATTAGGAGTTGGCTCGCCATTCTCACGAGAAGAAGATCTGATGCTAGCATTACAGTTACTGCTGGACAGATTAAACTCTGGACAAGTTCCTATAAATAAGTCAGTGTTAGAACAGTTACAGAAGAGCGGTGAAGGTGGTGGTGGTGGATTAATGACAGAAACATATACAACGAATATCACCGGAGGACGGGTACGTTTTTCTAATTTTCCTTGGAAAAAATATCTGAATAATATTTTATTTAATCTCTTTCTCCCTAACCAGTTTCTTCATTATTGTTTATATTGAATATGAAACTAAATCTTCTTTTGTAAATCTTAAAATTTAGATTGTTTTGGTTTTTTACCTGGGCAATCATTTTCAACCAAACTAACTTATCTTTATCAGTTTTCAAATAAGATCACTTATGATTTTTGCTTTTGAATAAGAGTGTTCAAGGAACAAGAATTTGTTGGGGTCTTTAGTATGACAGAATAAATTAAGCATTTAAATTAATTGTAATCTATGAATTTAAAGCGTTTTAAGGATTTAAGACCACCAAAGATAAAGGTAAGAATTATGTTGTTGGGGTAAAGAGCAGTAAGTTTTTGTTATTATTATGTGATATATTGTAACAGTTGCTTTTAGATGTTAAATCTTCTCTAAAATGTCTGAGAAATAAACTAGTCATCATTATCATAGGTAAATATTAATTCAGGTGAATTCATTATATTGTGAGAGGTGAGGTATTTTAGGAAGTCAGTTTAGTTGACTGAATGTATTTGTTTTTATTTTTTTGTCTAGAAATCATTTTAAAAAATTTATGCTTCCATTAAAACTAAATTCTGCTATTTATCATGTAAATTGTACTTTTCTAAAGAACTTCTTGCATCTACCTTTACGGCTTTATTCTTGCTAAAGTAAAATAGTAAATTATTCATTATTGATCAATTATTGCTTCTTCTATATAAATCTGGTAAACTTCTGATTTCAGATAAATTGTTGAAATCTATATTAGACTCTACATGTACATAGAAATTTTCATTCAGAGACTAAACATGTTTACACAAGATATACAGATTTGATATATTCAACCAGGTTCATTTATTATCACTTATTCTTGATTATTTAGGGCATGCAGGGTTTAAGCAAAGCTTTTGCTGAACTTTTAAGACGTCAGAATGGAGAACGACTCCGACTGGAAAAAGAACTTCTCAAGGAAGAGGAAGAAGCTCTGAAAGACCTGGTAGAAGAAGAGGACAATAAACGTAAACAGATGTCTGATGGAATGGCTGAAAAACTTGTCAGTGATATACAAGGTACAAATCTTCACTGTCACATTTTCTGACTTTGTTTAATATGGATTCAACCCGCTGTTCCACTTACAATCATACTAATGTGTCTTTATACCCCCAAAAACGAAGTTTGGGGGGGTATATAGGAGTCACCCGGTGGTCGGTCAGGCGGTCGGTCGGTCGGTCCAGACGTCCGTTGCATTTTCCTTGTCCGGAGCATAACTTGAAAACTAATGGTTGGAATTCAATATAACTACATACAATGGTCAAGCACATTGAGAGGAAGTGCAGTGCACAAGAACCATAACTCTATCTTGACTAATTACAGAGTTATTGCCCTTTGTTACTTTTCCTTGTCCGGGGCATAACTTGAAAACTACTGGTTGGAATTCAAAACAACTTCATACAATTGTCAAACACAATAAGGGGAAGTGCAGTGCACAAGAACCATAACTCTATCTAAAGTAATTACAGAGTTATTGCCCTTTATTACTTTTCCATTGCTTTCTTTTGTCCGGACCATAACTTGAAGACTAATTGTTGGAATTCATTATAACTTCATACAATGGTCCAGCACATTGAGAGGAAGTGCAGTGCACAAGAACCATAACTCCATTTTGACTTATTACAGAGTTACTGCCCTTTGTTTCTTTTCCTTGTCCAGAGCATGACTTTAAAACTACTGGTTGGAATTCAAAACAACTTCATACAATGGTCAAGCACAATAAGGGGAAGTGCAGTGCACAAGAACCATAACTCCATCTTGACTAATTACAGAGTTATTGCCCTTTGTTACTTTTCCTTGTCCAGAGCATAACTTGAAAACTACTGTTTGGAATTCAGTACAACTTCATACAGTTGTCAAGGACATTAAAAGGAAGTGCAGTGCACAAGAGCCATAACTCCATTTTGACAAAATACAGAGTTACTGCCCTTTGATACTTTTCCTTGTCCGGAGCATAACTTAAAACGTACTGGATGGAATTCAAAACAACTTCATACAATGGTCAAGCACAATAAGAGGAAGTGCAGTGCACAAGAACTATAACTCTATCTTCAGTATTTATAGAGTTATTGCCCTTTGTTCTTTTTCTTTATCTTTCTGGACTTATTACAGAGTAATTCAATTAAACTTCATCAATGGCCAACCACATTGAAAGGAAATGCAACATACATGAACCACAATTATCTTTAATTGCCCACAACCATAACTCTATGTTTCAATTCTTTTACAAGGTATTCTGTTACTAGTAACATCCTCATTTCCGAAGCAGACTTGTGGGGGTATTAATCACATTTAGTGATAGTTCTAGTTTTGATGAGACTTTGAAAAAAACAACATCAGTGTAAATAAAAATCAGGGTTGGAATGGAGCAATTTCTGTATTATGCACTACCCATGAGAATAATAACTATGTGTTGCAACTTTGGACAACCAAAACGAAAAAAAAACAAAAAAACCTCCCTGCTATATTTTTGTTAAATGGATTTGCCATGCTTTAAATTTTGTATTGTCCATTCTTAGTTTAAAAGGATTTCATTATGAATTATAAATAAAATATTTTCAAAGTAAATGTTTAGGATCTTTAATGTGACATATGTCATTCTTGTATCATATTTGTATGTTAATTTCATGTTTAAACTTGACATGATGTTTTATTATTTCCAGGTGCAGCCAATGCTGCCCAGGTAGCCGACATTATAAGAGCTTACAGTGAACAACTGGGTAAAGCAATGAATCAACATAGCAGCAGCAAGGATAGACAGACGAACGATCTTCATCGTAAACTTGCTATGAGACGTAAAGCTCGTGAAGATGCTCTTAGAGAAAAACAGAGCAGAGAGGTAAAACAATTCACATCATTTGGTTTTCATTGAACAAATTTTGAGCAATTATAATATGACGGTGGTGGTTTTCTCAATTGTAATAGGGTAATTAATATCACTATAATGCAATCATAAACAGTTTTGAAATTGATGAAAATATTTATTTTCTGTCAGACTGCTGATTCTTTTAATTGCATTTATTATAACATTAGCATGTTTTTTAAAGAAAGTTAAAAAAGTTAATAAATTGTTTGATATACCCTTTGGTGTATCATGCTGGCAGGGGCGGCAAAATCAATTGTCCATATTGCCCAGATTGTCCCACACCCTGTACAGACTAGTGGAAATTTTCAAGAATGAACTATATAAATATCATAATATCAGTTAAAAAATGCTTCAGATAAAAATAAACAAGTGAGTCAAAATCAGATTTTACAGGCCCTTAGAAGTGTCTGGGTGAATATATATAAAACAAATTGAAATTATGATAAAACATAATTAGCTTGTGATAAACTATACAAGGTTTAATTACATGTATATATGTTAACAATGATATGGAAGATGAAATATAATGATGTAAATGATTGCAGGCCGAGGAGGCAGGTTTACCATTACCCCAGGAAAGTGCAGATAACTCTGATGTTAAACTGAAGATGTCTCAAGGTGTGCTGGACACCCTACAATCTCAAGAGGCCGCTGGTACGGCTAAACTCGAGATTGACCTTGAAGATAATTTTGGAGATGAGGAACGAAGAAAATTATCTGACAGGATGAAGGAACATATTGTATGTTATATTCAATTTTGTTTGTGACATAATTATGCCTGTTATTGGTTTATGTGAAGAATAAGTACTAACGTGTATAGTCATATCTTAAAAAGGTTCAATCTGTAGCTTTAAATATTAAAAATAGGATATTTAGGTGGAATGAGTTTTGAGAATTTTTTGTCACAGTGTTTTTGAATTTATCTATTATTACATTATTGGGTAAGGAGAGAATTAAAGATAATTATACATCTTAATAGTATAGAAGTCTAAAAACCTTCCCTTTTTAATCAAGTTTAACTTACACTGTACATTTGTTTTCATCAAGATTTTATTCGTAGAATTGATTTCATATTGTAAACACAATACGTTTTTTTATCCTACCAGGATCGTTTGTCAGAACAAGGAGTTATAACAGCCGAGATGAAAGACAAACTGTTGAAACAACACCAGGATACCGAGGCTGCACTTGAGAAAAAACACAAGGACGGTAAACAACAGCAAATTCGTAACCTTGAAGACAAAATGGCCTTACTTCGAAAACGTAGATTTGATAAGCTGAGGGATGAACAGGAGAAGTACAAGAATGAAGTAAGTGTAAAATACAAAAACAATTCTTATTTTCACAACCTGTGTTAAATTTTGGGTAAAACATGCTTATAAGAGTTTTTCAGCTATACATTATGCAGCAAAAGTAGTTAAATTGTCTAATCTATCAAGCAAAGAAAGTATCTTACAAAAATAAATTTTAGTAGTTGACAAATATGAAATGTCAGTAGTTGACTGTTTAGGTATTTGAAAAGAATTCTTTCTTAACATTTAAGATTTGATATCATTAAGGATGGTTCACCTCTAGTCTGTGATAGCTACATATATGTATATAGAAGCTGGTTATAAATCCACAATAATGAATGCTGTTGCTAAAGTAATTTTACTTTGTATTTCAGAGAACATCGAAATTGATTCAAGATGGCCACAATGATGAACTAGAGAAAGAGCTTGAGGTTCTTAAACAACTGTTTGAACAACAAATGTCTGCTGCCGAGGCTGAAATGGATGCAGAAGAGAATGAGCACAAACATAAATTGACAAAGAACCTGAATGATGAACATACGGCAGGTTTGCGGGAAACTCAGCGCCAGATAATGAAGGTAGCCAGTGACAGCTGTCCCGCATCTGAGCAGGTCGCGCTACAGAGATTGATGGATGAATATCGTAAAGAACAAGAAGGTCTGTCCCAAGAATTGAACCTTGAGAAACAGAGACTGCGTAATGACCTTCAGGTAATTTCCTAAAAGTTTCTTAGTTACATGTGATGATACCTTTTTCCTCTATTTGATTGTTACTATTACACAATATAAAAGATATGAAACATTTTAATGCCCCCATTACTTGAGGGGGTGGGGGGATTAACATTTGCTTATGTCAGTCTGTCACACTGTCTGGCTGTTAGTGAAATGGTGGAATGTGTGGCATCCATGTCCTATAATATTTATACATTTCTAGTTAAATTAACATGAAGAAAATTCTTTATTTCTTTGGTATTTTGAACAAGATAAATAAACGTTTCATTTGGACTTACAATGTTTTTTAAAATAAGTGTTTAATACTGTGAATCAGGAATGGTATAAGTAATTCTCTACTTGTATAATATTTCCAGGCTAAGTTAAAATCAAGAAGAAGTCGCAGAATGGCAGAGTCTCTGCGTAAAATGGAAGAGATAGAAGCTCAAAGAATAATTGCTGAGCAGAGGAAACAAATGCAGCAACAGGCAGCAAACAAGGGAGACAACCAGAATGGTGTTGCTACGGATACAGGGTTGCTGATAGCTCCTCAAGTCAATGTTGGTGAATCAATGGAAGAAAGAGTACTTAAGAAATCACAGGTAATTTTCAGAAATTTGAATTATTGATAAATCTAAATATAGAAATATTAGAAACCAAATAATACTGGTAATAAGTATACTCTTGTATTAATCACACATATATAGTATTGTAACTTATTTATTTGATATTATTTTGTTATTTAGGATCAGTTTAAGGACAGCCTACGCAAACAACACAAAGATTTCTTTGAGAAGACCTCGAATAAACTTGACCAGGAGGCTCGTGAAGAAGAGAATGCCCTAAAGAAACAATTAGACGAGGAACGTAACAAGATTCTCCGCGAGAAGAAGAACAGACACCAGGCCGAGATTGACGCTCGACCAGATCTTAGTCAGAAGGAAATTGAAGCTGTAAGTTACTAATTAGTTATCTTATCAATGATGAATGCTTGGGAAAAAAAAAGATTTGTTTATTATGATGATGTTTAAACTCCGTCAGTAAATATTCAATGACAATATTGCTGTTTCTGCTTTATTATAGATGTTATAGAGTGATACTGAATGTTTAGGCAAATAGATAACATACAACAGTTTGTTTTTTTTTACCTAACTCTTGCTCTAAATATACCGTAGGTAATTTTTGTTATGAACATAACATTTAAATTGAATAAAAGGACAATTAGAGAACATTTTTCACCATTTCCAAGGTATTTCTTATTTACAGATGATGTCCCAACACGAGAAGGAAATGGAAAATTTGGCCGAGAAACTTGAAATGGAGAGAGACCGGCAGTTACGTGCTCTTGGTGACTCGTTGTCAAGGCGACGAAATCGTAAACTTGAGGACCTACAGCGTCGTAATGACACAGAGTACATGCGTACAATGATTGATCAGAAAAAAGAGGTTGAAGAATTGCATCTTAAGGTAGGGAATTACATTTATAAATCTTAATAAGACCTGTGTTATAGTTGGAAATGAAAATGTGAAATTAAGGGGCCAAACTAGCTTACTGTGTTTTAAATGTTTACAAACATATTAAATGATGCAAAGTGTTGGATATAATAATTTAAAACTAATGATTATATTTGAATATTTATCATAAATTCTGTGGAAGGAAAGTATCATCTCAGTTTTGTTCATGGTGGATTTGTTCAAGTATTTGTAGATTTGTTGATAAAACTTCTTTCATGATTATTGATTCTTTTTTTCTAAATTCACAGAAAGCCAAGGAGGCGGAACATAAAGCGATTAAGGAAGGTATTAAGGATAATGGAGAAGAAGACAGTGAGAAGGTGATCAAGGCGGTACTTGCTCAGAGACACGCCCAGGAAATGGCTGACCTTGAAACCCAGTATGCTGCTGAGAAACGTATGATGGTGAATGAAGCTCTCAATAAACTGAATGCCAAGTATGATCCTATACGTACAGAGATGTCTAAACGTCACAACAAGGATCTGTTTGATTTACAGGTAATCAATCAATATTACTGTAAATTTAGTACATCCTATTGCTTTCTGAGATTTCTTATTCATAATATTTGACTGGTTCAAAAATAAATATTAAAAGATATTTCGTTTAACTGATGAGATAAAGTATAACTGAAATTAATTGTATGTGATGGGTTTGTTGTTTACAGAAAGCCGGATACAGTCCGGAGGAGCTTCAAGAGAAACGTGCTGAGTTGATGAAACAACACGAGCAGGAATTAGCCGAGCTTGATCGTAAACAAGCCAGTGAGAAGAGTAGTGTAGAACAGGGAGCACTGGCTGACTGGGAACTCAGTTTTGCTAAGGCCAAGCTTGCACTTAAAGAAAGACATTACAAGGTAAGAAATTGCTTTGGTTAAATATTTTTATTTAAGAAAAAACAAAATAATATCTGTTCCCATTGATCTATCAAGGTTTTAGTAAGGTGCAATGTAATGGTGTATTACTTTACTTGTCACAGTTTCATTGAAATGATTTTATTTACTTTAAAAAAAAAATCTTAAATCCAGTTTTGTGTGGTTTATTTTGTAAATTAGGAGTTTGCGGATGCATTGCGTGAGTTCACACCAAACAAGGATGGTGCCAAAGATGCTGATCAGATGGCATCAGATCTGGAACAGATGAAACAGACATTAGAGAAACAGAGGCTGGAACAGGAACAAAAAATGAAGAAAGAACATCAAGGTATTTATGGATATATTTATATATATATCTGACATCATAATGTTCAATCTCCAGATTTATTGAATGTATAAAAGTGTCTGGTTCAGTAGCAGTTATGTTTTGTCTGGCATCCACTTTTAGACATGTCCATTATCAATTTTACGGATATTATATTAAAACTTTGAAGTTTGTCTGCCAACAGCATAGAGCCTGGCTCTGTATTAGTAGCAACAGCTTATGTCTTTCAGCAGGGTAATAGTTAGTAGAATGTATCAAATAATGATGGCAGATAGTACTGTTGTTCAAATTGTACTATACCCTTGCTATACTGATGTAACATTTTGAGATTGAAAAGGGACTTATTGCAAGAAAAAAATATTTTTGTTTAATTTTTCTAGAATTTGAGTCAGAAGAGCAGAAACACATGGAGAAACAAATGGCTGCCTATGTACAACAACTAGAACGTGAAACAGAGGAAGAGAAAGCTAAATTCGAGAAAACATTTAAAGCCCTTGGCCAGAGAAGAGATGAGATTATTAAAACACAAAAAGAAAAAGCTATGGTATGTATTTTCTAAAAAACTGTAGAGCACAATGATGAATTACATGTATTTCCAACCAGCTCAAAATAGAACTTCTTAAATTTTCTTGCATAAAATGTATTTTATTGTTGTATTTTATTGGTCAGTGTTCTTGATAAATAAAGTATCATAATTATTACAGGCCGAGGTTGAGAAGTTAAGGAGTCAAGGAGCTAGTGAGGAGAAACAACGAGAATTACTAGAACAACACGAGCTTGACCTACAGAGACTTGTCAATAGAATTGATTCTGATCGTCTAAGGCAACAGAGCACAATCCAACAACGTATCCAGGAGAAGAAAGAGGAAAAGCTACGAAGGAAGCAGGCAGAATTAATCAACAACGCAGAAGATAATCGTCTTGAGCTTGACCTCCGTCAGCAGAACCAAGTACAGAGAATGAAAGCTGATGAGGTATAGTGCCCAACTTGTATTTAATAATTGGATTGAAGAACAGAGCTGTTACTGTAAATTACATGATTGGATTTTTATGAGCTTGCTTAATGTCTGGTTATGAAAATAGCTGGTAGAATATCAAATTGATATGATGTATTGAGGTGTTCATGCTACCTACTATTACCTGTATTCAGCATATTTAGTGTTTGATTATTGGGCTCTTGCTTTCTGATCAGTTTAGCTTGTGTGGTTAGCTTTCTAGAATAAAACATCTTATACAAGAAGTAGAGTATCATCTTATACAAGAAGTAGAGTATTTTACTTAAATTATACAACACATTTTGCTTATATATCATTTTTCATGTTCATATTTGATTTGCAAGCATGTTAGCCAATAAAAAACTGTTGTTTAATCCTTACTTTTTTCTTGTTTAAGCAATTATTTGAAAGTTTATTAACATTCAGAAAATTAAATTTTAATACAAAATGTCTTTTTCTAGGCTCTTACATTGAATGAAGCCATGAATATTGATACAGCCCAGGCTCTAGCAGATGGTCGGCCATCTTCACCAGTATCCCAGCATTCCCTGGAAGATGATGATGAGGAAGCACTTCCACCATCTTACAAAATGGCTGCCCCGATTAATGAGGCTGATCTTGTTGCACTGTTAATGGCTTCACCGCTGTATCAGAAACTAGAGAGTATAAAGTCACAGATTGAGAGAGGAGCACACAAGGGTGATCAGAAGGATAAGACTGAAAGTAAGTCATTCTTAATTTAGATACTGTTTTATTAGTGATTTTGGCGGGACAATACATAATTTGATTAGAAGTATTGTTTTTGAATATGAGAAAAAAAATCTGATAGAGATTTGTTAATTTCCATTACAATATCACAGATTAACTAAAACAGATGTGTTTTGATTGTGACAATGTCATAAATACAGGTTATGTTTGTATTATGATTTGCACATAAAGGAGAAATTACTCTTATGAAATTTATTTGTGTTTACACTTTGCTATTTAAACAAGATAGCTGTAAATTTAACAATGATGAAATTATACCCAGGTACATTTGTATCTGTAAAGCATCCAAGAAATACCTAGGACTGTTCTCTTTTACAGAATTAATTTCTAACTGACATGAGGATTACTATTTAAATGCTTAACTTGATTTTATAATGTATTATAACAGGTGATGGGTTCCATGATGCAAAGGATTCCGAGTGGACGACAGATTCTAAACTTGAACCAATGGACTTGAACAAGCTTGATGCTCGCAAGTTTATCGTGTACAAGTTTGGTTGCTTTATATCAGAGCTGATATCAGCTCACTGTCAGCATGCACCTGTCACACTGCTGATTGCTGACAAGATTCCACCCAACGAGAGATTGCGCAATAACCCATACAGAAATTCCTTCTTTTTCGATGCCAATAACAACATACTGTATGTACGTTCAGCAAGACTGGAGACAGTTGGAGAATTTACAGTTGTTTTGGTGCACACGCTCGCTCACATAAAATCAGGTATCAACTGCATTTTTATAGAAATACTTTAAAATTAAATTTTTCCTACCCTCTCCTTAAAATTATGAAATTTAAAGATGAAACACTCACTGTACAACTTACGAGTATATGGATAAAATTTCTTCAAATGTTAAACAATTTAAAACATTAAGCATTAATTTTTCCCTATTATTGTTGAGTTGATTATCATTTTAAAGGGTAATACAGCTATTTTAGTGTGATTCTTAAAATTCTAGAAAATTTTTAGGTACGGTAGTTCTAGAAGTCTTAATTTCTACAGTTTGTTCTGAATTGGAAGTTATGTTATCTATAAAATGTATGTGATTATAATTCTGCAGGTGATTTGAGAAATGACAGCAACCCCAACTTCCAGAAGGAGTACCACCGAGCTATGGCAGTTGTTTGTGATGATTTGTTCTTTGCTCGTTTCCGACGCAACACAGCTGGTTCCATTAAGAATGAGCCAAGTGTAGATGGCGCTGTTAAACTTCTACAACAGATGTTTGGTAACTGTCATACAGAAGACGAGAAGGTGAAGATGGTAGAAGATTTACTTGATGTCAAGTTGTTACCGGCAACCAATGTAGACGGTGTACATTTCAACCCTGAGCGTCTTAGAGAAAGGTGCACATCCTGTTTTCTGTTTAATAATTACTGCATTTTTCAAATTTGTTGTAACTTTTAATAAATTTCTATAAAAACAGAATTATGACAATATAATTTAGGTTATTATAAACGGTAAAACCTATATTATTTATTTATTCTGAATGACATTATTGATAATTCAGTATTGATTATTCAGATGTCCTTATCAGAAATTCATACAATTTTGTGATATTCTCTTTCAATTATATCAATATCAATAGAAAATTGTACATGTATGCAAAATGTAGTCTATAAAAATATTTAAGGTTAAATTTTTTTTTTCAAACAGAGTACCGCTAAAATTACACATTACATAAATATTTTCCTACTCTCTCTCTCTCAAATTTCTACCCTACTATTTTAAATCAATACTTATTTGTTTTATGTATCCGCCTTTCAAAACTAAGATATCATATGTGAATTTGTATTAAAGTCATCACATTACATTGTTGATTTTGCAAGATAATAAATGTTTATGTTCAGTCCTGCTACTCCCACATTTACAAATTATAAAATTATATTGTTTGAACTTGTCCTATATTTCAGGTTGAATGAATACTCTAGTTTTACAATGACGAACAAGCTTCACACAATGCTAGGAAGTATGGAGGATAAAGTACATCAGGCAAAATCTCAGGGAACTTCTCACAATGTTGACCGTTCACTTCTGAGATTGAGTCATAAGTTTGCACCAAGCAGTAAGTGTAACTAACCTTCTATCAAAATATTTGTAAGGAAATAAAAAATGAGTTGTTCTAAATGATCAGGACTTCCTTTGTGTTCATTAAATATCTATAATTGGTAATATGTAGTATTCAGTTGTATATCATGTTTTCCTCTTGTTACAAATTGATTTAAATGATAAAATGACATCAACTAGATGATATTATTTATAAGAAATAATTTGATGTGAATAGCACTGTAGATGTAATTAATCATCTATACTGCCATTTAAGATTAAAATAAATGTATAGAATGGCAAAACATCAAAAGATTTCCTGTTTTTATTTTAGGTCAGACACCACTAAATAGGAAACTTCCTCTGAGATTTGTGACATCTAACATGACTGGTCATGCTCTATGGCAGACATTTGCTAACCACGCCGAGGCAGGAGATGCAGAATTAGGCAGTCTACCAGAAAGTGTAAGTAACTGAAGTATCTTAAATAATATATTATGATGTGATAATGCATTACTGAGTACAATACTGAATTCCATTGGACGAGTACATAGCTGAAAAAAGTTTAAAACAGGTATCATGATATGGATTTGATACGGAATTTTTGGACTCAGAACATGAAAGTGAGGCTAGATAGAATACAATTTGGATTTGATAAGGAATATGTGGATTCAGAAAATGAAAACAACCTTGGCTAGATAGAGTTCAATCTACATTTCATATGGATTTTTTGGACTTAGAAAATGAAAACAAGTCTATTAATAAGATTTCATCTAATGATGCGTGATTTTATAACATCACAAGGTGCAAATACTGGATATTCATCGCTTACAGTTTATAAGGTGTGAAATGAATAGCCTTCATAATGTGGGCAAATATAGCTGTTGGTGAATGAATTTATATCCTTGTTGTTTTAAGAATTTGTCAGTCTTTCGTAATGAATCAAACCGGGAAAGGGGGTGTATGTGGTTATATTTTCTAATTTTATAACTGCAAAGGTATTTAAATGGGTAAAAAGAGCCCAAAATAATATGTTTAGGTTAAGGTGTTTTTACCCCTCAAATTCTGAAATAAAATTGATATAAATGAATGTACTGAACTTTTTATTTTATAAATCAAACAGACTATTATTATTACTGCAACGCTATTAATATTACATAGATATTTTGAAATTTGATCATCTACACTGAAATTTAACCTTATTGTTGGTTTTTGATCTTGCAGAAATCTGCTGAAGACAGATATGATGACCTGTGCGCTGATTTTACTGAGGTCAACAAGTCCATTCTAGAAACAAAAGGTAAAATCCAACAACTAACTGAAGATGTCACTGCACAAACTGAGCGAGTTGAGAGTTCAAAGGGCAAGAAAGGTCAACCAAAAATGTCAACATCAGAGATAATGTCCGGAGCAAGTGAGAGACTGACCGAGTTGAAGGCAGACCTTACCAAACTTGAAATGGAGAAAACACAGATAATGGACAAAATGGGAGAATGTGAAAAATAAGAATTGTGAAAGCAATGTTGACAATTTGGACAAATTAATTTATAAAATGTGACATTGGAAAATTATATTTTTTTCACTATGAAAATATAGGAAGCTTTATCTGTGATATTATGAATATATAACATGCCAGGAAATGTGATCAGTATATTTATAGAAATGAAATATGAAAACTGTGAAAATATTTAGACAAATTTTGTTGTAACAGCTTTAAAACTTTTTTTTTATTTTCTTTATCACAGATCAATGAAAGTTTTTAACAGGTTTAAAAACATTCATTCTTGTTTAAGAAATTATTGATTGTATATACATGTATTTAAATACGTTTTAATCTCCGAATTTCAACAAAATTATGTCTATATATATTTGAAATAATATATTTTGGCTTCCTTAGAGAAAATGAATAATCTGCAATAAAATTATTTCATTTTTAGGCTGTACTAATAATTCTAAGTAAACATGGAATAAAGAAACTACCCATATATTCCACAATAATTTGAAGAGTAGATAAAAAATCAACCAGATATCATTAACTTTACTTTCTTTTTATGTTGTTGACATCACACTGATATTTCATCTTTTTTATTGCTAAAATTCTATGCAATTTTGTAGTATGCCATTTGATATAAATGTACATTTAACTATATTCATTTAAAAGCTGCAGTATATTTTATTACTAGCTGTTATTTTAGGGCAAGAAATACAGTTAGGAGTAACATTGCTAGCAGCTATTTGACACTGATGCATTAACATTATCATACATTACATGTACATAACTTCATATACGATGATTCTCGACCCGTCGGGAAGAAAGCATTTTGCTGATATGTCTCATTACTTACATTTATTTATTTTATATTATTGACATATTTTTCTCCCCTGTTCTTTTTCGTTTTGTTAATGATGATAGTTGTCTTATTGTAGAATATTTTTTCTGTCTAATTTTTTTATGAACATTCCGTCCTTTCTCAGTGCATGTTTTTTATGAACGTTCCGTCCTTTTTCATGTTGAGACTTTGAATACATTTTGAAAATAAACTGTGATATTATTATACTTATTATCATTATTATTATAGGACATAAAGCATGTTTAATGCTATGATAATAGGCGCATGTTTGATGGCAAAAATTGATTATTGACTGTATTTGATTGCAACACAATTATTGACTGTATTTGATTGCAACACAATTATTGACTGTATTTGATTGCAACACAATTATTTACAATTGTTTGATGTGCTTTAAGGAGGTTAAAAATGTTTGCTGGATCAAACGCCTCTATAACATTGTGTTGTTACATAAATATTGTTTTCTTCATGTATCATAATATTTTAAGTCAATGATCAACTTTTTATGTAATGTCGTGTTAAACAGACAATCAGTTATAGAGAGTAAAAAAAAAATAAAATAAAATTTTGGTTGAATACACTCGGGATATCTGTAAGATCAAAATATTAGAACTTGTAAACCATGTTGTCTATATTAAACACAGAAATAAATTTGGACAGGGTCATGGGGGGAATTGGGGCTCGGATTTATTTGGTTATTAAAATGTTGGCTGGCCCATAATTATATTTCCTTTTTCTAAGATTGTCTGTTTGGCTGAGATATTTCAACATCTATGTTTAATCGAGATTTGTAAACTGCTGAATTTTGAACATTTTCATTGGATTCCGAAGTTCTTTGCTGATTTTTAATGTTTATGCAATTACAAACAACAATTACATGTACATTTTTTTATTAATATAGATATTTATTTTTGTAAGAAAAAAAGTTATATTTTTACATTATACATGTATGTATTTTGTTATTTCATTTCATGGAATACTGTCTGCCTTTGTTAGCATTTATGATTTACAAAAGTCACTCTAGAAATAATGCATTTATAAAATTTCTTTCAGATCAGAATTAATGTGGCTAATTTTTATATTGAAATGACAAGTTTGTAACTATTTTAAGTGACTTTTTTATGAAAAAATTAGGTAATATAATAAAATAGATTCATGCTATTAATAAAACTAAAATTCTCTGTAGTTGAATTATCTGTCATATTTCTTTGTTCTGTAAAGTTATTAAAATTCTTTGACTGTTACATATTTCTTTGTTATTAATTTATATAATTATATTCCTCGAACACAAAGTCTGATAATTTGACACACTAATCCAGTGTTTTCCGTGAAACACATTGAGGTAAACTTTTATGCCAAATGATCTATCTGAATTACTTAATACACAAGTAATTTGGAGGCCAGGCAAGCAATAATTATGACTATAGAACACAATGAGTGGTACATCTGAACACTTGCTGACAATAAACTGTTCTACTAAGGGGAATGTTCCAAGCTTTATCGGAATCATTTAATGCAGAAGCAGTAACGGCCAGGGCAAGCAAAATTGCATTATGTTCTGATGTGTGGCCCTGAAGAATAATTTTTACCTCTAAAGTGACAAGCTTGGTTCTAACATGCTATACAATGGCCCAATGAGTCTAGCTATAAGTTGTATTTAAATAACTTCATTAATAAGTAAGTTAGACCACCAAGACAGTTTCACCAAATATTAACAGTTGAGCCCTTCAATATTGACATTGATATACCTATGATCTGGTACTCTCAACAGATTTCGTTTAGTGAAACTTTAGCAACAAGTGATATAATTTGGAATTTTTAATAATTCCATCACATGGAAACTAATATTTGTTCCTAGAATAATTAGAGTATCCTTATAGCTATGCACAATTTTATTGATGATAAGCTTCTACACACATATGACAAACTGCCAGATTGGACTTGATGCATCTTCACTATTTTAATCAAGTGTCATGCTTACTGAGAAATGGTACAGACAAGACTTTGATGATATAATTTAGAAGACAAGCTTAAAGTTTGATAATTCAAAGGCTGTAACTTTTAGTGTCAGTGAAGAAATCATGTATATCCAACTATTAGATGCATCTACACAGCATTCTACTAAATAGAAGGCTGAAGATCTTACAAAACTTTATATAGACTGAAGGGTTGAGTTAAGGGTCTTGATGAGTGATTTAGCAAGTCACAATGCCTACAGCCACTCTAAATTTTGATTAAAAAACTGGTAATTGCTGCACAACACATTTTCCCTCCAAAATGAGTGTAAAAGAAACTCTGTAGTATAAAGAAATAAATTTATTTCTAACTATATGTATTTTCAACCATTTGTACAATAAGAGTGATAAAAAGATACATATATCCATAACCCAATAAATGCCAGCCTTTCTCTTCACAATAAAATGATAAAAATTTAATTGCACTTGGTAAAATATGTTATGTAAAAGGACACAAATAAGAGACAATTAATACATGACATGTATAAAATGTTATAACACCTAAACAAATAACCTGCTGAATTTGTTATCTGTAATTATTATGTCCAGCTTCAAACTTTGAATACTAAATTCTTTAGTTAAAATGATATCATAATACAAAAATTGACTTAATAAACAGTATAGAGCCTGGTCAGACTGTACAAGATGTTCAGGCTAGCCTGGCTCTATACTATCACTTTTGGTGCCAGCATGTTAATGGTTTAAATACAACTACATGTAGTTCAATGACTGAATGAATGAACCAATTAACATTTCATGTATCACACATGATATAATCAAGCAGTAAACAGACTTGAAAAATCATTTATAAGAAGTGTAATAAACATTAACAGCCATTTGCTTCTCTTATAATGTTGAATGTAAGTGCATCTAAATAAACAATAATCTCCTGTTGTGAGATCAGACAGGTTTATATATGTTGATCAGGCAGGTTTATATATGTTGATCAGGCAGGTTTATATATGTTGATCAGGCAGGTTTATATATGTTGATCAGGCAGGTTCATATATGTTGATCAGGCAGGTTTATATATGTTGATCAGGCAGGTTTATATATTCTGATCAGGCAGGTTTTATAAAAGTTTAAAAAAAATTAAGCATATCATACATTATAACCAACAAAAAATCAGTTTGTCTTCTATTTGTAATCTTAATTGTAAAATCCTACTCTAAAACACCTTTAAAATTTGTAGTAAACTCCTAAAATAAGTAACCTGTAGTAAACAATCAAAACTATCACATTCCATAAAATAATCAATCCTAATTCTATATTTTCAAGAAATAATATGTCAAACAGTTCATTCACATAAGCAATCAAATAAAGATGATGTTATACAACAAGCTGAGCAAAAACAGTTATGTTAAAGTCAAGTCAATTTCTCACTGTTAATTGAAGACTACACAATAAACAATGTATTTCTTACAGGGTATACCTTAATAGCAAAACAGGCATTTCATATTTCATACCCTTTTACAACAATCAACATGACAAAATGGCGACAGGTACATGTAAGAGGATAACACAACACTAATCCCTAGTTGCTTGTCCTGTTGTATTATGTCCCAGGTAAAAAGCAGCTTCATATCAACATATGAGCCGCGTTACGACAAAACTAACATAGAGCATTTGCAACCAGCATTGATCCAGACCAGCCTGCGCATCTGCACAGTCTGATCAGAATCCATGCTGTTTGCTTACAAACCCTATTACAAGTAGAAGTACTGATAGCGAACAGCATGGATCCTGATCAGACTGTGCGAATGCGCAGGCTGGTCTGGATTCATACTGGTCGCAAACGTATTATGTTGGTTTTGTCGTGACGCGGATAATAGTCATGTCGAAAAAAAATCTGACATCTGATGTCATTTATGCATCACCAGTAATAAACAGTACAGTTCTGAATTTTATAAAAACTTCAGTAACAAGTTATTTGAGTTAAAATACAAACATAAAAAATTTTCACCTAAAACTGCTGGATACTTCAAAAGGACAAAATAAAAATAATAAAACCAGTAACTTTTCCCACCAATAAATAAAATAACAATATAAAAAAAATCTAAAAGACAATTAAAATTCATAAAAGACTTAAATGTATATACTTCTTGTAAAAAACTTTATTTTCTTAAGAGAAAAACCTCAACTATATTTTACTTAAAATCCATTTTATTTTTGAGTCCTGGTGCATTTAATCCAAAGAGAAAAAGGTAACATATTTATTTCAACATAATGTTTAACTTTAAGCAAATTAAAACATTCAGTGAAAGAAAATCCACTGTTTTTAATTGCACTAAATCTTAATTACGTCATGTGACAATAAAATAACTCTAACAAAATTATTTCTAACAAGAAAATGGATATGGATATTGGATGAATGGTTCTAGCTTGAGACAGCCTGTCATCCTCTGACCAACCATCAGTCATACAGTATGACATGCCACATATTTTAGATATTTTCTTTGAGAACATAGACAATAATTAATAATTGTACAAAATACATGTATCTAGTTTAGTGGAGTGGGATTCAGCAATAACACTAATACAAAAAACAACTGGATTTTCCTTTTAAAATTACATAATAATAGTTAATGAACAAACACATGTATGCATATAACATCATATTCATCCTAAAATATCAGTCTCTACAACATATTATTAGATAATCTTTAATATATCATTTGTAACTACATGTATACTTAACAATTAATTAACAATTAATGAACATGGTCCCGCACAATCTGTTCACACTGCTATTTATTGCAACTTTCAGTGATAACTAGTAAACTTTTATAAGTAATATTTGTTTTTTTTCTCAATGAACATGGGCTATTGGACTATAATGTTACTAAGAAATGAGAATTTTCAAGTATACTTTTTTTTCAGTGCAAGAATGGTGAAAACATAAGAAATTGAAGTGATATACAATGTACAAATATACAGTTGACTCTCGGTAACTCGAAATCCAAGGGACTAGGTATTTTACTTCGAGAGAAACGGAATTCGAGTAACGTGGAACTACCGCCATTACGTTGACTTCGTACATGTATATACATGTACCTGATTGAATGTGCAAAGAAGTAGGTTTCTTATTGTTGATAGCGGCAATGCTGCAATATTTAACCATTGAAATGACGGTAAATCACTTTCAGCTACAAATTATAAATGAACAAAAATATATCATTCAAAATTTAATACATGTACAGTGTTTATTAATAGTGAAACATAAACACACAATTATATTTGATTTAATTGATCATCGGACGAGAACGAAATTAGCAACTATCGTGAACCGGAAGTACAAATTAATGTATGCAATATGACGGAACATTAATTATACAAATATCATTTACGTTGATAATACACATCAATATCTAGGCTGTTATTTGACTAACACCCGTCAGACTGGCACGAGTCAACTTTTTTAAAGAAATGTAATTAAATTTTAATTTAGTTATCTAACTGTTAAAACCAATTAAGTCGTGAAACGGATTAAAGACACTTTTACGACGTGTTAATAATACATGATGACCGGCAATTAAAAATTACTATGAAACGTGTAAATCACGAGTGACAACATCTCACCTTGATGTCGCCGACCTTTGATCAGTCGGCTGTTTTCACACTTCGACTAATTGAGATGAAAATATGTGGACTTTAATTGACGGGACCAAATTTTCTTTTCGACTAAACAGGAGTCTCGGTAAGTCAAAATTTGACCTAAGCGGAGTTAAAATACAAAGATAAAGAAGGAAATTTGACGGGACTTTAGAAATTATTCGACTAAGGCGGAATTTTGAGTAAAGCGATTTTGACTTATTGAGAGTCAACTGTATTAATATAGTATATATTCACTGACAAAGGACCAATTTTCTTTTTTGTTTTTATCTTACATCACATTCTACAGCATTTTCAATAAACTAGAAGTAGGATGTTACCAAAATTGGCACCAAATAATGCCCATTTATATCAATGTTATCTTTGAAATGATGTCATGAATATGTTGACCTGATTTCTACATGTATATACTATGTACTTGAACAGAATAAGTGTCAAAATTCTATATTTCACATATTTTCAAATATTATGATTTAACTTGGTGAAATCACTGTGTAAGAAACAACATACTTTACCAAACTTACATAACAGTTTGTCTGTAAATACATGTATCTAATTCTGTCAGAGTAAGGAATAGAAACAAAATTTAAGTTTTAGAAAAACATAAAGTACTAGTAACCATTTTATATTACTAAAGCATTGCTGTAGTTTAAGCGCTCTTACATACAAAAATACTTTGAAACTATTGTACGGTAATTTAAAAGAAAAATGTGTAAACCAAGGGATTTAGATTAGGCACCATTTACGTGAGTTTTTACTCTGGCAATGACAAACAACAGACATGTTCATTTCTTTATCTATGACTTTCTTTCAACATTGTTTAAGTCCTATAAAAAATGCCCATCCTTAAATCTATATCAGTAGACTGTTTCATTTTGTTATCTCATTTTTAGTGACAATAATGTTTATCTTAAACCCCTACATCCACAACAATAACCCCCTATTGTTATTTCTACAAATACAACGTACATCTAGATCTTGTAAAGTCAGCTAGAGTCCATCCCAAAGAATAACTATTTTTACTTATACAGTAATCCAATCAGTACAGTATATTCCTAATTAAGTTATAATAATCCTATTATTTTCCTTTTTTGGTATCTAGATCTGCTGGTTCTGTTGTAGTGTCTACACCACCATCAGCCTCATCCTCTTCTTCTACTTCTTCTGTTACCTTAATTTCATCTTTTGCTGATTTATCAGTCTTTGAGTTCTTTCCCATCAACCATTGCACAATGCCCAACAGTGTTTTTACACAAAGGAATAAGAAAATTGCTGAAACACATAAAACAACCAATGTTGAAAATGTTGTAAGTTCATATGTCTGCGGTGGTTGAGACATGTTTAAAAGATTATCTTTTACTTTTCACAATAGTTACTGATATCACAAATTTTCCCACAAACAAAATGTCTGAATTTCTAACTGTATTTTATATGATCACAGATTTTAATTACAAACACCAATATGGTATTGTAATATTGCCTAGGAATTCTTGTATCACAATTCTCTGTAGTATGACAACATTTATATCACTTGACAGGTCTCCTCGACTGTTTCTATGTCTACATATCACAGATCTATCACCTTCTATTTTAACAATCCTGTCTCTCTTGCCTTTATTCCATTATCATGGCAGTATATACCTGGAAATAAATTATGAAAAACATGAGATCAATTAACAAGAAATATATGATGGGCCTAAATAGCTCATATGAGTGCCAACACCCATTCCATAGAAAATATTCTAGAGCAGCTAACAAACAATTTGAATTTTTTTTTATAGAACCAAGTTGGCAACCAATGATCATTCTTGTTTAGTTTAATAAAAAAACAGCTCAGTTGTTTTAGAAAATGTTATTAAAAACCTATTACTGCAATTTCATTCAGTGAATTGTAACAAATCCAGCTGTTTTTGATACATACTTCCTAATTTAATATTTCAGTAAGTCAAGTGTCCTCTCCTGTAGTTACCATACTCCTGAATTAAGAATAATGGGGTTTTCCCAGCTAATCCTGGGGAACAAACAAAAGTTTACAGTACCAACATGGTAAATACATTGAAAATAACTGCAACATGTTGGTCACTTTATTGTGAATGGTTGTGCACCCTGAAGCTATGGCAGTAAAAGTTTGCTTGTACCCATAGATTAGATGACAAAGTTCTATACTTATAGTGCTTACATCTATTGAGTTTTATCGAAATCTTTAAAGCAATTGAAGGAATGATGTCATTTACATATTGTTAGCCGACTATTTTTGAGTTTTCATCTTGATCTACATTTGAGCCGCGCCATGACAAAACCAATGTAATGGGTTTGCGACCAGCATGGATCCTGACCAGCCTGTGTGGATGCGCAGTCTGATCAGGATCCATGCTGTTCGCTATCAGGTTCTCTACTTGTTATAGGGTTTGTAAGCAAACTGCATGGATCTTGATCAGACTGTGCGGATGCTGGTCTGGATCCATGCTGGTCGCAAACGCATTACGTTGGTTTTGTCATGGCAAGGCTCATTTAGTACCCCAACATTCATAGAGTATGACATAAAAAGTTTTAAAATGAGTCTGGGTGGCTGACACCACTATTTATTACTATTATATGCATGAAACAATTTTACTCTTAACCTGCAGAATTTCTCAGACCAGCATCCGCACAGTCTGATCAAGATCCATGCTGGTCGCAAATGCATTATGTTGGTTTTGTCATGGCGCGGCTCATTTAGTACACCTACATTGATAATGGACAGTCCTAAAAATAGAAACTGGGCAAGGCCATTCCAGAAATTCTGCAGGTTAAGAGTAAAATTGTTTCATGCATATAATAGTAATAAATAGTGGTGTCAGCCACCCAGACTCATTTTAAAACTTTTTATGTCATACTCTATGAATCCCAATAAAAACTTGATGTCTCAAATACAAAAAGACACCCTAACTATAATAGCAAAAAAAATATTCTGAAAACTATGCAATATGATTTTAAACAACTCTTGTTGTTTTACCAAGTACAATTATCACAATGCAGTGTCATATTTATAGGACTATTATAAGATAGGGCACCATCTGAGTTTACAATAAGAATGATTTTTTATTTTAAATTGAATCACAGATTTAGACCTGCACATTCTACAGAAACTCAGTTACTTGTGACAATGCATAATCTACTATGGCTTAGCAAATTTGATAATTAACAGCAAGTGGACATAGCAAAATTACATTTTAGTAAGAAATTTGACACTGTTCTGTGTGATCACCTTTTACATACAATTTTAATGATGTTTTGGGCAATCTTCGTAAGTACATGCACATGTAGCAATCTTTATTCTTGAAAAAATGAATGTTGTGGTTAAAGGCTACTAGTCAAAGAGTTGATTCAGGCATTTCACAAGGAAACTGATGTTTCCCTGCCAAACCAATGACTTTCAAATGTACACATGCCTACAAATGTTAAAGTGCAAACAAAAAATATGAGAACAAACACCAACAAGAGAAGGGTACATTCAAAGAACACTGCCCCGACACTACCTAGTCACACTTGTAGGGTACTCGGGCTCCAAACAAAAAACAGGAGAGGGCATAAATCTTGTATCTTAACCACTGGAATACCTATCATACAACAAGACGGCCATGATGGCCCTGAGGTCGCTCACCTGTATATAGGCCCTCCCCAGCCCAACACCCCCCTCATCAGGGCCAATTTTAACCTAAGGGCTTTTATTTGAACAAACTTGGTTGACACCCATAAGAAGATGTTTCATGCTAAACATCTAAGTTCTAGCTCATTGGGTTTTTTAAAAGAAGATTTTTTAAGTTTTAATTTAACTATACACATATAGTTAAAAACAATGACACCCTTAGGGCGGGGCCAGTTTTGACCCCAGGGCTTTTATTTGAACAAACTTTGTAGATATTTACTAGAAGATGTTTCATGCTTAATATCTTAACTCTAGCTATTTGGGTTTTTTCAAAGAAGATTTTTAAGTTTTTGCTATACACATATAAGAAAAATCAATGACCATCGGGGCGGGGGCCAATTTTGACCCCAGGGCTTTTATTTGAACAAACTTTGTAGACACTCACTAGAAGATGTTTCATGCTTAATATCTTAAATCTAGCTCATTGGGTTTTTTAAAAGAAGATTGTTTAAGTTTTTACTATACACATATAGTTAAAAACAATGACACCCCTGGGGTGGGGCCAGTTTTGACCCCAGGGTTTTTATTTGAACAAACTTTGTAGATATTTACTAGAAGATGTATTATGCTTAATATCTAAACTCTAGCTATTTGGGTTTTTTTCAAAGAAGATTTCTAAGTTTTTGCTATACACATATAAGGAAAATCAATGACCCCCGGGGCGGGGCCAATTTTGACCCCAGGGCTTTTATTTGAACAAACTTTGTAGACACTCACTAGAAGATGTTTTATGCTTAATACCTTACCTCTAGCTATTTTGGTTCTTTAAAAGAAGATTTTTTAAGTTTTTACTATATGCATATAGGGAAAATCAATGACCCCCTCGGGCAGGGCCAATTTTGACCACAGGGCTTTTATTTGAACAAACTTGGTAGACACTCATTAGAAGATGCTTCATGCTAAATATCTTAGCTCTAGCTCTTTGGGTTCTTTAAAAGAAGATTTTTTAAGCTTTTACTATATGCATATAGGGAAAATCAATGACCCCCTGGGGTGGGGCCAATTTTGACCCAAGGGCTTTTATTTGAACACACTTGGTAGACACTCACTAGAAGATGTTTCATGCCAAATATCTAAGCTCTAGTTTTTAGGGTTGTTTAAAAGAAGATATTTAAAGATTTTTCTTTTGGTTGCCATGGCAACCAGAGTTCTGCATGGAATTAAATTCTTTGAACAATTTTTAAAGGTGACCACCAAAGGAACATTCATGTGAAGTTTAGATGAAATTGGCTTAGTGGTTTATGAGGAGATGTCATTTAAAGCAAAAGTTTACTGACTGACGACTGACAGACGGACAACGGCCGGACGCCGGACGAAAAGCGATCACAAAAGCTCACCCTGTCACTTTGTGACAGGTGAGCTAAAAACTCAAAATAGAATCCAGATAATGTAAGCAAGACTAACCCTAAATGACTACAGAACTCATAAGGATGAGTGTGTATTCAACATGCTGAGATTGTTGAAGTTAAACATACTATAAAACTGTAGGACCTATTACAAGCTTTTACTGCTATACGCCCTTTCTCACTAATAAGGACCAAATCAAACATTTTATTGTCGTAACCCTTTAGAAATAATTTGGTACACGAAAAAAAATATTTTTCAAGAGTATGATATTCGAAGATGGGTTATTTATAAAATACAATACAACGAAAAAGGTTATGGGAGTTGTTTTTGTCTCCAACTCTCAATTGAATATCGAAATTTTGGCAAAATATGCTTGTCGCCGCTTTTTATAACATATTTTGCGCACCTTTTTACCAATGATAGATACGTATCTTAAGACCCATTTTTTCAACGATATATTAACAAAGGACATAATTTTTGATAGCACAAGGTTTTATTTCGATGATAGAACTAAAAAGTGTTTATTTTTAAGTTTCTTGCATGTCGCAAAATTTAAGATATCTACGTTATACATCTCTTTAAAATGTTAAATTTTCCTTATTAAAAACATTTTGTGACTAAAGAACATTTAAAATTGTTTGTACCTGTCTGATTTCTAAATTAAGAAAACAAAAATTACAACTGGGTTTGTTCGGTTTTTAAAATTGATGCCAAACGTCGTTTGATTGGAATGTTATATAAAAGTGTGATATCTACGTGAATTAAAATATAAAAAATCGACAAGCACTACAAAAGCCACACACATGTTAACTGAATAAAATTCGTTCACATTATAAGTGTTAAACATTGACTAATTTATATTTAATCATAATTCCATTTGCTAAAGCCAAACATAACAGAAAATATCTACGTTATCGGTATTTACGTTACTGCAGTACGAATACAATTGAGTACGAAGTCAATCTTGTGTATACCTAAATGACGTCATCACATTATGAAATGACGTAATAATTCACGACAGCCATGTTTTTTTCCAATGACAAACTTCGCAAATAATACAGAAAATTTTAGCGAAACATTGTAGAACAGCCAACAATCCTCCTAACCAAGGTAAATATTTTTTTCTTGACAGTTGTACATTCTTTCTGTTGGTATGATTTAGATAATATGTCGTTGTATTAAATAAATTGACATGATAAAAAGTATTAACGATTATTTGTGTAGAATAAAGCAAAAAAGTATACAATATCTACGTTATCATTCATCACGTAGATATCATGATGCTTAAGGGTTTTCTGAGCAATAGCAATCAGTCATGTCGTGTATGCTTTGACTGTATATCAACGTCACGACGCTGTTTTGTACTATTTTTAAACCTATGTTTGTTTAATCTGCAAGTTAACATAGTGTTTATAAGTTAATCTTTAAAGCATGCTCATTCAAGCCATATCATTAGATGTAACCGGTTTACTGATAGTAAATGCAAAGTCATACTGCAGAAATAGAAAATGTGCATAATTAATATTAATGTATATTCATATTTACATGGTAAACATAATTAAATCAACATATTGCTATGAGAACATATTATATAAAGTACGTTCAAATGGTAACGTAGATATCATATTTACGTTTTGTCTTAAAACAATCTTGATGTCTTCTTTCAGATGGGGAAATCGCGGGCACAGATACAAAAAGAGTACAGAGAGCGCAAGAAACAACTGTTAGGTGCAGAATACCAGAAGACGGAGCGAGAAAGGGTTAAAAAGTATTACATTCCATCAGCTGAACTTAGTAACAAAAAGAGAAAACAAAGAAATGAAAAGATGAAGGCTGCTAACAAACGATTTAGAACTAGACGACAAGAGTTGTTGGATAGATTACGAATATATGAGTTAAGTAGGGCATCCAATGATGAAAGTGGATATGCTAGCATCGGAAGTGAAGTTGCCAATAGTACAGAAAGTGATACAGAGAGAGAACCAGTTACAGGTGATAGAGAACGCTTGATCGTCAGTCTTCCTGCAATTAGAATAAATCAAGAGCAAATGGGGCTAAAAAGGCACGAAGTCGAGCACTTGCTAGGGCACATAGATCAATTGCAACACTGAAAAAGCAAAAAGATAGATCTTGAAAGGAAGCTGAAAACTAAGGCAAAACAGTTAGAGAGAATTCGGAAAAAGCCAATTCCTTCAATGTCGAAACTCAATAAATCTATATCAGAGTCAACATCAGAATGTTTTACACCTGTGTCTGAAATAAATACTTTGTCTTCTATTAAGAAAGTCGTTGCAGACATGTCACCAAAATCAAAAGCGAAGGCAGAAGTTGAGCAGTTGAGACTAACACCAAGAAGAAGAAAAACTGTACAAAGAAAACTTCTCCTTGCTAATGTCGTTATTTCTGAAGTGAAGAATGCCAAAGCGTCAATTTCAAAGAAGAAAAGAAGTGTTTTACATTGTACAGTAGCAGGTCACATAGCAAGAAAGAACAGATGTTTGAACGCATTAAGTTCTGAAATTGGATTGTCCAGAAAAGCTATGAGAAAAGCTGTCACTAAAGTCCATGCAGCTGTAAAAGAAACAAGAAAATGTGTTTCAAAAATGATTGAGAAAAGAATAGAAGAGTTCCTTGGAGAGAGGGACAACTGCAGAGTTCAGCCTGGAAGAAAGATGTGAAACAATGAAAACAAACCAAAGTCCTCACTGACTACTTGAAGAATTTTGTATTGAGAAGTTTGTGCTGCTGAAAACAGTGACCTTAAAGTTTCCCTGGCAACTTTCTGTCGTTTACGGCCTAAAAACACATTTTGCTAGCAAAGTTCATATCAAGAAATGCATGCCAGTGTTTGAAACACCAAAATATGGCCATGAAGGTTGCAGCAATGAGAAAAAGTGGGTGCTAAGTTAAGTGAAAATCCAGAAAAAATATGTAACCACAGAAATAGCGTAGAAGAATTGGTAGGACACAATTGACTCAGACATTAAGCTAATAAAATACAGACAATGGAAAAAAGGTTGAGCTAGAAAATAAGATGAAGAAAATGATGATAGTAGAAATAGAGGTTACCAGAGAAGAATTGTTACATTAATCAAGAAGGAAATTGAAGACTTCTGCGGTCACGTACACAGGGTAAAATGTCAGTATCAAAGAACTAAAAGCCAATAAAGAAAGTTTGCAAAATGACGAGGCGTTGATTCAGATGGATTTTGCGGAAAACTATACATGTCGAACAGCTGACGAAGTGCAAACCGCATACTGGAGCCTGACATCAGTTACACTGCACCCAGTTGTCATATATTTTAAGAAAGACAGCAGGTTGTGTCATAAGAGCTATGTTGTTGTTTCAGACACCATAACACATTCTTCTAGCACAGTTGTTGCATTCCTGGATGCTGTGTTACCAGAAATCAAAAGCTTGCTTCCCAACCTCACAAAGGTACATTACTGGACAGACAGTCCATCAAGCCAATACAGAAACAAGTTTTATATTTAACACCCTCGCAAACCACAATGAGGTGTATGGAGTTCAATTGCTCAATTCAACTATTTCGAAGCAGGCCATGGCAAAAGTGCATGCGACGTTTGGTGGCACTACAAAAAGAATGGCTGATGAGGCATCTCGTCAAGGGAATTGTCTTATTCAAAATGCTCATGACTTCTATAGTTGGGCTAAATCCTCTTCAATGTCAGAAGTAACATTTTTGTTTGTCAGCAAGGAACTTTGCGAGAAAAAACAACAAGAATTTGCTTCTTTGAACATCAGACCTGTCCAAAATACGATGAAACTGCATGCTATTATGTTTGATAATGTACGCAAAGCTTTTATGACCAGAGAGACGTCCTGTTACTGCGCACAATGTGCAACAGGAAAACTATGCAAAACGTGGACTCAGGTTTCTATGCTTAAGAGTATTAATAAGCCAAAGATATCACTACTAGAAAGAGCAACTCAGCAAGGGAGTATTAAAGAGATTGACAATAACAAAGACGACATATGTACAGGCAACAACATAGACCATTCTAAAATGACAGAAACAAAAAACTCTGTGATTACAAATGAGTTCAGTGTCGACGACTTTGTAGCTGTTATGTATGATGGCATGGTATACATTGGGAAAGTTCAGGAAATTGATTCTGAAGATGGTGAATACAAGATTTCTTTTATGGAAAAAGTGAAGGAACTGTACAGATGGCCAAGAGCGGAGGACATTTTATGGGTTACACATTCAGATATAATTGGCAAAATTGATGATCCTCAACAAACAGGAAAATCAAAGAGACTGTTTAGGATTACGGTGGAAGCCAATACCATGATCTCGAAGTACAGCGAATAACAATGTAGTGGTGATTAGTCAAGCACGATTTTAAACATTTGAATATTGAGACAATACAAGCAAGCATGTTATTAATGCATTTGATATCTACGTTACCATAACCACAATGTAAGAATGTTACTGTAGCAACCAAAATGTGTTTTCTTTATTATATATTTTGCCTTGAGACTGTAAACACTGTTAAATGTTCATTAGATATGATGAAATAGTATGTTTGCGGTTTATAGTTTAATGTTTGAATCATTGTGAGTAACTACATTTTCATATACATGTATGTGATGAATTAAGGAGTCAGATTTGTTCTGTCTATTAAATATTAATTCTTTAATCAGAGTGTTTATTATATGATTGTTTATTCATGTTGGCGCTTTTTTCAGAGTTAATTAATGCAGTTGTATTTGATGTTAATTGATGTTTGAATATAATGTCCTGTTGTAATGAATTTTGATATCTACGTTACCATTACTACATTGTATAAATGTTATTGTACCAACCAAAAAGTGTTCTCATGATCATATATTTTGCTTTGAGAATGTAAAAGCTTTCAAATGGTCATAAGATATGATTGAATAATATGTTTGCAGTATATAGTTTAATGTTTGAGGCATTGAGAGTAGCTACATCTTCATATATCTGTTGAATAGAGAAGACAGATATGTGCTGTTTATCAAATATTAATGCTTTTCTTTATCATTTGTGTTTTTAACAAGCATGTACATCCACGTCGCTGCTATTTTCAGAGTAATTGCAATTACAATTGATGTTCATCAATGTTTGTCTATAATGTGTTAATTGTGATGAAGTATGATATCTACGTTACATTATAGATGGTATTTTAAAATGATGTTCACACAATGATAATTGGTTTATGAGGTTGGACCCCAGACATGAATGTATATAACCTAGATAAATACACGAAAATCATAATTTATTTTTTTACATGTGAACAAGGAATTATAAATACAACTTACAAAAGGTGTGTTATATAAGCATTTGTATTTTTTATGTACTGACTTAAAATATTTGCCATCATCAAATGCTTACTGCTGAGATATCTTTATGAATAGTCTTGTGACAAACAGTCATATCTTCCTTGTATTATATGTTCTTTTGATGAAATAAATTTTGTTTGACAAGTTTGTAGTTTTTCATTCTTAAACTTCGTTTAACCATGAATGTATCAGTCAGTAACGTAAATATCTTTGATTTATCAGATACATTTTTAAAACATCCGACTTAGACATATTTCACTGTTCATGTGGCGCAAATGTTTTTATTTCAAATACTTAGACACATATGTTTTGAATGAAAAACAATGATTTGACTTTTTGCAAAATCCAAAGTTTATCATTTAACTTTTCTTATTTGGTCCTTATTATTGAGAAAGGGCGTATACATCAATGATCATATAGCAGAGGGTATAATGCTGGCAGTGGACCCAGAAGAATACCTGACAAAATATAGAGAAGGAAAATAAATAAAAACTTAAAACATATAGTGATTATGAGATGCAGAATATTTTACAAAGAAGAGTGTCTCATAACAGACCATACAGTACAGCTTTAATAATTTTTTTACAAGTGGATTGTCACAGCAATGTCACGCCATATACATGATGTTAATGTGACTTTTCCCTTTATCACCCTCCCAAGTGAAATTCATAATGCAGCATAATGCTGCATAAAATAAATGTGACACAACAATCTTTGTCTTAGTCTGACCTTGACCTAAAAAGGGTCAAACCTGCACTCTGCACATTGTCTTATCATGGTTCACATTTCTGCCAAGTAGTTTCAATTTCCCTCCATAGGTATCAAGATACAGACCAGGTGCAAAAGATACACCATAATTTATATACCATATAATAAATGACAAAGTTATGACAGTTAAGCAAATTTCAATGATATGACCTTGAATATCAAGGTCAAAAAAACTTCCAAGACATATCTGAATTATTCAACAAACAGGTTTTGTCATTAGCATTTTTTTCACTGTATAAATTAATAAATAACAAAGTTATGACAATCTATATTCAATATTTGACCCTGACAGTCAAGGTCATTTAAAGGTCAAAGTCATATTTGAATTACGAAACAAATGTCATTGTTATAAGTGTTTAGTGTAGAAGTATAAAGACAATCAATTCATTAATTACATAGCTATAGCAAACTATAGCTAAAACCTGTGAAATAACAATAACTTGACTTCAAAGGTCAAGGTCCTTTATTATGAGTCAAGGTCAAACTGAGTTTGATCTTCTTTAATAGCCAACGATCTGAGATGAGCATTGTATACGTCACTGATAAGAGACCTGTTCTAAAAATAGCCACATATCGTAAGTTTCGGACAAAGAATCTGGAATCATCTACATGAAGATTATACAAGATAATGGTTACAAATACTTTAATTCACATTTCTCTCAATGAAAATGATGTTCCAGGAGTTAAACTTGCGTAAAGCATGATTGAGAAGCATTCATATGTACAACTATTATGATGATTTAAAAACATCTGGAAAATAAAGAAAGTGAAAAAGAAATTACTTTTGGGGCATTATACTTTGCCTGCATGTCAATTTGAGAAAAGTGCGCTTGGCAATTTGTTTTGTTTCACTATTTATCAACATTTGAAATGGTGAGATGATATTGTATGATTTTAAGAATTTGGGACTAAAAATGAAAGTGTATCTTTCTGTCCCAGATATACCGTACAAAATTTGGTTTCTATGTAAAATACATAGATTGGAGATGTCATGAATTTATCCACCAAAGTGCTACGACCATTAAAAAATTATGAATAATTTTTAATTCTTTGATAATTTTAGAATAAGCAAAACTCTGCATTTTTTCTATTTTACCTAATAAAAATGCCGATTCTAGTATTTGTTTTATCAGAAATAATGTAAACTTACATGCATGCTTGCATGTAAACTTAATTTACAATTGAGGTCCATGATTTAACATACATGTGTACACTGTTAACATACAGACAATAAAATATAAGTCCTTTGTATTTTTATTTCCCTTGAATATCATGTCTCACACAAAATATTTGTTGTTAAAATCGACAATAACTGGTGCATTTTTAAAACTTTTTTTTTCATTTACAAGGTATAAAGATGTATATAGAGGACAGAGCAGATCGTGACATATGTTTAAATGTAACTTAAAAGTACAGTGTTCAGTTGTCCCTTTTCTTTTCACACTAAATACCATTTCCAACTTGTTTGCTTTCTACAATTGTATAAAATTTCTTAAAATATTGCACGTAAATAAAGTATTAAGTAAGTATCTGCTGATTAACATCAGGTTTAATGTGTACTCCCTAATCGCTTGTCTGAAAGTCAGTACAGGTGATGGAGTGGTGATTAGATAAAATCTATTTATAGAACAGTGTTACCTTCAGATCGAAACCTTTTATTATTAAGACATTCTCCTTACAGTATGTCCCCCACAATTTTCTGTTAGCAGTTGAAAGTGTCTGCGGTGACAAAGCTGAAAGTGCAAAAATCTCACGATCCATCTTGTTGAACACATTGACAGTTTTTTGTTTTTTTTTCATTATGAGCCTTTAGTTTACTTGAAACATCTGGAAAACAATGTAGATAATAGGGTCGTAGATAATAGATTCTGTGAGCGCACAGCTTTCCAGTTAGACTAGACAAACTAGCTATAGGATTTCAACCAGAAGTGGTCCTTCTTCATACACTGACAGATACTGAGAAAAAATGCAATAGCACTGTTCATACATGTTTGTAATATCATAGAGTCGTTATAAATACTTACAATATAGTTTAACATCCGAAATTAGTGTGTCCGAATAATACGTTGCTTTAGTTCATCTGTTTCAGCCCACCTATTAGCTTCCGATATATAATTCTTGTTTTGAAAAATGTATAAACTTTTTTTAAAGTAGTTTAAACTATTTCTGGATTATTTTGATCGCTCGTTAGCTTGTAATTCGAATTTTGTTGATAAATATCTTCAGCTGCGCATCGTATTCATTGACAATTGTAACAATCACTTTGGCCTAACATCACTATTTTCTATGGAATAATCACGTATAAGATTAAGTAATAGAATGTTAGAACACATGTGTAGGCAATTCTTCTTCTTACAAAAATTACGTACAGTAAACTCCCCGCACAGATCCAGAAAATTTCTGTCGAAGTTGCACACTATTACAATGTGGCCAAGAAAAATCAAAGGGCTGCCAGCTCTGCACGGTATTTCTGATCTTGTACTGTATATGTGTATGTATTTTCCTGTATAAATTTATTTTTATGTACTATAATTCACCTTGCAAGGCACCAGAGTTTGATACATACGTAATTTTGCATAACTAGAGTTGCATTAAAAAATCATTTATGTTCATTTTTTATGACAGCCGCACTTTATCCTTGCATATCATGGCTACTTCCTTAACAAAGATTTTTTTTAAAAATTGCCTCGACTGGTATTTGAACTCCAGACCTCTCACACACAAAACGAACGCGTTGCCACCACGGAGAAAATATACAAACTGCCTGAATAAAATCAAGTCATTCTAAATTTAGAACTTCCATTGTATTTCTGCTTTATTCTTGTCTTTTGTAATCCTTATAAATTTCGGGGTATTTTGTTCAGGATAAACCTATTGTTTAAAATTGAAGTAAATAATTTAGCGAAAATCTTCTCGCCCAAAAGGTCCGACATGTAGAATCTATATATTCCACTACTCGGAAGTCAGATTTTTTGTGTAGTACATGTATTCGGTAATCGACATCGCTAAAAATAGAATTCATTGATTAAAATCATATTCACCCGCGTAATTTGTGATTGTGCATTTATTGACAATTCTATAAGCCAACGCTACATTTAATCTTTGAATGCGTTGTAATTTGTTGGATACTTGTAACAAAATAAAAATATTTCTATCTTTTAAATCACTAGTTTTAAGCTGTTTTGAGAACTACTTGTTGTTAGGTTTGTCGTCAGAGATTGAATGTCAGCTTTGTATTTACTGATCTTCGATCAGAAAATACAAAAAAATCATGTTAAATTGTTGCTTTTGGTGAAATTTAGGTACTATTTCTTGCAAAGACAGTACTTTTATGTCTTTGATTTGTACCTAACGGTAGAAAATCAACATGAATTACAATAGTCTATCTTTTTGGATTGGACGTTTTGTGATAGATGGGGCTTTAATTACATGTATTACTCAAACTTTTACACATGTAATTAAGTTGTCCCTTTTACAGGATGTGCTCCCAGATGAGCTCAAGTCTGCTAGAGTTATTCCTATTTTTATTATAAATGGTACACTATCGTCCGGTTTCTATCTTGAGCATTGCTTCTAAAACGTTTGAGAGGGTTGTATCACAGGCACGAGTATCGGACCTGGGAAGAAAATATGACATTATTGATAAAAAAACCCTTAAAAAGTGAAATATTACCCCTCTGAAAAATATGCTTTAAGTTAACAATATAAGACACATTTAAGATGAACACAGTTTTTTTTTATCAATAAGGTCATATATTCTTCCCAGGTCCGATACTCGTGCCTGTGTGTTGTATATGACCAGGTAGAGTCCTATTTTAAATCAAATAAGTTGATCTATAAATTTCAATCAGGCTTCAGACATGGGTTTTTAACAGACACGTGTCTTATTCATTTAACTGATTGTATAAGAATGCAAATGGATAAAGGTAACTTTATTGGAATGCTATTGTAAGATCTTCAAAAGGCATTCGAGATCGATACTGTAGACAACGCAACACTTCTTATGAAATTAAGTGCGGCTGGTCTTGGTGATGATATTTTGAGATTGTTTCGATCATATCTTTCTGATATAAAGCAGCTTGTTGATATTTCTGGTACACATTCATCTGATAACATGTGATGTTCCACAAGAGACAATCCTTGGTCTTCTTTTCTTATCATATATATTATGTTAATGACATGTCAGCTGTAGTCAAAAATAAGTTATTATTTGCAGATGACTCAGGCATTCTGGTTTCATGTAAATGTATTAAAGCTGATGTTGAATATGCACTGGAACAAGATTTGCATCTTGTAAGCCGGTGGTTGGTGGATAATAAGTTACCACTACATTTAGACAAGACTGAGTCAATATATTTTGGTCTAAACATAGACTTAGGTCAAACTCAGCCCTTAATATTAAATGTAATGACATAGTTATTAAACCAACTTCGTCGGTGAAATATCTCGGAGCAACCATTGATCAATCTTTATCTTTTGATGCAATGGCTAGGTCAGTGTTGCAGAAGGCTATAAATTTTTATGCACCCTTGAAATATTTACATAGTATATCGCAAAAAAGGATTATCTTACTCAACAAACTCCTTATGTCCCTATTCCAATGTCATTTTGGTTACTGCTGTTCAATATGGTATCCCGGCCTGTCCCAGTTACTTAAAAATAAACTTCAAGTGACACAGAATAAGATGATAAGGTTTGTACTTGATCTTGATGCCAGGTCACATATTGGTCAAAATCACTTTCGCTCACTCAACTGGTTACCAGTCAATAAAAGTGTAGATCAGATCATCCTTTGTCATGTTTTTAAAGTAAAATAATTGTCTTTCTCCAGATTACACGGGAGAGTATTTCATCCCACAGGACAATGTTCATTGTTGCGAGGTGGCATTTGCAATCCCTATGGTCAAAGGTTTCGGATCCAATTCCTTCTGCTCTGTGGGTTGTCCGTTGTGGAACAGTTTGCCAACTGAATTATTTAGCACTGACAGGTTACCTTCTTTCAAAGTATCTGTTAGGAAGTACCTGATGGACAGTTTGTAATTGTTCAATACTTTTTATATGCATTTTATAATTTACATCTAGGTGTTTCGGTATAGGACAGGATTTAATTCATTTCGTTAATCATTTAACACGTTTAATATAAAATGATACATTTATTTTAGTTTAAGTAAAACTCATTTTTAGATTCTCATTCCTACTTTTTATAGTTGCATCTTGGTATCTTGCTATATATTCTAGCAATATGTTTTAGTTTGGGACTGTGATATAATGATTTTTTATCATTGAATAATAATATTATTTTATTGAAGTTTGTCTTAAGGTAAATTATTTAATGCTTATTAATTTCATCATTTGCCTCATAGTTTATATATTCTGTTTTAATTTGAACAGTGTGATTCAATGCTCTAATTCTAGTCTATATGTGTCAAAATAATTGAAATATATGGTAATATTTAATTTGCACTGTTTTTTTTTTGCTCTCTATGTCATGCCATCAACACAGGGGTAAGAGTCTCTCTTTTTGTGCTATCCTTGGTGCTGGTGTGCATGTCATGGCTTATTTATACCCATGTATGTTATAAATGTGTATGTTGTTTTAAATGTCATGTATATATATTCTATACCGAAATAAATCTAATCTAGTGCATGCACGACTCCATCTGAAGGAGAGGCTTCATTGTAGTAGTACATGTGTAGGCGTTGATATCAATGTAAGTAATAATAGTAAGATATAAAATAAAATGTACTGTAAGTATATTTTTTTCATTCAGGGAGCATGCATATGCGGATTTGCCCGGTTTTCATATGTTCAAATTGTACATGTACTTATTGGGTTATCCACTAGCCTTCATTTTATCATTGTCTTTTTTCATCAATGATAACTTATAAATTACATGTGCGGCAGAACATTCATCACAGAGTTCACGTACTGCACGCCTGGTAAATGATAGAGCTACCTCTTTTGGAGGTATACGGTAAATCGCTCTATCGCTACTTCCGAGCTAGTGCATGTCGCTAAAATCAAGTGTCAAGTGTTTTCATTTTTTATTATTTTGTAAATTCTACACCAAATATCAAAAATCGGAGAATGCTATGCGATGTAGATTTGATAAAAGTTTCCAGAAAACGTAAAGTTGGTTGTTATAATTGTGTTTGAAATGTTGTTGTGGTGGCGTTTCCCAGTTAGCGAATTCAGCGTTGAATTAAATGGACCGTTTAATTTTTTCCTCCAATTTTCATCTAAACAGCGTTTTAGATTAAAAACAAATACATGTATGTTTCAAGTAGATATAAGGTCTAGAGATGAAATAAGATTGAAATCAGATCAAATCATTGATTAATAAAGAAAATATAGGATATTTGTTCTTGGAGACAGCTCTGTCGTGAAAGAATTGGTCCTGTCGCCAAGGAGATAGCTCTATGGTTACGTGCGAAGTGCCTGATTGTGTATTTTATTCCTAACATTTATCACGACACAAAAATTAAATAAAAACAATATAATACTGATGTAATTACGATACATGTATATCATAACGAAATTTGCGTAATAAAACATTAACATTTAAAGCGTTCAAATTGTTATCGACTTTAAAATTGTTTTTCACTGTCCACAACTTTACTGCGTTATCTTTATTCGTGTAGTATTAGATGAAGTATTGAACCTGCGCTCATTCAATATCCTTTTAGTTAATACATTTACTTTTGCCACGTTACATTAAGAACTTAACTTAGACACGAGTAGTTTTGCTAATGGGTCGGGTACACCGAATATCAAAATCCATAATGTAATATATATGTTATTGTATTTTAAGATACGACGAAACTCAGAAGTAAAGAATGATCTTGAAAAATAAACGTTGTCATGGAAGTATTTTTGATGATGTTATAAGTATAATATCTCAGCAATCGTATGCGCTAATTCACTTCTTTCAATTTGATGTATAATGAAGACATTGGATCATTTCCTTGCACAATTCTGCGTTACTTTTCACAATGCCTGCGGTATTTGCACCAGCGCGTTACTGGATATTCAATGTGTTTTAAAGGAAAAGAGAATCATAGCTTTCTGACTAGCTGGAAACAACGTAGATACTAGTACGTTAGTTAAAATGTCAACTTTCTGGGCATTTTAAATACAGAACAAAGAAATCTTCTCAGAAATCTTTAAAAACAAGTACATCAAAAGCTCAATAAATATTTCTTGTCACAACTATACATTCGAGGGTTCAAAGGTAAAAGGTAATAACTGCCATTTT